TCTTTCTTTCTTTCTTTCTTTCTTTCAAACTACTGGACAAAGAAAAGCCCCTGGAAAGAGTATTCTAGGGAAGTAAGCACTGAGTGTGGGCATTCTTTATGCATGTGGCCAATTTGCACTTCAAAGCCGACACCACCATCCATTTCTTAATGGATCATGGTAGAACTGCCACCTTCTCATCTAAGCCCCACCCGCTGAATTCAGATACAACACTAAACTGTGGCTTAACCTTACAAGAACAAGCTTCAGTGAGTCTTGAATGTGCATGTGTTCTCCAGCATGGCTGCAAGGAGGAGATTGGAACCTTCTACTTCTGTTTTAGATAAACCACAGTTTTGAATGTTACCTTAAACTTATACTGTGGTTACTCTTAACTATGGTTAGTGAAAACAAGCCAGATTCATTACTCATGTTTTGAAGCTGGCTTGTTCAAGATCACTATAATTAAGATTAGCCACAGTTTGGGGTTAGAACAACATGCTAATCTGTGGTTAATCTAAAACAGGAGTGGAAGCTTGCAATCTCCTTATTGCAGCCAAAATGGAGACGGTGGTGGTGGAGGAGGTATGTGTGAGCCTGAAACTCACTGCAGCTTTCCCCCATAAAGATAAAGCACAGCTCCCAGAGTTCACATGTGTAAATGTACGCATAGATGTGGGAGTAAGTGCTTTTTAACTTAATGGGACATGCTTCTTGGTATATACATATATAGGATACTGCCATCATGTCTCCTTCTCAGTGTCGTAGGTAGTGTGCATCGCTGTAGGACAAAAGACATCACAGAACTGCCAGTTGCATTGACTCGGCAGTTTCTTCAGCAACAAAAATGTACTTCCTCTGCAGTTTGCAAACCCTGACAGCTGACCTATTACTAGCTTGCAGAGGAAGTGTTGGCAGCAACATCATCTGCAAATGTAGGAAGGGATGGGGTGGGGAAAACCACACAAGAAGTATGCACATGCAAAATAGCAGCAGGGGTTTCCAACACTGTACTTTTACTTGCTGCAGATGCAAGATCCTCATTTCAAAGAGAATTAGGCGCATACATAATATTCTGCTGAAGAATATTCTTGGACACTGACCCATGCAATCCTATGCACACTGATCAGGCCTAAATCTCCTAGTTAGCTTCACCGCCAAACAGGGTTTCAGGCAGGGTCTGTCACATTCAAACTCAGACTTCTGCAAAGGTAGCACAATACTTTCTGAGCCCAAGATGGCACTGTAGAGGTACTAGATTAAAAATAGCCACGTGCTGTCCTTATTCTCTGATTTGTAAACAAATTGGAGGAATTAAAAATGCTGCTCTAGTTTCCATAGACAGTAAAGCACACACATAGGGCTGTGCATGCTGTGCTGACTTAAAATGCGTCTAGGTCATTCTTTTTCTCAATTTGGATTGAAGCTGGTTGAAGACGAGAAATGCATCAAAATGCAGCATTTCATCAGAAACAGCAGGATAGACATGGGTTGTGGCTAATGGAATGTGTACATCGCTTCCCAAACCAGTAGTGGAAATGCACTGGATGTAGCATAAACGGGAGTGTGTACACAGCCACACACCCGCATCCTAACCATGTTTACTTGAAAGTATGTGCCACTGATTTCAATGGCATTTACTTCCTAGTAACATGTAGGATATGCAGCCATAGCAGATTTCTAAAAGAAGGGAATTTGTAACAAGAAACAATAGTAACTAAAAACAGGCATGGCCTGGAATGCATTAGGTGTGGGAAGAACATCTCTGATGAACAATATAAAGATTCCTCAAGATGAAAAATGCTTTTCTGGCATAAGCCCCAAACTGAGAAGCTGGCGCTGCATTCTCAAGACAAAGAGCAAGAAAACTAGCACCAGCATCAGAGGCCAAGCAAAATCTGAGGCCAGGATGTGGGAGCTCATTTTTAACATGGGAAAGTGCACTGCCCTAGCCAAATAAGGAGTTCTTCAGGACGGAATGCAAAGGTGATGCAATGATGAAGACCCTAGCAAGTGTTACTGGTTTCTTATGCTTTTATCCAGTGGGAAGAGCCAAGCAGCATGCAGCCATAACTGTGAACAACCCAGTTAAACAAAGGGTAGCCTCGTTTTGGGGGTCATTGAGTGCTCTTGTAGGTAACCAGTGCACTGATTCAGCCTGCTAGCTGTTCACAGACCAAATTTAGTGACTCAGACTGTCATGCTGATTGGTATCTCTTCCCACAAGGATGTTGGCGTTGCTAAAAGCCAACCACAGTTGTTCCAAACCTGGGATAAAGTTTCTTCTTCTATGAGGTGGTGCCTGTTTCAGTTCCTTATCTGGCGCTACTGCTGCAGCGGGTGGAGCTTTCTCTATGCATGCTACTTTTCCCCCCTTTTTCAAATCTTGATCTAATGTTTCTGTTTGCTTCCTTATATGCTCTTATATGTTCAGTAACCTGAATGGGTGCAAAATGATCTCCACAATGGTTGAGGGCAGGTTTGGTTACATTATGTGCATTTACCTGCTGGTGTCATTGCTGAGCACTGGGGCCATCAGAGATGCAAAATACCCACACATTTCTCTCCATGCAAAGAAAAGTAGCTTGGGGCTGATCTCAGCAGTTCATCTTCCTTCTGTACCCCATTCCTTCTATCAGGTTATGAGATTCTCCATCAACTCCAGTGGGATCGTCTTTACTTACAACACTGGTTTCACAGATGTAACAGATCACACCATCAACACAGGGTGGGGGCCAAACTACAGTAAATGTGATTTGCACATTTCTCTCCTTGCCAGTCACAAGAAAAATATCCTTTCTGAAGCTGCTCTTTGCACTTCAAAGGAAACTCCCACTGGCATGAATAGAAGCTTCCCTTAAAGCATGGATGGAGAACTTGTGATCCTCCGGCTGTTGTTGGGCTCCAATTCCCATAAGCCCCAGCCAACATGGCTAGCAGTTGGGAATGGCGAGAGCTATGGTCCCAACAACATCACAGGTTAGCCACCACTGCCCTAAAATGCAGGCAGCTATTTCAGAGAGGTGAGATAAAGAGCTAATCTTCCTAGTGGTCTCTGGGCTCAAAAGACCTGTGTGTTAATTGCATCCACATAATTAACCTCAGAAGTACCGTAGTTTGGCCCTGACTCAAGCCAGCATGAGACTTGAACTAAATAAATGTGGCCCTTTCCCCACTACACCCACCCAGCAAAATTTCCCCCTTCCATTGGCGGAATCCCACCAGTGCAGAGAGCATGCTAGCAGCACTTGTGTTGCAACTCTAATATAAATTCATTACAACAGTGTAGCATCTCATTCTGCTGGCGCAGTGAAATTTAGTATCAATGTTATCTTTGATCTAGCCAACTCTTCTATTAGGCATAGCAGCTGCCTCAGGGAACTGATTTTGAGTGTCACGAGAGGGCAGTAAAGTGATAGTTACATAATTTATTATTATTGTATTTTTATTGTCAAGTATCTGTGAGATTTGTTGCATCAGATGCCAAAAAGAACTTGACTGGCCTTGGGTACATGGGAGGCAGGCGGCACCAGTTGCTTCTCTGCCTCTGGCAGCAAAGCCTCAAGGTCCAATTTTGTTCTACCCACTGTGCAGAACAGGATAGGCTGTAATTAAAAAGAAGATCCTCCATTTCCATGTAATAAAAATAACTGTTATATGTTAAGGTTTCTCCAAGATAGGGTTGGATTGCAACTTAATATTTTTAAAGGCATTTTAATGAGATTTGTTAATGTGCTCACTTACATTACTTACGTACGTATGTACCCACCTGCCCTTCACCCTAAAGTAACATAGGGTTACTAGATGTCCCCGGTTCCCAGGGATAGCCCCCGGATTTGCAAATCTGTCACCAGACAAATTCCGTCCCCGGAATGTCCCCAGATTTGCAAACCTGTCCCCAGGAAATGTGTCAGTGGCAGCCTCAGCGGCCCAGAGCCAGCCTGGTAGCGCAGTTGGCTCTGGCTGGCTTCAGGAGCTGCTCGCTGCCATGGCGCCTGCCATTTTTCCTCACCGGAAGTCCCCATATGATGTTCCGGTGAGGAAAAATGGCAGGTGCCATGGCAGTGAGCAGCTCCTGAAGCCTGCCAGAGCCAACTGCACTACCAGGCTGGCTCCAGGCTGCTCAGACTGCTGCTACTGCCACCACTGCCGAAGGGGAACCGGGGACGTCCGGCGGTATAGATCTCCTGCCCCCTTCCCTCTTTGTTTTGACTGATTGGGGGAGGCTCGGAAGTTGTGGGCAGACGGCTGTTGCCCAGTTTTTTAAAAACTCTGCGCATTTATGTTTCACAGGGTGCGAAAGAAGGGCTTTGCGCCTTTATACAATATGCATGTGTGCTTGGGCCCAGGGTCTTTTGCTTCACCATCCCCACTACTGACTCCCTGTTGCTACTCAGCTTAAAAAATAATTTAAAAAGTGTCCCCAGATTCATTGGGGAAAAAAACCTGGTAACCATATTATAACACAATATTGAAAACAGTTTTCAAACAACTTGAAATTTCATTTGTCTAATCTACTTGATGTGATAATCGGGATGAGAAGCAGAAGACCATTTATCCGATCATTTCCCCAGACCCACACTTATCTCCCATTAAAACAAAATAATGAAAGCAGTTTACAACAGCAAAACATGTCGTCAGAACAATTTAAAAACCGGGAGAGTCCACCAACCAACACCGGTTTTCCATTGCTCGTCAGGAGAGACTTTAACCAGCCACCTACAATCCAGCCAATTTGTCTCAAGTTAGCAGAAGAACGCTCGGAACGAGGCGTCGGGCAAAAGGGGGGAAAGGAGTTGGTGAAAAAGGGGGAAAGGCGGCTTCACATTCGGCCGCCGCGCATGCCCAGAAGTGCCGCGCATGCTCCTTAGTAGGCAAGAAGCCTTGGCTCGGCCGCAACCTCGCCTCGCAACTCCGCCGCTGGGAGCGCGATGCCTCTGTGGGCGGGGCCAAAGGAGTGGGCTGGAGGCAGTGGCGGCGGCTGCCTCCCCCCCGTAGGAGGGTAGAGGGCGTGGCCTGAGGAGGCGGAGGCGGCGCGCGGGGCCATTTCAGCGAGCGGCGGCGGCGCAGGCGGCCCGGCCAGGATGCGCTTGGCAGCGTCTCGCGGCGGTAGCAGCAGCAGCAGCAGCAGCAGCTGCGGCACCAGCAGCAGCAGCGCCAGGGACGAGCCCGCCGCTTCCCTCCTGCCGCAACCGCGCTAGCGCCCGCCGCGCAGCCACAGCCGCGCTCCGTCTCTCCTCCCGGCCCTGCCGGTCCCTGCTCCACCTCCTCCACCTCCTGTGTCGGCGGCGGGAGCATCGCCGTCCCTCCTTCTCTGCCCTGCTCCTCTCGCGTCTGCTTCCTCGGCGTCTCCCATGGCGGCCCCGGGCAACATCGTGTCCGTTATGGCCAGCAAGACCAAGACCAAGAAGAAGCATTTCGTGGCCCAGAAAGTCAAGCTCTTCCGGGCCAGCGACCCGCTGCTCAGCGTCCTCATGTGGGGGGTGAACCACTCGGTAAGAACCGGCGCTTCCTGGGGCGGGGGGTGGTTGCTTTGCTGGCCCGGTGGAGGCCCCTTCGTCTCCGCCGCAACCTCCGCCTCCTCCCTCCACCCCTCTCCTCCTCCTTCCTCCTCCTCCTCCTGTCAATGCGGGGCCTCTCTCTGTGCCCCCTCGCTCCCCAAACTCCGGATCAGTACCTTCCCCATAGCTCTATCTCCCTCCCCCTTCAGCAGTTCTGAAAGGGAGTACGTACTTGCAACACCCCCCCCACATATGCACACTTTCTCTTTTTAATCCAGCCATCTCTCCCACCCCCTTTCTCTGTTTTATAGGGGATTCCTGCCAGTAGCTCCTAATGAGGAAGGGGACTGGCTTGTGTAGTTAGAAAGGGGAAAGATGAAATGTCTTCACCTGTGGGGTAGGCGATGTGCTTCTCTGCCTGTGGGGTAGGAATGTGCCCTTGGGCACTTGAGTTCAGAGGCGTACTGCCCTTGGGGTGGCAAAAGCCATGGGTACACCCTGACTTATATTCTTTTCTCTTTGTGCACCTTTCTCTGTCGTATGCACACACAACCTTGTGTATAGGGCTATGGGCATCCCAGTACTTGGTAGCTGCTATCGCTATTTGCTGTGGCGACTAAATGGACCTCAAAGCAATACCATTCCTATATTCACTGTGCTAGCCGATTGTACTTCTTGCCCTGAAATGGGCTTGGGGGTGGGAATCTGCTAAACAAACGCTACTCTTATTTAAGTGCATCTTGGGGATGGTTGACAGTTGGGCAGCGTTAGATTAATGGTAGGAGCTGTGTGTGTTTTGCCACTGGGCTAATGGCTTTGCTGCTGTCTAGGTTGGATGCATTTTGCTGAGTAGTGGTAAAAAAATATGTCAGGCTGCAGAAGTGCTGGGATCTGTTATACATGCACAGCAAACCATCTCACCCCCCAGCCCCCCCCCAACATAATCGGTATTGTGTAGCTGGGAGGCAGGACGATTAATGATGTCTGAGATAAAACACTGCTACGGTAAGGAAGCTAGAGGCATGCTGCTGCCTCGGAGTACTGCAGTGTTCTGCTTCTCTGTTGGTAGTGGTGCTTCTACCTGTGCTGTGTTGATCTGATCAGATCAAGGAGAATAGAAATGTGAGACTTGGCTACTGGCTTTTGGCAGAGTTGTAGCATATCAGCTTGAATATTGGCAATGATAGGACCTTGTCACTTCAGCCAAATATTATTTATGAGCAAGCTTTGAAAATAACTAGTTCTGATGGCTACGCATGTCTGGTTTCAATGTTGGCTGTTCTAGGGTGTACTTTGTATTAGGACTTAAGATGCTTGAAGCTTGGATTGCACTATGTATAAAAGGCTGTAAACAGGGAAAGGGGTGTTGACTTGTCAAGTAAAAAACATGTGTAATGTCTTACCTTGTAAGGGTTGTGTTCACCTGGTTAAAGTGGTGATACTTCAGCTATGCAAGTGTGTTCAGACGAGACCTGCAAGGTTTTCGGTTCAAGGTGCTGCTGCAAACTGCCCTTGAGCTTGGGGAAGGGGGGGAGGAGCACAATCTGCGCTACGTTCTGTGAACTTCTGATATTTGCAATTTGCTGACTCTTCCTACTTTGCTTGGACAGAAACCTTTGCTGTCTTGTTACTTTCAGTTACTGCAGTTACTTAAAACAAACTGACCGTGAATTTCTCCCACTGAACTTGTGTGCCTATATTGGCAGCTTTTACCAGAAGCTAAATCAGGCTGATTTTTGATCTTCAAACCTAGCTACTTCCAAATCCTCTCTGCTGCCTACACACTTCCCCTCTCTTTCTTGAAAAGTGCATTGTTTTGCAAATACATTTGTGTTGTTGAGAACTGTTCTGCAAATGCATTGTTGTACATATATGGGAAATATCCACCACTGCACAGGCATCGCCCTTTGCACAAGTGCAGGTTTGTATGCAACTTTAAGATAACTTTCATAGCTATTCAGTCTGTTCTATTGCAGTGGTGCTATGCTGCATCTTGAGGTAAGGTTTGTGGTTTGGTGACTAATCATCCTCTTTATCCAGAAACAGCATAATACTATCTTTCTTGGGAAACGTATCTGTGTTAGGGGGAAGTTGGCTAACAAGTCTCCCGAAGCAGAGTTACTAGACTTCTCATTTCTCAGACTTATTCTTGGCATCCAGATATATTGGAAGTTGTGCTAAACTGTGTAATGGCTCTCCATCTTCATATTTCCCCAAACAGCAAGTGAAGATCATTTTATCTAGAGCTTTTCATCCAAGGAAGAGTGATTCTATGTGAAAACCTTGTCTTAAAATATGAAAACCAAGCACAGCATCTGAGCAGTGCATGTGGGTATATTTACACAAATGTGTCCATCTTCGGTCACTGTCCTAGGACCCATCATCCAGGAACCTCTTTTGTATACAAGAAATAATTTCACACTTCTGAGCCACAGACCCTTGGTAGCAATCTAGGCTTGGGCTTGTGGAACTGTGAAAATCATGTATCACCTGTGGCGTCCGCCTTATGATAAATGAGAGAGATGGGTTGTTGACTCTTCAATTCTCCTTTAACCTCTGATTTGTTTACATCTTCAAGAGATGAAGGCAAGTTCAGGGGTTATCTCAGAATAATTGATAATGTAATCAGACTTGTTTTCTATTGATTGCGGTAGTAAATGCCATGAGTTGATGACTTTGCTAGTAGTGCTTTGACATTAAAATAATTGTACCAAATTTGTCTTGTAGGATGAGAAGCTGCAGGATATGTTGAACTGTAACTTTTAGTGCAGAGTTTTCACCATGTTTTTTAACTTCAAGTCTTACAGTGGCAAAATAATTTTTCTAGATGCAGTACTTCTAAATACGTAACTTAATAGACTACTTGGAACATGTGTTAACTTAGAAGCAGCCTGATCTGGTAAGAATGGGGCCATAGGGCTAGACTTGTAAAAGATAAGGTAAGTTAATTTGAAAAAGGAATTTAAAAGTCATTAATAAAGATTAGCAATCGTTAGGTTGTCTCCCTCATAGCTTTAACTTCTTTTTAAACTCTACCAGACTGAGCAGCTTTTGTAAGATACTAATGTTGAAGTCATACTGAATACATTGAAACCACAAGTGTAGAATTAAAGTGTGAAAAGTGTAAAATCTGAAGAGAAACCAGAGTATGTGTAAAATTAAAGAAATTGCAGAAACATGCCCTTAACTAAACTTGTAGAAGAAAAGAAAATATGGTTTTAAATACTCTTATTTTGTAAGTGCATGTGTTGGAATGGCAGTTCTTTTAAATGACCAAAGCGTTCTAGACAATGCTGGAAAAATATATTTCAAATTCCTAAGCCAGTTTGAGCTTTATATATTTTTAGATGACATCCTTGGGCAAATATGTTATGGCTCGTCTCCCCACCTCTACAGATTCTATACCTGTTGTAGGTATTGTTAGATTCCTGCATCTTTGTCTAGTCCTGGGCATAAGGGAAAGTACGGTAAACACTAGGAGTTATAGGAATGCATTCACCATTTGTGTGTGTAGGCTTTGAATAGTACATAACTGTGTTCTGTGTTTGTCTACAGCTTCCTTGGAACCTGTGCAGAGTATCTTGGGTGGAGAGGAGTCCTCTCACTCATCCCATTTGGCACAGAAAATAGCTACTTGGGGTAGAGCAGAGTCTCTTCTGCCCTTGCTAAGAACTGATTGCAACATTTTTATAATCCCCACGATCCTGTTTCATATCATAGTGAACATCTGTGGAATTTCTTGTCTGGGAATGAAAAAGCTTTCTGTGAACGGTGTTTCAAACAAGCAGCTTTCCCCATGAGTAAGGACCATATAATAGAAAACTCTTCTTCGCCTTCATTTTCAAAAACAAAAAACAGCAACTTCTTAAAAATATAGTGCTATTGCTGCTAGTAAATGAGTTTTTGCCCTTTTTAATATATATATAATATATAAAACTAGCACTGGTATGATCACATTTTCATGCTATAATCTCTTGGGGGTAGAGCTAACTTTTCTGCTTAGAAATGCTTGACCAAATGGCTCGGAGCAAAAGTAATTTGTAATTTACCCACACACACTCCAACACTTGAGCAGTGGGTGCTTAAAATGAGCTTCTGAGCTTTCACCAGCAGCTACTACTAGCTCATGGAGCACCTAGCCTGATAGATATGCAGATCATGCAAGTGCAGATTGGCACAAGGCCAAAACAATATTGACTTTCCATTTTGAGCAAGAAGAAGAATTTCAGGGTAAGGATGCTTTCCTCAGAATACAGCTGGGCATTACAAGATAGATAATCTTTTGTTCCAAGCCCATTAATTTCAGATGCTGACAGCATCACTAATAGACTTTTATTTTTAGGAGACTATGAAAACAGCCTTGGCTTCAAACTTGAATATAAGAATGAAAAAGGTTAGAATTCATTTGTAACATAGTGTAGGTAGACCTAACTTTTAGGTTGGCTCTTTGCTTTGGTTTGAGGGTTTTATGTGGCCCCAGGTTTGTAATGCTGGAGAATGGGGTGGACCTCTCCCAGTAATGCTAAGTCTTAAGCCCTTTTTAGGCCTCACTCTTGCCAGCCCCACCTGGGGGTGGGACGGAGAATGGAGCCATCTATAAAGTGAAATGTTATGTATAATAATAATAATAATTTATTATTTGTACCCTGCCCATCTGGCTGAGTTTCCGCAGCCACTCTGGGTGGCTTCCAACCGAATATTAAAAACAATACAGCATCAGACATTAAAACATAGGGCCGCCTTTAGTTGTCTTTTAAAAGTAAAATACCGTATTTTTTGCACCATAACACTCACTTTTTTCCTCCTAGAAAGTAAGGGGAAATGTCTGTGCGTGGTATGGAGCGAATGCCTGCGGGTGGCGGGGGGGGGATCTGCTGCAGTCATGAGCAGAGGATCCATGGTTCCCCTTCCTTCCCTCCTCCGTGATTACAAAGCATGGATCCACATTGATCCTCAGGATTTTTGCATTGGACTACTCCAAACTCACTGTCAGATCACATGTCTGTGGTCACAGCATGAACCACAAAAATCATATATCCACTATTTCGTTTAGAATATTTTTTTTCTTGTTTTCCTCCTCTAAAAAATTACGTGCGTGTTATGGTCTGGTGCGTGTTATAGAGCGAAAAATACGGTAGTTGTTTATTGCCTTGACATCTGCTGGGAGGCCGTTCCACAGGGCAGGCACTACTACCGAGAAGGCCCTCTGCCTGGTTCCCTGTAACTTCACTTCTCGCAGCGAGGGAACCGCCAGAAGGCCCTTGGAGCTGGACCTCAGTGTCCGGGCTGGATGATGGGGGGTGGAGATGCTCCTTCAGGTATACAGGACCGAGGCCGTTTAGGGCTTTAAAGGTCAGCACCAACACTTTGAATTGTGCTCGGAAACGTACTGGGAGCCAATGAAGATCTTTCAGGACCAGTGTTATATGGTCTCGGCGGCCACTCCCAGTCACCGGTCTAGCTGCCGCATTCTGGATTAACTGCAGTTTCCGGGTCACCTTCAAAGGTAGCCCCACGTAGAGCGCATTGCAGTAGTCCAAGCGGGAGATAACTAGAACATGCACCACTCTGGCGAGACAGTCCGCGGACAGGTAGGGTCTCAGCCTGCGTACCAGATGGAGCTGGTAAACAGCTGCCCTGGACACAGAATTAACCTGCGCCTCCATGGACAGCTGTGAGTCCAAAATGACTCCTAGGCTGCGCACCTGGTCCTTCAGTGGCACAGTTACCCCATTCAGGATCAGGGAGTCCTCCATGTAACACATAGACTGTCCCTGCTATTTGAGACCAAGGCCTTAGAGTACTTAGTGCAACTCTGGCACAATGTGACTTACCTGCTGCTCTCCCATAAAACCCCAGTCAGCCTACCTGTTGACTAACTTTGGGTTTAGCCCTGAAAACCTGAGGCATCCTACAATCTTCAAAGTGCTCTGACTTAACTGAGTGAGGAAAACTGATCAAGGGGGAGGAGAGGTGGCAGCATTTGGGCATTTTAGTTTAGAGGAAAGGCAATTAAGAAGTGATATGATAGAGGTATATAAAATTATGCCTGGTGTGGAGAAAGTAGGTAGGGGAAAGTTTTACTCTCTCTCTCATAACATTAGAATTCATGGACATCCAAAGAAGCTGGACATTGGAGGATGCAGAAAAAAGGCTCCCATAGGAGGCAGTGATGGCCACCAACTTGGATGTCTCTAAAAGAGGATTAGACAAATCCATGAAGGATTAGGCTATTGTTGGCTATTACCTACCCATAATGGCTATGCTCTGCCTCCATGGTTGAAAGTTACAGGCTTCCGAACGCAAATTGCAGGAAACCACAGGAGGGGAGAGGCTCTTGCTCTCAGATCCTGCTTGCCAGCTTCCCACAGGCATCTGGTTGGCCACTGTGACAACATGATGCAGCTGGGTGAGATGAGCCACTGGCCTGATCCAGAAGGCTCTTTTTACATTCTTAATGGGGGGGGGGTGGAATACGTCTTTCAGGCCAAACTGTAGGAAGATCTTGCTGTGCCATGCTGTGCCATGTTGGCTAGATTACGGGGCTATAGATCTGATTTGCATTCTTCTCAATGGAAATCCGATGTGTAGAACTCCAGGACTGGCTTGTTCTGAATTTCTAAAAGCTATTGCAGTGACTGCCAATATCATAAAAGCTGGGCCATCCAAAACAGGATTGAAATCATTCGATGCATTATGTAGATACATTTAGTAATGCTAACTGTCAGTCATAATAGAACATTGAAGGCACAGTTAAGATGTCAGATAAAATATAATAAGTCAATGCATTCTACAATACCTGCCAATTTATTGCCCAGTTCACTCAGTTTGCCAAGAGCTCCGAAAGGGAGCCCTTGAATCCCTTTCTGCTGCCACTCTGAATAATTTGGTGGTGTTTGCAAACTTAGGTCACTTTGCTGCTCACCCTAACTTGAGTTACGAGTTATCAGTCCATAGGAGGACTTGTTCTCTTATCCTATGAATGCTAAGTTTTTTCAGGAGCCTTTGAGAGCTTCTCTCAGAAGCTATTTGAACATTTAAGTATACGATGTCCACTGGCTCACACCTGTCCATATGCCTGACACACTCCCCACAAATGCTAAAATGTTCGTAAGACAGGACTTGCCTTTGCAGAAGCCATGTTGATTCTTTTTCGTTAATTCTTTCTCGTTGATTCTTGTGTAGGCTTGGCTATATCACAATTCATGTTATCTTTAACATAGTCCCCAATCTACCTGAAACAGATATTAAGCAAATTGACCTGCACCTTCCTGGATTCTGGTCCCCTAATCTTTAAAAACTAGTGTTACATTTGCTGTTTTCCAGCCCTCTGGTACAAAGGCCAATCTTTGTTGAGTGGTAACCACCTGCTTGATTAAGATGGCTTGGCATTACATAATTGCTCTTCATTTTGAGGAAAAGCTACAGCACTAAAGGTTACACATTTTATACTTAGAGCAGATAACATGATGGAAAAAGTTGAAAGATTGCACTTTAAACATTTAACGCAAACTATTCAAACCAGCAGTTGCTATAGTTACTGTGGTAGCATCTGCAAACCCATAGGACATCTTAAGTTGGCAGGTCAGACTATCTCTCTCTTTCTAAAATGTGACTCATTTACAAGAACCAGATCCACTCTTCATACTAAGTAAAGGAACTTGCAAGATGTGTAACCTTATAGAAGAATAACGCAAATTCCCAAAATATTCATGCATGGCAGTGATTCTTTAAATATAGAATGAGTCCAAATGGATACAGGGCATCTTGGAGGGATGGTAGTGTAAAGATAAGTTCATGAGCCCTGTGGTACCTGCCTTCCTACATTGTCCATCTCCCTAAAAGATAAGAGAGGGTTGTCTATATTGGATCTCTGGGATAACTTTCTATCTTCCAACCTGATAGAAAAGAAGAGCTGTTTGTTCTCTTCTAATGATGCTGCTCTGTATGGCTTTAGATAGTCTGATGCCTTGCTCTTCTTTTAGCGCAGGTGATAATGCCTCATGCCATATATGCTTGGCAGCTTTAGGATGTAGTTGCACCACTGTATTGAAGGTGTTCTGAACTTTCACCTGCAGAGCTGATGATTAATTTGGCCCCCCTTCCATGTGTATCTTTGCTTTTTGCCCTCCCTAACCCAGTATTAGCAGACTTTGAAAAAACACTGAGCTGATGTCTAGTAACCCTGTTACTGTTGGAGGATGTTTTGTGAGGAGTTTCTTTGAATACCATATTTTTCCATGTACCTCGGGTTACATATGCTTCAGGTTACAGACTCCGCTAACCCAGAAATAGTGCTTCAGGTTAAGAACTTTGCTTCAGGATGAGAACAGAAATCCTGCTACGGCGGCACAGCGGCAGCAGGAGTCCCCATTAGCTAAAGTGGTGCTTCAGGTTAAGAACAGTTTCAGGTTAAGAACGGACCTCCGGAACGAATTAAGTACTTAACCCGAGGTACCACTGTATAAGACACCCCCTTGTATAAGACGACCCCCCTTTTTAACCCAAAATTAAGAAATTAAGTTGTTTAGCTTTTTGGGGTGGGGTGGGGAGGTCACTTCCGCCAATTGCTCACCCGCCTGTCCACCACTGCTGATTGCACACCTCGCCGCAGCCAATTGTCTGCCAGTTTGCCGTCACCAACAGCCCACCCCTCCACTTGCCACAGCCACCAATCGCCAGCAGGCCATTAATCCCCCTCTGCATTCACTATCCGTGTATAAGACGACACCCAATTTTTGCCTAATTTTTTTTTAGCAAAAAGCATAATCTTATACACGGAAAAATACGGTACTTCTCTTGGGGAAGCCAGTGTGAGGAAATGAAACACTGTATTAATTACACCAAAGCAGGCAGAGTTACTTAAGTTGCAAAACCCCAGCTGGGCATAGGGTTAGACAGTAAATCCTAACATAGTTGAAGGCATTGGCAAAAGGGAAGAAGAATCTTGCCGAAGGCTTTTAGTTTGTAAAACTCTGAAATACTGGAAACCTACTATGTAATTTCAACTTCATTGTTCAAACTGTGAGTTCTAGTGCTCATGCAGCCAAAGTGGCACTACCCAAGCAACAAGAGGGAGGTATTAGCAGTCTCGGGAACTTCAAAGTTTTCAGAAGTGCATCTTTAGAAAAGCCCTAAGGAGAATGTCCAGAATAGCCCAGTGCAGACTGAGCATGCTCAGTGAGCATAGAATGTTGACAAACTCCAGTGGGGGTGGGGGAGGATGGAATGCAGTGGTTGGAATTGTGCAGAATTTGGTTGCAGATCTCACTTGTATCTGCTGAAATCCCATGGTCTAGAGATTGAATTCATGAATGTAAACCTTATTTTCTATTAAGGTTAGAATAGAATAGTTTGCACAACTGGAATTAAAATCAATGGGCATATAAGTGTGTGCTAGTTCCTGTAACTTCAGTTGTAAATAGAACCTGTTCAGGGTTTTGTGGTGTTTTCTGGAACTGTAAGTACAACCATCTCAGAAGCGGAGTCTGTATAATTAGCCTCAGGCTGGCTTGATCTGAGCATTCTCTTGATGGCACTCTTGATACTGTGTGGATACTCCTAAAATATGTTGATTACAAGTAAGACTTGACACTTGACTTATATCGAGACGTAAGCTATAGATTTGCCAATATAACCATGTAATGCACCTTGTGATGGCCAAAGAAAATCCAAGGACCATCCCGTCACTGTCAGCGACAGTGGCACCATTGACACACCACAGTAAACCTTTTGTTAGCTGTTTACTATGTATGTGTCTAAAAGGGCTCTTTTGCTCCTCCCCACTCACATTGGGAAGGAAACAAAGCATGATCCCTGGCTTAGCATTTCCACCCGAAATGAGGATTGGGCTTTGTTTTGTACCCAACAAACCATGAACTCTAGCCAATGTTTGCTCTTGGCTTACTGATCAGGGTTTGTTGGGTGCAAAACAATCCACTATCTCTGTTTTGGGTGTAAATGCTAAGTCCACGGATCATGTTTTGTTTCCTCCCAGCATAAGCTGAGAGGGGCAAAGATTTTGCCCATGCATTGTAAGACATTGGTTTTCGAGGTACCATGAAGTGCATATGCAGCCATTAATTTGTGCATTTGTTATTGTTTAAGCTGAGCTGCAAGTTGTGTTTCTATGCTGATTTTATTATTGTAAATCTTGTATCACCATTGTTGAGTGGTGATGTTGGAACTGGTGCCAAAGCACATATAAAAAGGTTGTCTTTGTGTTGCCATAGAGCACATCACTCTGGAGTAAGTTAGCTTGGTATTAAAGCATATGGCAAGCCCCCCCAACTTAATTCATTTCTTTACAGTTAATACTTTTTTCACTTTATGATTTTCTTTCTGGTTAGAGGTATGCAGTCTTCCATTGCCCCCCACCCCTATTCTATCACTGAATCATCTGCTTTTTCTTGGCAAACTTTCTCAAGACTGTTTACGGTAGCATCAGCAGCATAATTATTAGGGCTGATGGGCTTGCTAGATAATATGCAGTCACTTCCCCAAAATGCTTTTCAGTTGAGCAGATTGAATGCAGGCAAGATGAAAGTACTCAGTATGCCTTTAAGTTACCGTATTTTTCGCTCTATAGGATGCACCGGACCATAGGAAGCACCTTGTTTTAGAGGGGGAGAACAAGCAAAAAAAATTCTCCCCCTCTCTGCTCAGCGCCCCTTCAGTGAAGCGGCAGGAGAAACGGAGCCCCTTCCATTTCTCCTCCCACTTCGCTGAAGGAGCGCTGCGCAGCTCTCCCTCTCTGCTGAAGCCAGGAGAGTCTTGCTCTTCCGGCTTCAGCAAAAGGAACCCGAAGACTTTGGAGCGCAGCGCGAGGTCCCGCTGTGCTCCAGATGCTTCAGGGATAGCCACCTGAAGCCTTTGGAGCGCAGCAGGAGCTCGCACTGCGCTCCAAAGGCTTTGGGTTCCTTTCGCTGAAGCCAGGATAGCCGTGAGGTCCCGCTGCGCTCCAAAGGCTTCAGGCGGCTATCCCTGAAGCGTGGAGACGGTAATTGCGCTCTTGGAGACATGGGACCCTTTGTATGTTGGTTTACTGTTATAGCAATCAGCCCCCATGACTATGAGCTGGTTCATATGTAAAGCTAAGCCAAACCATGGCTTAGCATGAATGGGCGAGTTCCTGAGGAAACCCCAGTTTATTTCACTTCAGTGCAGCAATGGCAATGCAGGAGGAACAAAGCAGCTACAATCTTCTCTTTGCCATAGTCTGGGTTAGCATTACAGGTGCCTTCTAGAAGACAATCTATTCCCCCTAAGATAAGATGACATCACTTGGATTCCAAATCAGAGTGGTCAAAATATGCAAAAACTGCTAAAAGCTACTATGCACCAAAATTCCAAGGTTAGAGCCAGGATACAATTCAACAAAATAGGTTCTTAACTTCAAAACTATTAACGGAGGTAGGATCTTACAGGTTGAAGAATCAAGCTTATTTTCCATCCCTTATATTCTGCAACTTCGGCATAAATTTATCTTCCCAGAGTGGCTAAGTAGTAAGGCAGTAGGAATCTGAAATGAAAAATGGCTGTCATAATAGCTAATGCTGCTGATTTCTAGCACATGATTGAAGTAGATTCATTAGTATGTAAAATGCCATATGTACACATGCCTTAGCGATCATTAGTTATACAGTGGTACCTCGGGTTAAGTACTTAATTCGTTCCAGAGGTCCGTTCTTAACCTGAAACTGTTCTTAACCTGAAGCACCACTTTAGCTAATGGGGCCTCCTGCTGCCGCTGTGCCGCCGGAGCAGGATTTCTGTTCTCATCCTGAAGCAAAGTTCTTAACATGAAGCATTATTTCTGGGTTAGCGGGGTCTGTAACCTGAAGCGATGTAATCTGAGGTACCACTGTATTTTTAAACTTGGGATTAATTCCCAACTTGCATGCATGCTTTATCTTATGTGGAAGTGGTGGGGGGACGCAGGTGGCGCTGTGGTCTAAACCACTGAACCTCTTTGGCTTGCCAATCCAAAGGTCAGTGGTTCGAATCCGTGTGATGGGGTGAGCTCCTGTCGCTCTGTCCTAGCTTCTGCCAACCTAGAAGTTTGAAAGCACAATATTGTGAGTAGATAAATAGGTACCGCTGTGGCGGGAAGCTAAACGGTGTTTCCGTGTGCTCTGGTTTCTGTCACGGTGTTCCTTTGCGCCAGAAGGGGTTTGGCCATGCTGGCCACATGACCTGGAAAAGCTGTCTGTGGATGAACGCTGGCTCCCTCAGCCTGAAAAGAAAGATGAGCGCCGCACCCCATAGTTGCCTTTGGCTGGACTTAACTGTCCAGGGGTCCTTACCTTTTACCTTTACCTATGTGGAAGTGATAGAAAATGCATGATGATTGAAATTGTTTTACTAGCAGTTGGAGCTGAACAGCACTGAGAAACTTACTGAATATAAACTCTCTCATTTTCATTTGGCAATGCTTTGTGCTCCAGTATACAGCAACAAGTTTAAGATCTGAAGCACTGAGTCTTTTGATGAGAGCTACAGAGGAAAGCATACTGCTATTGGTGCTTTCATCTATTTTGTTGAGGGGAGAGCTCTTAGTTTTATTGATCCAAGTTTGGTATGATTTCTTTACTTATTCTGCATGTTCTCTATATGTTTTCCTAAACACATGGATGTTTGTTGCAATTGTTGCTACAAATCCTAAGCATATGCAAAGCTTTGGTTTCAGTTCAAATTCCAGTATTAGTAATTGTTCTGCCTCCTAACCCTCCAAGCAACATAATTGCCGGCAAACTACCTGTATTCGATTTATGCTTTCCTGATAACCCTATTATGCCATTCTATCTGTCTTGTTTTCTGAGGTGTAGGTTCTTGGAGAGGTTTGAATCATGCTTGGCTCATTAGTTCACAGCTGTCAGCATTTGCTATTGCTAGCATTTAATTCAAGTGTACTTCAGGGGTCAAGAATATATAAAGACTGAATCATAGAAGCATAGAGTTGGAATAGACCACAAGGGCCATTGAGTCCAACCCCCTGCCAAGCAGGAAACACCATCAGAACACTCCTGACATATGGTTGTCAAGCCTCTGCTTAAAGACCTCCAAAGAAGGAGACTCCACCACACTCCTTGGCAAATTCCACTCTGCCACACTGAGTTTCTGAAATCATAATTTTGAGAATCACCTTCACTTTTTCAATCTGAATGCTAAGTTAGGTGATGTACTTAAATGTGGAGTTCTGCAAGTATCCGTTTGCATTTTAATGGTCTAGAGATGGCAAACTTTCCAATGCTTATCTTAAAGAGGAAGATAAAATTAAGCATTTTCCTTTGTGCACTGTTACGAAGATGACAAGATTCTCCTCACTCAGTTGGATACTACATGTTTCACTTTTGGTGTTCTCTTTATTCTAGCTTCTGTTGGAGAATTTGATTTTTGTCTGTCTGATTCTTGCCAAAAGGATGTGTATTGATTGCCATCCTTTTTATATAACCCTAAGAACTGCAAGTTGTATGTTCTGCTGATTGCGAAAAATTTGTCACCACAACAGACACCATGGAGTTGGCATGTTTACTTTGCAGTCTTCTTCAATGAGTTCTGCAGTGCTACAGCTACATGGGTTAAAGCCTAGTTGCACACAACTATACATTTGTTCTGTAAAGACTTTTATATGTTAAACAAGTCATGTGAACTGGCCTCTACCAAGGCACTGGAAGCACAAATTGCTGTGTGGATTCTTCACTTCGAATCTCTTTAATGGAGGGTGTGTCGTTGACAAAAAATGATGTTGCGCAGTTATTAACCAGCTGTCTTCAACAACTATGAGTGACTGGATGGCTGGAGTACTGTCACAGTGCTAGCAAATGGAGCAGTGCATACACAGATGCCATTCCTGCTATATATAGGTCTTCAGGGATTTCTCTGTGTACCCACCAGAAATCTTTCTGGACTGATCTGTGCTCACAACTGAGAAAGGGAGTATGGCTCCATAGTCAGTAATGTTGTTTAATGTAAGGGCATTGCGAGCATGAAAACACTGTACTCTCTACGATATATAATTGTTCTAAACTATTTTTAAATGTTCTGTGGATGACTACAGTTGGTATAGTTAGTGTCATCAGCACCAGCTGAAGTTTCTGAACAGTCTTCAGAGGCAGCCTCACGTATAACATGTTGCAATGATCTAACCTCGAGGTTACCAGAACATAGGTGGCAGAAGTTAGGATATCTCTGTCCAGCTGGGGTGCTGCTGGGCCACCAGCCAAAGCTGGTAGAAGGCACTCTGTGCCACTGAGGCCACCTGAACCTTAAGTAATGTCAATTGATTGAGAAGTATCCCCAACCTGTGTATCTGCCCCTTCAGAGAGAGTGTAACACCATCAAGAGCAGGCAACCTCCCATTCATCTGGTATAGGGAACCACCCACTAACAGTGACTCAGTCTTAACTGGATTGAGTTTCAGTTTATTGGCTCTTATCCAGTCAATTACCACTGCAAGGCAACTCACTTTCCAGCACATCCCCTGCCACACCTGAGGGCCCTATCCTCAGGAATGGCTGTGGGGGTTGGAGGCTTGTTTGGAAGAGAGTTGGAGCTGTTGACTCCAATCTTTGACCTGACCAACTAGAAATTGTAGACCTTTGTTAGCTAGTATGAGCACTATAGGCGAGATCTAGCAATAGATAAGTCTTGAAAGAATATATATATTAAGGCTGAACTTCTAGACACATTTTTTGCTGGTTTAGTGGGATTTCCTGATTCCCTCCTCCATTTTTGCCAAGACTGGCAACAGTGGCTGTTTGTAATTAGCAATTTGTTGGGCCATTGATTACATAATACTATTCTACAGAAAAGTATGGTACCTGGAATGCATAGTTATTTCTTTGATTTGGAAGACCCGGATTCATATCCCATGTCTACTGTGGACTTGGAGTGACCTTCCTGTGGTCAGTGAAGTAGTAATAAAACAAATGTATTGGAAGTAAAATAAGCTTCTTAAATATGAGTAGTCCAAACTTCAAAAGTTGCTTCTTCTAGCTGTGTATACTTCAGATGGTATTTGGATCAGTTCCATGAACTCTGAGTAGTAATAGCCTAGTTCTTTGATCTTAACAGCTGTTTGACAAAGGCTTGTCTTGTCAGTGGTGCAGAGTGACCTGATACTCAAATTAGACATGTCATGTAGGTCAAACAGGATTCATCATTACTTTGGCCTAACTGCATCATACTTCAGACTCGGCATTGTGTTTATTTAGCTGACAAGAAGATCAAATATCAATCCAGAAAAACAATTTTGTTAACTTCTGTGCATGTTCTCTTTGCAGATTTTGTTTCTGCTGCTCTTTATGTCTTTTTCCCATTTCTGTTAAAGAAGAAGAAGAAAGCCAATAATATTGCAGCTGCCACATCCTCAAGGCACTTAATTCAGATTAGTTGCACTGTATATGTTGGATTGCTTCTGAAATAAGTGGTTTGAGGATTGTAGTCTCTGTTACATTCCCCATGGCACAGACACCATCTGTTCCGTTTGCTTCTTGTGGCGGCTTGAGCATAATACATGGATTGCAGCCTTTTTTTCTTATCTTGAGCTTCTAGGGAAGAATACATTTAGTTACTAGTCCTTGTTCATAGTATACTTTCTTCAACTTGTGAGTAAAAAAATCATCTTGGTCTCCTAGCTAGAAAGAATGAAAGGTTTAAAAGGATGTTGACATTCTTGGTTGGAGATGGGACACCATGTAACCTCTTAGTTTCTAAGAGTACTTAAATAAACAACTTTTGTGTTTTTGCTCTTGCATGCTATGGCAGAACCCCAGTGGAACTGCTAATGTGATCCCTAGAGGATTAATAAACATCAAAGCAGGAAATGTTTACTAGATGCTTTAGAAGTATTGCATGTTGAAACTCTTGGTTAAAAGCACATTTGGTCAGTGATGAAGCCTTAGTTTACTGAATTGGAATGACTTAAAAAGTGGGATACTAATATACATACAGGGAATTTTTGAAAAGCCTTCTATCCGCAGGAATGGTGGCAGCAGTGGTTACTTGAGCAATATCTTGTTATAAACTACGGTTATTGTCCATAGAACTGGGGGAAGTCCCATAGTCATAAGAGCTTCTCTCTGTGTTCTCAGCAAGGAATGGAGTCTGTAGTCCAACGCCAACCGCTGTGTGCTTGACAACAATTTCTAACTAGGTCTAGTACAAAACCATTGTAATGGCTATTTAGGTTATTTTCACCCTGTCTTGCAACTTAAAAAAAAAAATCCTCAGGGTAGCTTATGAAACACAATATACACAACAGGGATCTGTGCTGCTTTCTTCTCCTGCAAACAGTGAGGGCAGGACCCAGGTGGGTAGTTTGTTCCAGGCAGGCTGACTGCCACTGTGGGAAGCTATAAACCATTGCTTTCCCTAAGCACCATCACCAGAGGCTGCTTCCTTTCTTCTCTTCACCTGCCCCCTCCCAGGATTCTAGTCCACAGAGACATTTCTGAACATTGGGAGGGGGGGGGGTCTGAATGGAGACTGCACTGGATTGTGTCCAGTCTTGTAACTCTCTCTAGCCATATTAACACAGCTTTGTTAATATACAGCCAAAGATAGCTAACCTGTGGCCCTAGATGGTGTTAGACTATAACTCCTATTACCCTGGCCCACTGACTGTGCTGGTTAAGGATGATGGGAGCTGGTGTCCCAATGGCATTCAGAGAGCCACAGGCTAACTGCTAATTTAGAATGACATTTACAAGCAGGAGTAAGCCGCAGCAAGCCTTGAACTTGTACCCTTCCGTTCTCCCTATCCTCCAGGAAGTGGCGTTTGGAAGCTTCAATATTAACCATGGTTAACATGAACCACCACAAGTGAACTTGTGGTTTGTCTGGAGTGAGATACCACGAGGTCAGGTCTGGACACTAAAGCCAAACCATGGCTTAACTGCTGGCCGCATGGCGACAGCAGCAGAAACGAAGCAGCTGTGATTTTTGCCCCAATCATGTTTCACTCTTGCTCGTTCACACTTCGCAGTGGTTTGAATTGTCCAGTGAAACTCAGCAGAATTCACTTCCAAGGTTTTGATCTTCTTCACAAATCATCATCTGTCAGTTTAAATTCTGTATTTTAGCGTTATACCCTACATTCGCAATTGTATATGGGGTTGAAACACAGATAGCTAAGAGCGTATAAAAGATAATAGTTAAAAAGTAATTAAACTACAATAGAATTAAAACAATGTAAAAACAAATCTGTTGAAATGCAGGCAGTAAAAAAAACAGCACAGCACTATTAAAAGCCCTTTCCTTAAAAGCAGACAATTCCCCAAAGCCTGCCAGAGCATGACAAATCTTCACTTGCTGGCAAAGGGACAACAAAAAGGAAGCCAGACTAGCCTCTCCATTAACGGAATTCCAAAGTCTGGGAGCAGCCACTGAGAAGGCCCTACCAAATGTGCCTAGAAGAGTGATGGGACTGAGAGAAGGGCCTCACCCAAATATCTCAGACCCTGTGCAGGTTCATAAGGGAGAATATGGTCTTTCAGATAGCCTGGGCCTAAGCCATATGGAAATGGAATTGCTGACCACCAGATGTAGCAGTGGCCAACCCATTAGATGGTGGATGGGAGAGATTGGTGGTAGAGGTGTGTGGAAACCTCTGGCTTGTAATCTCTACTGAATGTAGCCTACTGTACAAAGTTAAGAATTGCATCTGTTGCTGTCCTCACTTTTGCCTCTGGCCTTGCCAACTTAATTGCCTCTGGGGACATCCACCACTGTCATGTGACACACACCCAACTGTTGCTTGTGCATGAATTTAAAATGTTCCCAACCCCTTGTATTGAAAAACAAAGGCTGTGTGTGTGTGTGTGTGTGTGTGTGTGCATGCGCATGTACACATGCGCTCTTCTTGGAACCAGACTCTGATTTGCTTGTTTTAAAAACGAGGAGTTACATTTCCCTATGAAGGACAGTCAGATTAACTATAGCTATTATAGATCTGTTAGTTGTCTTGCACGAACTGCTAGGCCTGCTCTGACTTACAACTTTGAAGTAGAAATAAGATTTCCTTTGCTCAATGTGCATTCGCTTAATACAAAGGGTTAAGGGCAACAATAGATGTTATAGTCTTCCCATCCTAGAAGCTATGTTCTGAATTTTACAAAATAGGGTTTACTTAACATCTGGACATATGTTATCTAAACATGGAAAAACTTTCCAGACAGTATGCCCAAATTAGATCCTCAAACAGCTGGAGAGTGGTTGCATCTGGATGTCTGAAAAGATTTTAGATTGAAGTAAGAACGCAGATTTAGCATTTTGGCACACTTCAGATAGCTTGGATTCTAAAAGGGATCCCAAAGCATGTGAACTGTAATTTTTTTTTAATACAGTTCATAGAACTTACTTTGTACACTAATAGTTATTATGGTATGTTACAGTTCTTAATTTATCACACACACAAACATGCAGACTACATTCACCCTTTTCTGACTTATCAAGGTGCTTCTGGTGTATCATCCTCAGATGCCGCTGTGGTTCTTGTGGGCAATGGAGACCTGAAAATGTTTACCAGATTGGTTAGTCTGGCCAGGGCTTTTGCACAAATGAAGTTGTCTTAGGCAGAGTTGGGCCACTTGCAAAGGTATTTCTCAGTCCTGCTACCTTGAGATCCTTTGAATTAAAAATCCTGGGCTTTTAGCACACAAAACAATTGCTTTGCCTCTGAACAAAGCATTCTTCCCTAACATACCAAAATTTACCATTATCATATTCAAGACCATTTCCTTAGGATATAGGAGGGTCCTATCCCTTATAAAAGTACTCTTTCTGATTTGTAGCAACATAGTACACAGTAACCATTGTTTTTCATGCAAATTGCACTTCACCAGATAAGACAAAACCATCGTTCTACACTATGGCACAGAATGGTTCAGCTTTGTCTGGCTCCTCCCAGTCTTCAAAGCCAGGCACCAAAAACCTTGAAACAATAGAGTCTTCTTCAGTTTCTGTTGACCATCACTTTAATTGAAGATGTGATTTTGAGCAAGGCCTGAGAACAAAGGCTTCTCAAAGCTTGCCTCGCTGTGCCTGTCTCCATTGTGTTCAGTTCCAAGCTATCTGTATGCAGTTAGGCAAGCTTCTGTGCCATTCATACCTTCTGTAATCGAGTGAGTCTGCTGGGGGGGAAATGTCAGTTGTGTATGTGATGTAAAATGTCACTTTAGTAGTAAGCAGGAAAAGTTGGAGGTATGCTGAACAGACATAAAGGGATATGAAAAAAGCTTATTCAGAAAAGGGAAATCATTTTTAAGTTTATTGGGGAGGGGGGAGTGCTAGATCTCCAAATTGGAGTTACAGAGCTGCAGGAATAACTCTGTTGTTAACAGTACCTCATTCTGTTTTTAAACACAACACTTGTAAATTGCCCTGCTTATAAAATTGGTTCTACTGCTATGGATTTGGGAATAAAGGATCTCCTGGGTTAGGAATGTCAACTGGCTTACCATTTTATTTTAAGCATTAATATGCTGCTCAATCATTTGCATTCTAAGCTACATGCATAAAAACAATCCATAGACGATAAACAATTAATGTAACACTACTTTAAAATGTGTGCTGCCAGCCTTAGTCACCCACCTGCACTTCAACAGGGAGGTTACCTGTCTAATCTGAGCTGGGAGACTTCATAGACTTGGTCCCACCATGGAAACTATTTTGTTATATCCTGCTCTACTATTGGTTTTCCTCGACGAATCTGCTAATTCAAATTTTCTCCTCCCCTCACATAGATCAATGAACTGAGCCATGTTCAGATCCCTGTTATGTTGATGCCAGATGACTTCAAAGCATATTCCAAGATAAAAGTGGACAATCACCTTTTCAACAAGTAAGTGAAGCAGTTAGTTGTTTTTAGTTTGGTTTATAATATGGTTTATGTGATTCAGTCATTTGTAACAAGCTTAGACAGTATAGGCACGACCTACTGCATTTTTTGTCATATGGCATACAGTTTTCTGTAAGTATCTTATGTCGAACTGTGACTACAAACTTACTGGAACATCTGCATGTCAAAAAGTGGTATTTCTTAATGCAGGGATGGCCAACATGGTGCCCTCCAGTTGATGTCGTCTTAATGCGCTGCAGAGGGTGATGGGACTGAAGCGATGGCCCATGGGAACCGCAGCCTCCTTGGCAACAGCGAAGTCAGGAACATAATTGCTCTTTCAGTCCTGATATTCTCTGCAGTGCATCAGGACAACAGAACAGAGGAGGGAGAAAAAGATCCTTTCTTGCTCCTTCACATCCTGCTTAAAGGAAGGCAGTTCAAGAGCAGAGGAGGTTTAGGCCCATTTGCCTCTAGAGTTTTATAAGGCAAGGCTAGCATAGGTCTCTTCTGGAAGTAAATGGGCAGCTGGAGCAGTAGCGTAATGTATGTCTGATGAAATGCCATCAGATGAGGAACTGCACCTTCCGTGAAGAGCAGCCGCCATTACAGTGCAGTACACTAGACTTGTCTCGCCAGGCATGAAGGCATGAATGTCTCTTTGCTAGGTCTGAGTCCTGCAAATGAGGTTGGTGCTCTGTCTGAAGTTGCAGGCTCACCGATGGATCCAGGTTCTGCCCCCAGGCTGAGAACCTGCTTAACCAGGGGAAGCTGATGTGGTCAGTGGAAATCCTTTCCCTTCCTGCATATCAGGGCCTGCCAACAGCTACTAATGCAGGCTTGCCTGGATTAATCTTCAAGCAGTTTGCCTGTCACCAACCATGGTGAGGCACTGGTAAGCACTGGCACCTTAGGACCTTGGTTTCATTAAAGGGGCATGCAAGTCTAGCTAGATGAGCTTAAAGCTATCATAACACTCTAGATTTCCATATGAGCTTACCCGCTGGCCCTGCATGATTCCCTGCAGAGGTTGGAATGGGTGTTTTTGAGATACTAACAGCAAATATCTCTGGCCTTTTGTGCCCCCAAATAGCAGAAGAATGCACTTTAATTTTGCAGGCGTTCATTAGGTGCACCCTCCTCATTTCCCTCTTATAACCAACAGTACTAGAAGCTGCCAAAAGAGTTAGTGCAGTAAACAGCATCCTAATCACTTAGACTACGGGTATCGAACTTGCAACCTTGGCATTATCAGCACCATGCAGTAACCAACTGAGCTATCCATGTTGTTAAGCTTCTCTAGCTCTGCACTGCCTGACAGCAGTTCTCCAGATTTTAAAGGAGTGTTTCCTTGCTCCACCAGGAGATACCAGTGATTGGATGTGGCACCACTTTTTTTGGGGGGGGGTATGCAGAGCATGTGTTCTGCCACTGATCTGTGAATTCCCACCCCCTCCACTGCCATTGCAAGTTGTTTTTGGCAGCCTTCCTGATGTTTCTGGAATACAACTTCCATGATCCCTGATTATTCGTCATGCTGGCTGGGGCTGATGGGAGTTGGGAAGGGCTCTGGATTTTCCAGAGACTTTGGATTGCTTATCTCAATCTAAGTAGACAACATTAGGCTAGATGGACCAAACATTGGGCACTGCTGTGCTAGGGTTTTGTTTGCACATGACACAGGCCTCACTTTATCTAGCTAGTTGGACCTTCTAGGGAAATTCTTGGGCAAAATAGAACACATTAAGTTCTTGAGCAAAATATGATGTTCAGTTCAGAGGTTTGTTACAGTTCTGTTTAATGCATTTTGATGTAAATTTACAGTGTTCTGTATTATAGTAACTGTTGCTGTTTTGGAAGGTACTTGGTCTTGTAGGGGAGAAAGCTTACTTCTGCAGGTTTATCTTTATAAATTCTTAGCAAGTTTTTCCCCCTTCAAATCTTCTGTTTCAGAGAAAATATGCCAAGCCATTTCAAATTCAAAGAATATTGTCCAATGGTTTTTCGTAATCTGCGAGAGAGGTTTGCAATTGATGATCAGGATTTTCAGGTAGGCTATCTACCTTGATAAACAATATTGATGATTTCCAGCTTTACAGGCTGCAAGCAGGAGGGGGAAAGACCTGATTTGGGATCATTATTTGGTGGTAATTAAGTGCCCATATTTCATGAATGTGCTCTATCACTGCCTGTGGTTGGGACTGCCTGATCCACACTTGATACTTCTACATTTAAATTGTGTTGCAGCTGCTGTTCCTCCATCAGACCTCTTGCTCGTCTTCCCTCCATGCCTGTGGTGATCAGCAGGCCTGACTTTGCCCCACGGCAGGAGGGATAACCTTGGGCAACAGCTGATGGAGGAATGAGGATGAAGACCTGAAGAGCAGTATCTACAGTTTCTGTGCCTTGGTGTGTAACCTTAGCAAAACTTTATTAGAGAGATATAAGGAAAGTCCTAACGGCACAGTTTTATCGTCGGAAGTAGGTACACTGTGTTCATATCATCAGAATTTTTTGTTTTGTTCCACAAGCTAGTTTAGCGTGGGCTTCCTCAGAAGTATTCTGAAATCCTAAGTGGGTAATAAATGCTCCTTGCCTCATTGTGGAAATAATCTGCCTTGCTGACATATTTTTACACTTTTCAGTTTGTTTAATTTTCCTTCCACTTGTTTCCTCTCTGTCATTTAATATGGTCCGTGTACAAATACCTGCAGCGATAAAGACTCCGAGAGCTAGTAAAATAAAAATGTATTTGGCTAAACTATAAGGTTAAGTTAAAAAAAACCCAAGACACTAATGTTTAATAAGTGCGATGATGAATCTTACAATAAGCTCCTATATGGATCTGCTTGATTGCCAAGGTCATCTTCAGAGAACCTGCTCAGGGTGCCCACTTTCTGGGGTGAAGGGGGTAGCAACAAGAAGCAGGAAGGAGCCACTTCTGATGTCTTGCCCCTGGAACCTCCCTCCCTTGGAACATCTGCCAGGCTCCCTCTTTATTTTTAGAGGACCATGGAAAACATTTTCCCCCTTAACATTCAAGAGGGTGTGGTTCTTACTGCTGTTTATGCTACTGTGTCATATCCGTTGGTTTCTTGTGGGTGGTTGTTTTTTTACTGATAAGTCTTATGCTGTTAGATTGAGAAATCCTTGTGGCTGAGAGGCAGGATACCCATGTGTGGAGAAGCGGTGGCCATTTTGTGAGCTTTTGCCTGGGAGAGTTCCAAATCATATATCAGCAGCAAAACTTGTCAGGGTATTGGTAAAATAACTCCCAAAGGCAGTGTGTCTAGACTCAGTAACACGTTATGAGAGAAGGCAGTAGCTGAGGAGTCTTTTCTCATGGTGGCAAGCAGGTGATTTGGGGGAGCATAAGTGGGTGATCATTGGGTTACTTGAATCTTTTAACACTGACCAACTGCTGATATTACGGTAAGGAACTTAACCATCACGTCTGCCATCAGTGATCCTGATGAGTCATCCTTGAAATAACGAAGGGGGTTGATATTTGATGTTTCTCCAATTACCTAACAGGTTGGGGTTTTAATTTAAAGTACAGTGGTACCTCAGGTTACATACGCTTCAGGTTACATACGCTTCAGGTTCCAGACTCTGCTAACCCAGAAATATTGCTTCAGGTTAAGAACTTTGCTTCAGGATGAGGACAGAAATCATGCTCCGGTGGCGCAGCAGCAGCGGGAGGCCCCATTAGTTAAAGTGGTGCTTCAGGTTAAGAACAGTTTCAGGTTAAGTACCGACCTCCGGAACAAATTAAGTACTTAATCCGAGGTACCACTGTATTGCAAAAGGGGCCTTCAAGCTAAAGTTGCCCCTGAGGCAACTTGCAAGTGACTTAGACCGAAGGGGGTGGGACTCGTGTATTTAAATAAGACAAAATGTACATTGATTATTTAGATTAAGAGCTAAGCAATAAGATGTTCCTACACCTTTTTCAACCAGTAGTTCATTACTAGCCCCTCCTGGTTCTATGCAATTGGCATTGCTTATACAGTGGTACCTCTGGTTACGAACTTAATTCGTTCCAGAGGTCCGTTCTTAACCTGAAACTGTTTTTAACATGAGGTACCACTTTAGCTAACAAGGCCTCCCGCTGCTGCTGCTCTGCCGCCGCACGATTTCTGTTCTCATCCTGAGGTAAAGTTCTTAACCCAAGGTACTACTTCCGGGTTAGCGAAGTCTGTAACCTGAAGTGTTTGTAACCCGAGGTACCACTGTATTAATAAGTAATGGCTGTTCCCCTCCTTTGTTGCAAGTTGCAGTCTTAGGAATTTCTGGTTCCAAGTAACATTCAGAGAGGCATTCTCCTCAATAGGGGAAATAACATTTCATCTGAAAACATCAAGCTAAAATTTTAACAGCTGTAACTTAAATAGAAGCCTTTTCGTCTTGAGAAATGTGTTATTCAGCCAGAAGGGAAACACAAGCACATGCTTGCAACTTCTGCTTTGCACCTCCCCCCCCCCGCCCGCTTCTGAAATTACCACTTCCTTTTGTTTCACAGTCAGCTGAAGTGCTCTGATGACCACTGCCATTCTGACACACAATATAGTATGGCTATGGTAGCACTGCAGATTGAAAAAGGGAGTGCCTGCAAAGGCGCATGCAAGTCAACTTGTCCATTCTTCCTTTTTGAAGCACTGAATGTTAACTTTTTCTACATATTAAAATATTTGGAGGTGGGGGGGAGAAGCTGGATTTGTTTCTAGCCCAACGATGTGCACAGATGGCTTCTGTTAAGGCAACAGAGATGGTTTACAGAGATAGGAAGTAAGATTGTCTGTCTAACCAGGATATATGCAGCTTCTTTTAACCAGAGCCAGGCTATTTGTCCAGCATTGGTCACTGACTGGTCCATAGAAAGCCAGGCCATTGGTCCATCTAGGTTAGTCTTTCCTTCAACCTTTTCAGACTCGGGCCCCACTTCTAACCCAAACATGCAATTGGTGACCCATTTCTCAATATTTTACCATATATTTGCATGGTGTGGCGCTCCTGTTGCATCGCAACCCACCTCGGATTCAGGCCGTAACCCACTTGTGGGTCCCAACCCACCAGTTGAAACTAGTGGTCCATGCTAATTAGCAGTGGCTCTCCAGTGTTTTAGCCACAAGGGACATTTCCAGCCCCATACGAAGATAACAGTGTTTAAACCTGTGTATCACTTCTCGGCCTTTGGGCTAAGATCAAGAGTAGCGTGTAGTTTAAACCTGTGACCTCCTTCTACATGTAAGGCTGATGGTCATACAACAGAGCTTTGGTGGCAAATGGAGTCTCTCTACACCCATAATTTATAGTAACTCTAATTTCAATTACTTGAAAAATGTGGCTTGCAAATGCTCAGCTATTATGGCTGTTATCGCTGAGCAGTGTGCAAGATGAACATGGGTAAAATGGCACACTTCCTGGTTTGTTTAATAGGGCATGTCGGTGTAATTAAAACAACTGTTCTCCCCAAATGTCTTTGCTTGGAATCTACAGTAGATGTCCTTGATAAATTGTTCCAGGGGCTAGACATAATGTGTTTGTAACATGAACTTTTCAGAATTAGGACTGCGTGTAAGTTGCTGCTATTGCACTCAGATCTGAAATCTATTTTATGGAACGCTTGCAAGCACTGAAGTTTCGGAATCGCCTCCTGCACTTAAAGAAATGAATTGATGTCTTATTTCCTAACCAGCAGTTCAAATTGTGTGAATTGTTGTGCTTAATCTCTGTATAAGAACAGGGGCATCTGGCTCCAGTTACTCTAAATAGTTTAAGTCCAAATTCACAAATGTCCCAAACTCACTCTCTCGTTTGAAATAAAGACGTTCTGGTCTCAGTGGTGTTTCTTCCAAGTAAGCATTCTTAGGATTGCTTCCTGAATGGTTTTTGAAGGTACTGCAAAATGTTTGTTTATTGAAAAGTTTATATAACGGGAGAGGGCTAAATGGTCTTGATTTTTAGAATGTGCTTGTTAATGTTCTTCACTCCAGTGAGAGACCTAATCAATAGCTGTCAGACCACTGCCATAAAAGTAGGACAGTCATTAGCAAATGACTTTGACCTTTATCAGGCAAAAGGCTTACTGGGTTTAATCAGTTTGCTCACAAAGAAATAGCAAAACATCTGTTTGTTTTTTAAAAATCAGCTGCTTCACAAAACATATTGTGAGTTTCCTGTCTCAATTAAGATACCAGCAAAGGTTTCTCAGGGTATAAGAGGGTGAACGGCAGTTCTATTATTTTCATCTAGGGACCATATTTTTATCTCTTAAAAGCAAGAGTTCACTTATATACTTGAAATAGTTTTGCACTCTCAGTGAACTTGTTCAGGGAGCAGAAATCTAAGATGACCACCTTCTCCCCACATATTAGTAAGAGAAATGGAACAAACTGCTGATCGCTACCTTAATACTAACTTTGTGAAATCAGATACTCATATGATGTCCAGCATTTTTCATATTCCAAATACAGTGGTACCTCGCGTTACAAACACCTCAGGTTGCAAACACTTCGGGTTATAGACTCCGCTAACCTGGAAGTAGTACCTCGGGTTAAGAACTTTACCTCAGGATGTGAACAGAAATCGTGAGCCGGCAGCAGCAGTGGCCCCATTAGCTAAAGTGGTGCTTCAGGTTAAGAACGGTTTCTGGTTAAGAACGGACCTCCGGAACAAATTAAGTTCATAACCAGAAGTACCACTGTATGCAAGGCCATTTCTTCAGAGTTGCTGATTTTCTATTTGAGAGTAGAGATCTCCCATTTTAGTACCAAACTTCCTGGATGTTGTGCATTGGGCTCTTAGTGTCTTTGATTAGAAAAGGCACTATGTGGGCTTTTAACAATTTTATTACAAAATGCCCATTGATGCCTTGCCATCCATGACATCTTCCATCCATTGTGTAGACTGGGATAGTGCCCGCCAGCATCTCTGCTCTAGAGAACACTAAGCTCTGGTCTCCCTTCTGATGATAAACCCACAGTTCTATGATTCATGTTTTGTGCTCATAGTTTTCCTTGATAATTATATTTTCAGAGAGAAAGGTAGAAGCCCTTTGCATTATGGAAAACTTGTTTTAAGATTCCCTTTTGAGGATGTGCACTGAAGTTATTTAAAAGGGCCATTTTAAAAATGGCAATGTAAGATCAGAGCATCTACCAAGAATTTTATCCCAGATTTTACCCTGATGCGTCTCACGTCTTGTCTTTAAATTTGTAATTTAAAGACAGAATGTTGGATCTGTCATTTCTACTTAACCCTAACCTTTCTAAAAAGTTTTTTTTTAAAAAAAATCCAGCTTTATCATCCATTTCTTCACCTCTGAAGAAAAATATTTCCTCTACTACATTTTTTTCTAACTCCCTTTTTAGGATCACTTTTGACATACTCGGTATGTAGATTAAATATATTGCACGATTGCATAAATAATCTTTAGTCTTGTGAAAAGAGCAATTATAATTTAATGATATTAATATGCCAACGAGAGTATAAAATATTGGAGATTAGAGTGGGCTAATTAAATTGACCTTTAAATCCTTCCTACCCTCTTGGAGTCCGTTGCTAATCCCTAAACTCCCATAGTGCAGATAAACTTCAAAGGGAAATGAGGTGGCTTTTCCTCTGTCCCCACACTGCTCCTGCTGCTTGAAATTTTCATTGAGAAATGTTAAGATAGCACATGTCACAGGATGGAAGGCATCTTATAATGCCTCTCTGAATAACCAGCTTGTGCAGGGAAACGCTAAGACTTTTTACCAGTTGTGGGGCTTAGGTAGTAAAGGATTCTCCCTGCTCTCCCCGCCGCTCCATCCCCACACTATAGGAAAATCGCTGATGTCAGAACTTCAGTTTTTGCTCAGCTCCCAAGCTATGTTTCCATTCTGCTTCTTGAGTTTGTTGCTTTTTGCTACAAACGTGGTTGCTTTCTTCATACACTTTTCTTCTCTTTTGCATAAAGGTAAAGGTAAAGGGGACCCTTGACTATTAGGTCCAGTCGTGACCGACTCTGGGGTTGCTCATCTCGCTTTATTGGCCGAGAGAGCCGGCGTACAGCTTCTGGGTCATGTGGCCAACATGACTAAGCCGCTTCTGGCGAACCAGAGCAGTGCACGGAAACGCCATTTATCTTCCCGCCAGAGCGGTACCTATTTATCTACTTGCACTTTGACGTGCTTTCGAACTGCTAGGTTGGCAGGAGCAGAGACCGAGCAACGGGAGCTCACCCCATTGCGGGGATTCGAACCGCCGACTTTCTGATCGGCAAGTCCTAGGCTCTGTGGTTTAACCCACAGCGCCATCCGCGTCCTTTTCTCTTTTGCATACCTCATGCCAAATCTTAACCCACCTGTCTCTCAGTGCCCAGCTTGCCTTCTCTGCCTCTGTTACTGTTGTTTCACTGCCCTCCTACCCTGGTGGTGATGACTGGCCAGCTGAATTATCTAGACCAGTTGGTGGGAACATTTTCCAGGCTGAGCTCCACGTTCCCTTCTGGATAACCTCCTGAGAGCCAGCCGCATGCCAGCAGCAGCCGGAGCCAAAAGTGGACTGTGCGGCAAATCTGAATTTTACCTTTATACAATAGGCTAGTTTCTATACAGGTTCACCCACCTCTCTAGCCTTCGAACAAACGAGGCATTATCAGAGTTCAAAAGCTCACTTCAGCCTGGCAAGAATCTTAGGGTGCAGATTAGGGCCATTGAGGGATGTGGAGGGCCGTTGAAGGACTGTATGTGGCCTCCGGGCCTCAGTTTCACCACCCCTAATGTAGACCCATTTTAATCTGGCTTCAGGCCTGGGTATGGCACTGAAACAGCCTTGGTTGTCCTGATTGATCACCTGTATTGGGAGAGAAATATAGGGAATGCTTTCCCATTGATTTTTTTTTTAAGGAAGTAGCATTGCGGGGTTTCTGCATGGCCTCATGGCAGTTCTTTAGGGCCCTGCTAGGTTCCACCTTGTCTCTAAATCACTGCTGAGGAGTCATCTGGGAATTCAGAGTGCAGTGCCACCCATATTCAGGTGGTTCCAAGCGCACACTTTACTCAGTCTGAATCATGGGAAATTGTGCAGTGGAATGGATGAGGGCTGAATCCGAATCTTGATAAGGCGGGTGTTGCAGGTAAGTAGTTCCTGAGTGCGTGAATTGAGTAGACACTATGTTCTGGATGGGGTAGGACTTCATACGAAGGAACAGGAGATATTCCTCTATTTCAAGTGGTTGCCTGAAATCCAAGTAGCCTCAGTGACTACATTCTCATGCCCACCTCTACCTGGTTTGCCACCTATTGATGTTCCTGGCCTGGGATTACCTGACATCAGTGATTCATGATCTGGTAATTTCCTGGAGGACTATGTCACTCTACTACATCTTGCATCATCATCATCATCATCATCATCATCATCGTTGTTGTTATATTGAATTTGTTAGTCACTTTATCTTGCTTGGGGCAACCCACAGTGCCATACAGCCAACCAAACTGTCATTATATGTGGGATGAAATGGGGTTTTATGTCATCAATCCTTAAAGCACTACACTGCTGATAGGAGATATTGAGCACAATTCAAGGTGTTGGTATTAGCTTGCAAAGCCCTAAGTGTCTTGGGATCCAGTATCTAACAGAGCACCTTGCAATTTTTATTGGCCTTGCAATCGGCATGGGAAAACCTGCTCCTGGTCACCCTGTAAGACATGGCCCATGGGATGGTGGCACGGAGCTGGGCCTTTTCTGTGGCAGCGCCCCAGTTCTTGGTTTTTCCCTCAGTGTTTGGGCCTTTAACACAAAGGACATAGAACTGAACAGAACAGTTGCCATCACATGCTGCACTAACCTTTTTGTTATGTTGATTTTAAGACCGTAATTTTGCGGTCTTAAAGAGAGGAAGAGCCAGATACAAGAATATTACTTAATAATAATGAAAAACAAATACAGATTGTTTTTATTTATTTTTTTTAAAAAAACCTGTTGGAAAGAAGCTGTGAATTTCTTTGGAAAAAAATATGCTGGGCCTTTTTGGCTTCATCAGGCATATAATGCATTGGATCTAACAAGTGCCTGTACAGCCTCTGGCATGGGACATCTGTTTTGGTTTGTTTGAAGTTGTAAGTGTTAAAGGTCAGTTTAAATTTCATGACCTTCAGCAAATGCTTTTGCTCGACTGTTCTCAGTGCACATGGAAAATCTTTTTATTGACTTCTGCAAATACATCGTGACATTTTCAAGCAAAGGTTGCTAAGAAGGTTGCAGCCATTGGGTAGATATAGTCGTGGGTTTGAAATAAGCTGGCATGTCTCTCAACTACATTCAATATCTGCAAGTAGTCCCCATTATGAGGGGGCAGGGTAGGTCTTGTCCCCTTACCTTTTATGATGGCCCCACTACTTAATGAGTTAGTGCCAGAGATGGGTGCCAGGAGAAGTTGAGGAATACTCACATGGCTTCAGCGAAATTAACTCTTTATTCAAAGAGGCCAGGCAACTCTTCCCAGTAGAACTTGCCCCTGTGAGGCAGTTGTGGAGGACTGAAGGTCCTCACCTTCCCATAGCTCCCTATGTCTCCTCCCCTGGTCCCTTCTTAAGCAATCTGAAGCACTGTCATCTTGCCTGCCTTTGCTCCACCCTCTTCATACCTCTTTGGGCCCTGGGAGACCAGGTGGGAGGGGAGCTGGTTGCAGCAGGAGGGGGAGACTCCCTGGTTTCTTCAGCAGTCTGCTTTATCCCTGCCTCTTGCCCCCCTCCTCTCTAGCTTCTGCCCCAATTCTGCACTGCTCACTGCCACATTCTCTTCCTTCTCACTAAATTACCTCTTCTGCTTCTGACACACACACACACACACACACACACACACACACACACAAATTAGTAGTGAAAACCTGCAAAAGAGGATAGCCAGGTCTGAACTTTTAGTGTGGGTTGAACTTGGGCTAGTAATGCATTTGCAGGTAGGTGATGATGGTGATGTTCTCTTAGGAATCATAGAATTGTTGAGTTGGGAGGGATCCTGGGGGTCATCTAGTCAATCCCCCTACGATGCGGAAATCTCAACACATGGTCCCACTATTCTATGTCCCCCAACAAAGCTTGCCAGCAGTACCTTACATACTGTTTTTCTTAACCAGTTTTGGCCATTGTTCTTTTTCCCTGTCTCCCCCCCCCCTCCCCACATTTGGCATCGTATCTAAGACCAGTGACCTGTTCTGGAAACTACCCTCTCCCTTCTCTCCCTACCCCCTTTAAAAGTTAATCCTGAGAAGAAATTCCCCTGTTCTAGAGCATCTCTCGATTGCTCTGCCCAGCCTGGCCTTAGACCAGATGTGTCTGAATATGGTTGCTTGTAGGCCCAACAGTCTTGGCAGATAGTGAAGGCCTTTCCTTTGAAAAGCTGAGACCCCAGAATTTTCAGAGCATGGCTTCCAATTTGACTTCAGATGAAACCTCCTGCAATGGAACAAAATGCCTACCTATGGTTTCTTTGTTCTGGCTAAGATGTGCTTGGGCAGCAGGGGAAGGCATTTTCTACCTTTGAACTTGTGGAAATGGATTCTGAGATACTAGGCAATGCAAAGTCAGGATAAATGTTGGCCTTATAGATCTCATGTGGCAGAAGATCTGTCCCCCTCCCGCAGATTTTGAAATGCCTTGTTTTTCTAGTGAAAAAGCCTAGTGACCAATTTCTTATGAAACTGCATTTGTTGTTGTTGTTTAGTCGTTTAGTCGTGTCCGACTCTTTGTGACCCCATGGACCAGAGCATGCCAGAGCACGCCAGGCACTTCTGTCTTCCACTGCCTCCCGCAGTTTGGTCAGACTCATGCTGGTAGCTTTGAGAACACTATCAAAACTGCATTACTGTACCTTTATAGGTTGTGCAGAATTGCTGTCTTGTGATCTACTTTGCGGCTAATGAACCAACTTATTGAGACTTTTATAAGAAAAGTTAAGTGGCCGTAACTGCCTAGAAAAGTTGAAGTGTCAACTTTGGGGTTTTTTTTGGGGGGGGGGGTTTCAGGTTGTTTAAGTGAAACTGATGGATAAAGCAAGGTATCTAGTTTTTTTGGGGTTTTTTTAAAGGTGTTTGGCCACCAGGTTGCTGCCACAATATGCTGTATCTTGTCTAGATGCTTTTTCCTCTGCCAATTTCAAGCCATCAGTTGGATATATTCAAGCCTTCAAATTTGTGGAATAATTTTTGTTTCCAAGGTGGTGTTATGAAAGATGACATTTTGATCTGGATGTCAAAACCTTCATATATAGAAGACACAAATGGATTTTTGTAGTGGTTTGATGGACACCCGAATATTAGTTTCAACATGAATTAGGAGAAAGAACTTATTAGATGTGTTGGTCAAAGTTGGCAAGATAAGAAGTATATTTTATAGAAAACTCTTGGGAAAATTCTCATGATATGACAGTTCACATCCCAAGTATGTTTAACTGAATGCACCATATGGTCAGTTTAAGACATGGGTAAGCAAACTAAGGCCCACGGACGGTCTGCGAATCAGTGTGTTTTTACATGAGTAGAATGTGTCCTTTTATTTAAAATGCATCTCTGGGTTATTTGTGGGGCATAGGAATTTGTTCATTATTTTTTTCCAAAATATAGTCTGGCCTCCCACAAGGTCTGAGGGGCAGTGGACCGGCTCCCTGCTGGAAAAGTTTGCTGACCCCTGGTTTAAGAGTTTCGATGAGACACTTCATCTTCTTTTGATTTTTCTGTAGGGAATAATTTCAGTTAGCTATAATTTGAGGACGAAAGCAATCCCAAATGACATATTGAAATCAGCATTGGGGGAAACATCATAACACAGGTTTTGTTGTTGTTGTTGTTTTAAAAAAGAACTGGATTTCCAGGATTCCTGTGGTTAATACATCATGACTATTTGTGGAATTGGTAACATTATATACTCTTGTGATTTACTGTTCTATGCTTTTTGGAATATGTTATTAAATGGTTCTGTATTATAGGCATTGATCTTTAGGCAAAAGATTGATTTCTAGTTTATTGATAGATTAGAAAAATAGAGATTTGTGAGGGATGATAAGTATCTATGCCTAATTGGAAAGTGCTTCCATGGGGCCTGCATGTCTTTAATAATCAGCTGTCATCACGACTTCTGATATCCCTGACTTTGAAACCAAAGAGCTGCAGGATTTCCTGAAAGTAAGGAAGTGGAGCTTCTCAAACCCCACAGGTCTCACTTGTTCTGTTCTTGTTCTCGCCTTCCAAACCTGTAACATGGACCCAAGCTGGTTAGGCACATGGATGAAACAGATCCTGATCTGGATCCATGTTAATCAAACAGAATCTTTCAATCCAGGATATTTTATTATTTGTTGTCCAAGGGTAAAGCAAGTGAGAAATAATAGGTCACCCCTGAAATAAATTAAACTGTATATTCTAACTCAATCCTACACTTGCTGTAGATCCTAGAATTAGTTGTACTAATCGGCAGATGAAAGCATAATAATACTAATTTATTATTTATACCCCGCCCATCTGGCTGGGTCTTCCCAACCACTCTGGGCAGCTCCCAGCAGAATATTAAAAACATGATAAAATATCAATCATTAAAAACTTCCCTAAACAGGACTGCCTACAGATGCCTTCTAAAAGTCAGATAGTTCTTTATTTCTTTGACATCTGATGGGAGGGCGTTCCACAGAGTGGGTGTCACTACCAAGAAGGCCCTTGGAGCTGGACCTCAGTGTCTGGACTGAACGATGGGGGTGGAGACGCTCCTTCAGGTATACTGAGTCGAGGCCGTTTAGGGCTTGAAAGGTGAGCAACAACACTTTGAATTGTGCTTGGAAATGTACTAAATGTCAGTGGTATAGTGGGTTTTCCCCCTGGAGCTTCCCCAGGCAAAAGCTAAGGCAAAAGCATGTTCATAATGAACAATTTCTGTACTGTCTTCAAGGGAGTGGGGCTGGGAACAGCAAGTGACCAATCAGCTAGGGTCCTAGGCTTCCTCTGGTGTCATATGTACACAGGATGGTGATACTGAATATAAATAGTAGATAATTTTGCCAGCTAGCCACGTTGATCTTAGATCACTGCTATTCTTGAATATATATACATGTGGTTCTTACTGGTGGTGGTGATCGTTTTTGGGGTGGGGACCAGAACAATTTTCAGGCTTGTGGCTCTTGCTACTTATAAAATCCATAAGAGTGTTTGTTAGTGGCTTCTATAGTAAATTATTAGTTGATAGCCTTTTTGCTGTGCCTATCAATTATTTTTTTATTGTTTCATGTTGCTTACTTAAGCCATTCCGACTCCTTCCTGGAATGCAGATTATTGCATATTTAATGATAACAGCACCACTGAAGGGATCTACATGTAAATAAAGATCCGGTTTTTTAAAAACTGAGCCTACACTCTTGGCACCATGTTGTGATGGAATAAACCTCCTTTTTCAACACGTCCTCATTCTTTCAGAATGACGCTGCTTTGGACAAAGTGATGTATCGAGAAAATAAAATGCATTGAGCTGTGCTGCTGTTGTAATTCTTGCTCTTAAAATATACCAAGATGAGATACTTGCTGAGACTAGCACCATTTGACTAGCACAGTATTAAATTGCAAAGCTCGAACCTGTATTGTATTGTATTGAAAATGACTGTCTTGCAGAAAAACCAGCACATTTGTTTATCCAATGCTTGCTTTTGTGCTTTTTAAAAAGCATATATTAAATTTCAGCTTGCATTATATATGATGAGAGGGGGAGATATCTGTTCATTGCCAGTAACGTAGCAGGCAGGTGGCAGTGGGTAAATTTCAGAAACGCTTAAACTTTTTTCATTCTAGCAACCGCAGGGATTGATTAAATAGTGTTGTCTTGGAAGAAAATTCGAGAAACAAATTTTGTTTGGATGCGGCCATGCAGAACAAAAGGCACTTCAGTTCACTTAACTCTTGGCATGTAGGTCATGACATTAACTAGTGAATTTAAGCTGGAGTTGAGGCAAAAGTGCGTTTTGTCAAGACCCTCTGCACTGCAAAATAAAGCCCCCTTGGACAACTTTTCTGGAGAGGCACAAATACAGAGAAAGTGTTTGTGTAGCTGGTATCTACCCTTAGAGCATTCTTCCGCTCTCCACCATCCCAGTATCATTCTGGAGCACCAGTTCGCTTTTTTGCTGACAAACTGGCACAAAAGTAAACTTCTGGAGATCTTTTATGGAAACATTTCTCTCCCCAGCCCCCTGCCAGCAAAGTCCTTTCTGAACATTCAGTGCAGCCCTGATTTAAATCTACTGCTAGTAAACCACTTTCCCGAGGGTTTTTTGTACCATAATAGTTCTGCTTTAAGGATATTACAGTACTGCTAAATTGATTCCCCACCTTAGCCTTTTCCCCAGGTGCCCATGTTTTGACAATGGTATGATCCAGCTAGACATCTTATGTTTTAATTAACGTCTTGTTCTGATGCTTCCCCCCCCTCCTTTTTTAACGTGACAGAATTCTCTGACAAGAAGTTGTCCCCTTGCTAATGATTCCCAAGCACGGAGTGGCGCCCGGTTTCACACCTCCTACGACAAAAGATACGTCATCAAAACCATAACAAGTGAAGATGTAGCAGAAATGCACAATATACTGAAGAAATATCACCAGGTAATTAATTGCTTGTTTTAAGGGGGGTGGGCTTGTGAGGAGAAACACATTGATTGAAGTTTATATAATGCAGGAAACAGAAGTTTTAAACTAGAGTTGGTTTGCCACTGTATTTTCAGTTGAATCAACACTTTGGTACATGAATTTTAAACATTATTAGTGGCAGGGGCTAGCAGTTCGAAAGCACGTCAAAGTGCAAGTAGATAAATAGGTACCGCTCCGGCGGGAAGGTAAACAGCATTTCCGTGGGCTGCTCTGGTTTCACCAGAAGCGGCTTAGTCATGCTGGCCACATGACCTGGAAAAACTGTCTGTGGACAAACACCAGCTCCCTTGGCCTATAGAGCGAGATGAGCGTGACAACCCCAGAGTCGTTCGCGACTGGACTTAACTGTCAGGGGCCCTTTACCTTTACCTTTGTTACATTAAAACAAACAGCTCTAGACATTTTTGAAGTCTGCATCCCATCCTGAAATATCAGCCTGCTCAGGTCCTTGGAAAGAGTCCCGTCTCGTTTTTCACCACCAGAGGAAATAAGTCGTGGCACCAAGATTTTGGTGGCAATGCCTCAATTATGGAATTCTCCCCCCTGGAAGTACAGCTGGCACCAACATTGATAGCATTTTGGTGCCAGATTAACACTTGTCTGTTTACCCAGTCATTTATGGGATGTTAACCAGCTGCTGCAATTGGTGTGTTGGAGTATTTCATTTATATTACAATCTGCTCTTATTCTGTTTGGGTTGTTTTAAATGTTAATTTAACCTACCTAGGAACCAAGTGATGGGGCTGGGTATAAAATGTTCTTAATAAAATCAGTAATGGTAGCTGGCATGCTATAGTTGGGAAGATTCCCCTCATTATAGCATCAACATTTATTTGCTTGAGTGTTTTGTCTTTCAACCTCCTCTGTCCAATTTATTTTCTGTGCCTACATGATACACTTTAGCTTTCACCCTAATACCATGAGTGGCAGTTAATATGGCTGATGTCAACTCCTTACCCATATAAATTTGATTAAGCAGTGCAGGCTAACGTTAGACCTAGCACTTACCCTAGAAGTTTTTAGGTGCCTGACTTTAACAAATGAAAACATCAAATTCAACATTACTATTTTAGTTAAAATGAATATATGTGTATCACATTACAATCAGAACAATTAAAAGTTGACAATTACAGAAATAGTGTCTGATATTAACTTGAAACAATTATTTGTGACCCAGTTGTTGATGTGTGAAATATACCTATTTTTGCTATACTAGAGGCAAAATAATAGGAATCACTGACCATTTTGTATATGTATCTATGGCATACTAATTTAGCAACATATCTTGCAGGAACACATGTCAGGCAGCTAGAAGTGCGGCTGGTTCTCCGGAATGTGTACATAGGATAAAGCAGACACATATTTGACTTTGCAGTTCCATGTAAATTAGTCCTTAGTGATCACAGCTACATCTGGGATTAAACTTCATGGCTTTAGATGAGAGAGCATGACTTCAACCATTGTATTCCAAAAAGCAACTACATGTCAATCATTAGGGTCACATACAATGTATTAGCCATACAGGAAGCAGTGATTTTATTACAGTCTGAAATATATATGGAATGTGGTACACATAAGGAATGCCTGTTTTTGAAGCACTTTTTGGCTTTATCTATCTATGTAAGGCATTTTTACCCTCTTTTGAAGAAAAGGCTCCTAGAGCAGCTTACAGATCAATAAAAAGCACACTGGGTTTTGCCTTCAGGCTTGCAATCTAAAATACATGACACAAAAGAAGATAGGAATGGTGAAGGAGGAGGAAAAGCAAAAGTGCCCGTTCTTAAGGTTACTTTTCTTATCAGTTCGCGTAGCCAGTTCAAGGGAGCCTGAGGACAGATACCAGTCCATAACTGAGATGCAGTTGATTCATCCCAAACACATCTTTGCCTGACCTGGACTTGTTTTCTCCTAAAAACAAGTAAACCCCCACCTTCTGTAAGGCAAGACAGAGCAAGTGTCAATCTCTTCATCAACAGCTAAGAAATAAGGCCACAAAGTGTCTTAGTCATGTTTGGAAAGATGCTCCTCTCAGTTTCATTTTTTTGAATTGCCTCTAAAGGTGGCGACTGTCCCTTCTTTTGTGTGTGTGTGTGTTTTGGGGAGGGCAGCAAAGCATAAACAGTGTTTATCATGTCTTTCTTCTTTCCTTCCCTCAAATCTCTGCTTCAGTAAGCATTGCCCAACTGAGGAATAGGAAACACTTGAACATATTGAATGCATTCTGTTTTTAGTTCCGTTTCAGGCATACACAAGTTTACTAATAAATATGCTAAAGGGCACTATGCTTGCCTCGTAGATTTAATAGTCCCAGGAGTCCTGATAGCTGCATTAAAAGCCTATTTATGTTAAACAATCCACATTTTAAACTTAATTGCAGTGTATTTTTTATTTAAAAAAACCCTGTGGTTTATATATGCAGACTAAAAATAAAATATAGCTCTAATCCATCTGCTGCTGCAGCCAACTTCAGTTTACTCTCTTCTCTTTTTCTTCTACCACGTGCCCCCCCCCCCCCCGCATCTGTTAATAACTTTGCAGCCTTTTCTTTCCATTGCATCCTTTTTTTCTGTAGGACAGCTTCCTTTTTAGCTTGTTATACTTCATTCCTGACTACATGTAAGTGGTGCTGATTTCAGTTGAATTTTAAGTTGGAGTTGCCCCACATTCCTTTTTCAGCTTCATGCTAGTGTTTCCCTTCCACCACTTTCCCCTGCCCCAAAGTCAGCATGCATAGGAAACATGGCAGGACTTGGGGGGTGTGTGTCTAAATTTACCGTTATTGTGTGACTATTCTTGATTCATTGGCTACTGGAATGCCAGAGGAGGGGCTTGCAACTATTTTTCTACGAACAGGTTTTGCTGGTTTATCTTGCTTACAAGAGACCCAGTTCATTTCTCACGGAGCAAACTGCTACTCACTGTATGTTTTAACGTGGGTGGGCTGCATTCTTAGCATGTACGTCTCCTTTAAAAATATAGGGGAGTCTGTTTTTGTCTTGTTTCTTCCTGCTTTCTTCTTTGTCTTTTGACCTGGGTGTTGTGAAAACCCTTTTCTGCTGTTGGACCTAAATTGTAGTTGCTAAAAATGAGAATTTGAATCTTCTTCTTTTTTAATATACATATATGCCTTCCATACATATCAAGCTTTTAAACCGATGATTGAGGGGTTGTGAAATGTTTTACTGTGGTCTATGTTACCATTGGGATGCGGGTGGCGCTGTGGGTTAAACCACAGAGCCTAGGACTTGCCGATCGGAAGGTTGGTGGTTCGAATTCCTGCGACGGGGTGAGCTCCTGTTGCTTGGTCCCTGCTCCTGCCAACCTAGCAGTTCAAAAGTATGAAGTGCAAGTAGATAAATAGGTACTGCTCCGGCGGGAAGGTAAACGGCGTTTCCGTGCGCTGCTCTGGTTCGCCAGAAGCGGCTTAGTCATGCTGGCCACATGACCTGGAAGCTGTACGCCGGCTCCCTCGGCCAGTAAAGCGAGATGAGCGCCGCAACCCCAGAGTCGGTCACGACTGGACCTAATGGTCAGGGGTCCCTTTACCTTTATGTCACCATTGTAGCTGTAGCAGAAGTACTGTAGTAATGATCTAGCATGTATATATAGAAACAGCTTTGTAGATACAGTCAGGAAACATAAGACTGTATGGCCTCTGCTTGCACATGTTTACTTGAAGGTAAGTTCAGAGTGGAGCATTACCTAGTAAGCGTGCATAACATTTTAGCCTTGACACCTTTAGCAGTTTCTGCGACTAAAGAACATTGACACAGCAGTGAAGTCCCAGAAAAAGATGTATGCAAATGGCTAAAAGTAATGGGGAAGTGGCATTAAATGCCACAGTTTCTTATTTGTTACCCTGGAAGAGATCTACACTCAGCCATGTAGCTCACCTGGTGACTGGGGGCCAGTCACAGGACTGCTCATTTTTATTTATTCAATTTATAGACCACCTTTATCTTTCAAGGATCTCAAGGCGGTATAAATGGTTCTAATTTCCCCCCATTTCATCCCCACAACAGCCCTGTGAGGTGGGGTAGGCAGAGAGGTAGTAGTGACTGGTCCAAGGTCACCCAGTGAGAGTTCATGGCTGAGTTGGGATTTGAACCCTGTTCTCCCAAACCCTAGTCCAACATTCTAACCATCTAAAGATGTTATTCCCTCTTAACTCCTCACAAAACTCCTTCTAGCTTATAGGGTTGAGTGGTGTGCATTTTAGCAACTGCTTTAAAGTAATGTACAAATGGACTTTAATCTTCTTTAAGGCAGGGTTAGGAAACCTGGGGCTCAGGTACCAAATGCAACCCTCCAGGCTGTGGTCAGAGGCAGCAATCCTCTGAATACCAGTTGCAGGAAAGGGCTCTTGTGCTCAGTGTTATGTATTGAAGTGCTCACCCTGGCCACAAGGGGTATTGTGTACAGTGGTGCCTCGCAAGACGAAATTAATTCGTTCCGCGAGTTTTTTCGTCTAGCGAATTTTTGCATTGAAATTCAATTAATGCGTTCCTATGGTCAAAAAAAGTCCAAACAAAGCCAAATTTGGTACAACAAGAGTTTATTAAGTGCTCTTTAAAGTCACACATACTGTAAAGAGCATTTCAAAAATTGAAGGAACAATAAATTAAGTTTCTAAACATGACAGAAAAACATTTAAAAATCAACAAAGTGTACAGTACATTTTCTAAGACTCTGGGGACAACTCGAAGAAGGTTCCTCTTCCACTCTTTGCTTCTTGCTGAAGAACCCCTCCTCAACTGTTCCCCCAGCCACCCACCACACAGAAATTCAAATCCAGAATTTTTTTTAAAAAACAGCAGAGTGGCCCAATAGTCACAGAAAATCATAAAAATGCAGAAAAAAAAACACAAGCTTCCAGATTCTTGCAAACCCCTCCCCAACACCAAGTCCTTGAATTCCAAACACCCCAACCCAAAATCCAAACCCCCCCAAAAAAGTTTTAAAAGTTTAAAAGAAGTTTTGGAAAAGCTTCAAAAATCACCAAAGTCTTCAAAAACCTCAAAAAAGGCTACCACACTGCGTGCTATGAGTTGCTCCTCGAAGTCAAGTCGCAACTGTATTAACGGTGTTATGACAAGGAAACAAACTTGCAAGACGTTTCGTTTTCGTCTTGCAAGCCCATAGGGAAAATCGTCTTGCGAAGCAGCTCAAGAAACGGAAAACCCTTTCGTCTAGCGAGTTTTTTGTCTTGCGAGGCATTCGTCTTGCGGGGCACCACTGTATATAGTTTTCACTCAGGTCCGCATCAGTTAATTTAGGCGGGAAACCCTGGGGTGTTGTTGTTACAGTGTGACAGCCAGCTGCCTATAAAAGCAGGCTGGCTGAGCTGTTCAGTTCAGTTCAGTTCCAGCTTATATAAAGAACCACTTGGAGAAATCTCTGTGTTGTCTGCTTTGTCAACCCACTACTTAATACTCAGGTTCTCCTTGAGGTTTTCCCCATAGGCACCTGGTGAGTCAGTGTGAGATCAGGATGCTGGACTAGATGAGACCTTGGCCTGATCCAGAAGAGATCTTTTGATGTTCTTATGTTACATTCTCTGTCTTTGGAATTCTCCCCAGGCCTTTCCTTGCACCCCGAGGTTTTCTGTTTGTTTGACTAGAATGCGTCCTTGAACTCTGCTAATGCCTCTTGCTTGGCTGGATGGAGACAGGGTGTGTGTAGAAACAGGCCTATTTGTATAGAGGTGAAATATTTGTAATTCTACCTACTTTGGTCTGTGGCCAGTATTTCCATGTGGCCCTTGGGAGGTTGCCCAGAATGTAATGTGGACCTTGGGTTGAAAAGAATTCCCCCACCTCTGGTTTTAGGTATTGTCACTCTACCCTTCTTGCTGATCAGAAGGTCGGCGGTTCGAATCCCCATGACGGGGTGAGCTCCCGTTGCTCAGTCCCTGATCCTGCCAACCTAGCAGTTCGAAAGCACGTCACAGTGCAAGTAGATAAATAGGTACCGCTCCAGCGGGAAGGTAAACCAGAAGCGGCTTAGTCATGCTGGCCACATGACCCGGAAGCTGTACGCCGGCTCCCTCGGCCAATAAAGTGAGATGAGCGCCGCAACCCCAGAGTCAGCCACGACTGGACCTAATGGTCAGGGGTCCCTTTACCTTTACTCTACCCTTCAACAGGGGTTGCAGTGGTGACTAGGAATGGGTGTTAAGCAGCTCCCCACTCAAGCCTTACTTGTGTAGGGGCGTGGATGGGGTTGTTGCTTAGTTCCTGCTTATCCCATCAGCCAAGTTGGCTTCCAGAATTGCTGGGTTACAGCTTCTGATCTTGCTCTGTGTGCAATGGCTGAGCTGTGGGCAGCAGAACAGCTAGCAGATTTTTGCAATTAGTGTTGTGGTATAGCCAAGATTATTGAGATTTCTGTACCCCTTGGCTACAACCTGTAACACTGAATGAACCTGAACATTGAAAACATAATGATCTGCTTTTTCACACCTGACAGATCACTGTCTTGCCAAAAGTATCTTCTCAGGGCTGATCTAGAAATAATTTAATGAGGCCATCTATACACCAAGCTTAAATTGAGTAGGAGATGACTCTCTAAATTGGCTTCACAGCACAGAAACTCTCTTTTACCAGACATTTGGCATAAGCTGTAAAGGTAAAGGTACCCCTGCCCGTACGGGCCAGTCGTGTCCGACTCTAGGGTTGCGCGCTCATCTCGTTCTAGAGGCCGTGAGCCGGTGCCGTCCGAAGACACTTCCGGGTCACCTGGCCAGCGTGACGAAGCTGCAGCTGGCGAGCCAGCACCTGCGCAGCACACAGAAACGCTGTTTACCTTCCCGCTATAAAGCGGCACCTATTTATCTACTTGCACTTAGGGGTGCTTTTGAACTGCTAGGTGGGCAGGAGCTGGGACCGAACGATGGGAGCTCACCCTGCTGCGGGGATTCGAACCGCCGACCATACGATCGGCAAGCCCTAGGCGCTGAGGTTTTACCCACAGTGCCACCCGCGTCCCTTTGGCATAAGCTGACCACCCTTTAAAACAACGCAAAACCATTCTGTTCGGGCTAGCTGGGATTAGAGAAGAATTTTTGTCTAGCACATCTGTATTTGAACTTTTACTTGTCAAAGCCTTGTCGTTAAATGCACAGTTCTCACCTTGAACATTTTTAGGGCAGGGTATTAATGAAGACTCATTCAGACTTGCATCCCTTTTTGTGAAATAGCTTTTATTTACACTGTGTGAAGCAGTGGAACTTTAAAAATATATAGGCCCTTTAATCTCAAAGGAAAATGCGTGTCTTTTTGTCAAAATGTATGCTGAAATGCTCTGGAGGAATTATCCTGGAATATATTGAAATGATCAAAGCACCGGCAAACCAAAGAACAAAGTCGGAAACGATTGCTGTTGCCAAGTAAGAGTTTCAGCAGCAGTGACAACTGCAGAACTCTTGATAGACATCTCTGTGCAAAGGAGATCAATGTAAAAATATGAAGGTTTAAATTATAAATACCTGATACAGTTGGCTTCTTTTTATTTCAAGAAGGTTCCCAGGGGCTACTCATACATCAGATGATAATGATGGATTTCACTGCTGTGGAATGAGTTGTGGTTACTGATGATTTTTCAAAGGGGGGGGGAACCTGTCATCTTAGTTAGCTCCAGCTCCTTTAGAACCACCCACCAAACTGGCACTACTGATATCATGAAATGCCTCTTTTTATTATTATTCTTTCCACAATACACAATAACAGGGTTGTACTTGTCAGGGCACCCCCAGTATGGAGCCTGCTGCCATCTCTGAAGTTTCTCAAGCTCCGCAGCATTCAGTTATTGTGCTCCAGACCACAGAACCTCACTCCAAGTGCAAGGAATGTTTTGACACACTCCTGGTAATAATGTTCACTTTCTTCATAAACAGTCTGCTAGAAACTGTAGAATAAACCATTGCTCATAGATCACATAGGGACTTCTGCATTGTCACAGTGAGGTATATTCTGAAGAAGGTCCCTTATGGTGCCAGAATTGTGTCCTATATAGAGAGAGGAAGGAAGAAACTGATGGTAAAATGTTCTTCATTTCACTATGGAGTCAGGGATTTTATTTTTTCTTGTTGGCTTGGAACTTTGCATTCTGTTCATGCTCTGGAGCTTGAACATAATGAGCCACTGCCTCTGGAATTTTACAGGGATAGGGCATCCTGGATAAGTGAAATCAACATAATGGATTTGTAGGAAGGATAAATCTTTTTGTGGGGGCTTTACACACATAGATGGGGGCACACACCCATAGTTTCCTAAGACATGGAAACACCCCTTAAACATACATTCCTGAAGATACACTGGAACAGCCAAGTTGTGCTGAGGGAGGAGTCCATAGCTCAGAAATCAGTCTGGTCACTATTAAGTCAAGGATATGGAGTCCATGGCTCTCCATTTGTTGGACTACAATTCCCATCACCCACACCACTGCTTGCTGGGACTGATGGGAGTTGGAGTCCAATAACACCTGCATAGTCCTAGGTTCCCCATCCCTACTCTGAAAATGCAGTGCCAGTAAATTAAAGGAAGTGTCCAGTCTTTAAAATTATGTCTTTGGAGGATGTACAAGGACAGGGAGAAAGGATAGATAACTTTTTCCTCCCTCCCCAACCCCAAACTTCGTCAGCAAGCTTGTGTAACATGCTGCTTTTTCCTGGTCAACTTGTAGATTTATAGGAGCATATACAGTACTTCAGGGATGCGGGTGGCGCTGTGGGTTAAACCATAGAGCCTAGGACTTGCCGATCAGAAGGTCGGCGGTTCAAATCCCCGCGACGTGGTGAGCTCCTGTTGCTCGGTCCCTGCTCCTGCCAACCTAACAGTTTGAAAGCACGTCAAAGTGCAAGTAGATAAATAGGTACCGTTCCGGTGGGAAGGTAAATTGCGTTTCCGTGCGCTGCTGTGGTTCTCCAGAAGCAGCTTAGTCATGCTGGCCACATGACCCGGAAGCTGTATGCCGGCTCCCTCGGCCAATAAAGCGAGATGAGCGCCGCAACCCCAGAGTCGGCCACGACTGGACCTAATGGTCAGGGGTTCCTTTACCTTTACCTTTATACAGTACTTCATATAATAGGAATGCACACTAGATAAACAGAACTTTTTATTTTAAAGGAAACCCTACTTGGTTTCTGGTTTCCTATTTTGGGGCCATAGTAAGTAGGGCTAAAAAGTCCCAAGGATGCGACCTAGAAGAAGCACCACACAGCATAATATCTCAGTTTATCTTAAATGACCCAATGGCTTGGACTTCTGATGGTGGCAGTAAGGCAATAACCTGTCTGAAATCGCCCTCCCTGAGCAAATCTGGAGTGTTAACAGTTGTTTTAGCAATGAGTTATTTCATGTAATTGTATGTACAATCATGCAGGTTCATATTTAAATTTGGAAGGTGTATACTCCTTAAACGCTTAGTCGTTTACAGTGCTGAGCATCTTCAGAAAGTATAATTAGCTCAACACTGTGCATGTCTTACAAATCATGAATTTAAAAGCCTTCTACTTAGTATATGCCTAGCATGTAGGGGATGCCTTACTACACAATTGGGGCAACTGATAATTTATGCTATATCCCCCTTTCACTTAGCATAGATGTCTTCTTTGAAAAGGCATTTTCTCCAAATCACATTGTGTTTATTAGCAATTTGAGTGGAAAGAGTGCAATTGCATTTCTGTCCGTGTGTGTGTGAGAGGGGGGGGGGAGACTGGAGCTCCTCTTTCAAGATTTATTGTAAATGCAACACAAGAGTGCAGATAATTGCTGCCTTGATAATCCATTGCTTTTTGTGTCTGTAACACAGCTATATTAATATTTTCATCAGGGTAGTGGCATGACTGGCAAAATAGTTTGGGGATCAAATAGTTGGTGAGGGGACTTACACTGTGCAGAAGCCTGATGAAACAATAGTACCAAAAGACTGTGCACAATGGAATTGGGCAAAGACTACACACAATGGAATTAATTTGGTGAATGTAGAGAGAAGTGGCTCCGGTTTGTAATGCTAAATTTCAAAGGACAAGTGGCACATCTTAGGAGGACACACACACAGAGAGAGAGAGAGAGAGAGAGAGAGAGAGAGAGAGAAGAATAGTGACTAATAAGAGCTGTTGGATTTAGTTTTAATACTCAAGATAAATTTTAGTATACGAATTCTGGAATTTACTGTGTTAAACAGAGATGGAATTACACATTGTCAGTACACTATGCAGGAGTCTTTGTCTGCTGGCATCTAAGAATGAGCAGTATGTGAGGCCTTTGTTTAAAATGCTACAGTACACTCGCTGAATGTGTTTAGGAAAATTAGTGTTTTTTCTTTTCTTTTCTTTCTTCCCATAGGGCTCCATTTGTCTTTTATTTATAGATTTGTTTTTAAGTAGTGAAAGCTTTAGACAGTTTTTAAAAAAATACTAATAAAGAAAACTGAATTCTTGGAATGTATCAAACGAAGACTTGTTTGTGACTAGATTTCCAATTAATGTGTAGGCAAAAGTGAAACTGTCAGTTAATGGGCACCAACGAAAATCCTGTAGCCCTCTTTCCGAACAATTAATTTTGTTTGCCTACTTTCCAACAGAAATAGCAGGAATAAATAGGTTTTAAAGGGGGTGGGAGGTAGGAAGTTTTAGAGTAATCTATTAGGCTTTTGGATGGAAAACTTATTTGCCCCTCACCACACCTTTTTTGTGTGTTTACAGTAAGTTTTATTAATAGCCACAGACAATTCCCATTTCTCTGCATAACGTATCAGGAAAAAAGGCAAGAGTTCTAACTAGTATATATGAAAAAACCTGATACAGTCAAACCAAATACCTCCGTTTTGGAACATTTTCGCTCGCGAACAACGAAAACCCGGAAGTGTGTGTTCTGGTTTTTGAACATTTTTCGGAAGCTGTGAATGTCCACGGCGGCTTCCGCTTGAGTACAGGAAGTTCCTGCAGCCAATCAGAAGCCACGCCTCGGTTGTCGAACATTTTGGAAGCCAAATGAGCTTCTGGAATGGATTATGTTCGACAAACGAGGTTTGACTGTAATGTAAAACCCTGGAGTGTGGGACATGGGTGGCGCTGTGGGTTAAACCACAGAGCCTAGGACTTGGCAATCAGAAGGTTGGCAGTTCGAATCCCTGCGACGGGGTGAGCTCCCATTGCTCGGTCCCTACTCCTGCCAACCTAGCAGTTCAAAAGCGCGTCAGAGTGCAAGTAGATAAATAGGTACCGGTCCGGCGGGAAGGTAAGTGGGGATTCCGTGCTTTGCTCTGGTTTGCCAGAAGCGGCTTAGTCATGCTGGCCACATGACCCGGAAGCTCCCTCGGCCAATAAAGCGAGATGAGCGCCGCAACCCCAGAGTCGGCCACGACTGGACCTAATGGTCAGGGGTCCCTTTACCTTACTAAAACCCTGGAGAGCTGCTTCCAGTCAGTGTAGACAGTACTGAGCTAAGTGGACCAGTGATCTGACTTAGTATAAGGCAACTTCCTTGAGGTATGTGAGTTGTGAAGAGCACACAATATGCCATTTATCACTTCTCTCCCTGAGGGAGCAGGGTGCCTGTCAAGGATTAGATGTGCCAACAGGGTTTCCTTCCTCCTTATCTCCTCCAGCTGTGCGCCTGCTGTTTTCTTATCCTGCCAGCTGCCAGCATGCCAGCGTATTTAAACCTTAAATTAGAATACCTGTTTTAGTCATCACTTTCCGGTCCAATGCCATCATTTATTTTAATAGCCAGTGTGGTGTAATGGTTAAGAGCGGTGGACTCGTAATCTGGTGAACCGGGTTCGATTCCCCACTCCTCCACATGCAGCTGCTGGGTGACCTTGGGCCAGTCACACTTCTCTGAAGTCTCTCAGCCCCACTCACCTCACAGAGTGTTTGTTGTAGGTGAGGAAGGGAAAGGAGAATGTTAGCCGCTTTGAGACTCCTTCGGGTAGTGATAAAGCGGGATATCAAATCCAAACTCCTCCTCCTCTTCTTCTTCTTCTTCTTCTTCTTCTTCTTCTTCTTCTTCTTCTTCTAGCCTTTGCATGTTTGGTAGTGGGGTATTATCACTGGTCCAAATGAGACTAGGGGTACTTACTTTAAAAAATTGAACAAATATACTTATGATTTATGAAATATTAATATAATGGTATGTTTACTTTCAGGTAAGTTCCATAATAAAGCTGGGTTTAATATCTGACACAAAATATTACTGTTACGGGTCTTACAGCTATTTTAAATCGATGATACTTGAACATTAGTGTTACTTGTGGTTTAAAAAGACAGCAAAGTGTTTGCTCAAGATCTTTTCCCTATACGGTAACCAGAGTCAAGTTATACTCCCTAAGCCCACCTCTGTTTAATTCTCAAACTTATTAAGAGAGCATTCCTTGTGTGAACTTAATTTGATAAATAGAAACTAAAATCATAGTTGGATGGAAAGCCATCTCTTTCATCAGTCTGGGAATACAGAATATATAGTCCTGCGAGGTAGCACAGTACAGCAAATATGGTTTGAAAAAGAAACACCTATATTGTAGAACATTTATGTTTTTAAAAGATAGGGCAAATGAAACAAATACATTTTAATGCTATGTGGGTTTTTCCTGGAAGAAAAGTAATGTTGAGTGAAATTCAAAATAGTTGTTATCTTTGGATATGAAGAAAAGGCTTGTTTCACTCCATATTTATGTCACAAATGTAGTGTTTTATATCTCCCCTGAGATTAACCCCCAGTCTGTTTCTATACTATTATAGATGTTGCTAGCAACCTGAAAAGCTGTTTGATTACAGCTAAGAAGTGTCTCCAGATATGGTTAACTTTGTTCATTGTATTCTTCTAAATACATTTCCATTTAATGTTGAAGTCACTAAACTAGGTATTTGCAGAACTGCAAAAAATAATAATAATTGTGTAAATTGTTGACTTTTGCACTTAAGAATTTGACTTATTCTGCTGTAAAAAAAAGGAGTACTTTTTATTTTTTTAAAAATCCTTTATGGCATTGTACTATGCAAGTGTAGTCAATGCCATCCATCCTCCAATATTCATGTTATTGTATTCTCAATAGTAATACAATTCTAGGTGTCTTTTGCTTGGGAGAGTTCGGACTTTGCACTAAACCATAGTTTAGTGTGATGAGAATGATTCTCAGGGAGCTCCAGGCTCATGAGCTTCCCTGCCCCTTGTCCACCAGTGTAGCCACAAGGATATGTTGGAAGCTTTTGCTTCTGTTTTCCATTAACTACAGTCTAGCATTCCATTTGCATCTAAACTATGGTTGATGTTAACAGTGGGTCTCTGGAAACAACAGGGGAATAAGAAGCTCCAAGGTTTAGCATGGCTTCTAAATGTAAGCACTGAAATAAAGCAGAGAAAAAAATTGCACAGTTAGGTAGGTAACTTCTATTTGGTATAAATGGAAGTATCTGCTGGGTCATAGGCATGGACTGAAATCCAGAGAGGAATGCATACAGAAAAAGGATATATCACTTGGGGTGCTGCTCCCTGACTTTCAGGTAGGTTGGGGAGATACTACTACTAGGAGTTGATAAGCCCCTATGAACCTGCTGAACACCGAATATGGTGTTGCGGATCTAGGTCCTTTTCTGGCTCCTCATAAATGGTTGGGTGTAATTCTTCCTTCCATTAACTGAAATAACAGAAGTTTCTTTTTTCAAAGAACACAACCCAAAAAGTATTTTTGATGCATACTGTGTTTATATCTGCTAGCTGAACGGGGCATGATATCTATTTTGATAGCTCCCATATATCTGCAGGTGGCAGGCTCCAAGGCGGACATCCTTTTTTGTGAGGGAATGCTGAGATCTTAGAAGTGAAAGTACATAGTTTCTACCTGCTGGAAGTGAACTGTGTAATCATGAGGTGCAGATTTGAGGTGAGAACTAGTAGAGAAGGGAATTGCTAGGTTATGTGAATTCTGACTGTTTGTGAGAGACGAGGATTAGCGAAACACCTTGAAGAGATTCCTAACTAAATGGGGGGGAAATGTGTGTTCACTTTTCATATCTGTGTGGAAGAACCTTTTCAAATTCTGCAGTTACCCTATAGCGTGGCCCACCAACAGTTAAGGAATGTGGGCCTTCTAGAATTATTTTTTCTAATTGTTTGCATTGTGGTATAACTTTTCTCATCAAATCTGTATGTCTGAATCTTTGTTACTTCTGTGTATCTCTGCAACAAATAACCAGTATGTGTCAAGTTCTAATATAATTTTTTTCCTCCTAGTTTATAGTGGAGTGTCATGGCAACACACTACTTCCTCAGTTTTTGGGAATGTACCGGCTTACTGTTGACGGAGTCGAAGTATATATGATTGTTACAAGGAATGTATTCAGCCACCGTTTATCTGTTTATAGAAAATATGATTTAAAGGTGAGCACTGAGCGGCTTCTGTTATGAATATTGCAGTAGCTGCCTTGATAGTCCCCTCCCCCCCAAACGGTACAAAATTCTGTGGGTTCTTAGAGGCTATCAGTAGCAGTACACCAGAAAGTGTCTAGGAAACTCTTTCGTTAAGCTATTATTATTGAAATAGTTTGCGGCTTATCTAACACCCAGACCTTTTATGGAAGTAAGATAACGTTGAGTTGTATTGTGTGCTGTAAAGGAAGTGGCTTAGCAGAAGTATGCTTGTTAAAAGTGGATAAGTGCTAATGGTTGCAGTGAAAACCATTTGAGGGGTAAAAAAAATAAATAAATAGCTGAAGCAGCTCTCATGTCCTTAATGGATTCTGTAGACTGTTACAAATCAGTCTGCATGCAGATTTTTTTAAAAAATAAATAAATTAAAAGAACCATTTTAATGGTGTTAGGAAGAATGTGTTAAAAGTTGAGCTAATATTTGTAGATTCAAAAACCCTAGTAAGCAACTTCTGTTTTCTGTTACCATGACCAAATATATTAGGCTGCAGTCCCACTTAGCAAGGGAGTAAGCCCCAATGTACTTAATGGGGTTTCTGAGTAGACAAATATAGGATTGCACTGTTTGTGTGTTTAAAGCTGTCAAACTGGCTCAGATTAGCTTATTCATATCCTGTCTTGTTTCCTTAGCAAGGAACGTGGCGAGCTGAAAAAAAAATGTTTCAAATGGAAACTGGCCTCTCAGGAAGACTGACTGACCTCCGGTGCACTTTATTTTAACCAGCTGATACATGCTCTTTTAGCAAAAGAAACCGGTGCATACCTTCCCATATGATTTGCACCTTTGCATTTGCTTACAGACTGAAATGTAACTGTAGGGTGGCCTTGAGAACTCAAAATCCAGAATGCAAACAATCTACGTTCTCTTGGCTTAAATAGACGTGTTTGCTGGCCTAGCTTATTTTGAATGACAACATAATTCTTTCACCCCCTTTTGGCTGTAGCGCACCCAATGCCTTCTCCCTTACGTTAGTATAAATGGTTTTCTGGAGACAACAAAATTACTGCCTGTCAGTTCTGCTACCTGCCAAGAGTGGCATGCAGCTAACATTAATACTCCCAAACATCAGGCCTCCTCGGTTCCTACAAATTCAATTATATGTACATTGTACACCAATTCAAAATTTTAAACTTGTCTCACTAGCTGCAAAAGTTGGTATTTGGCAGGGCTGATATGCTCGTCAATTGACAAGTCCAATCATAGATTCATAAAATTGCAGAGTTGGAAGGGACTTCAAGGGGGTCATCTGCTGCAACAACCTGCAATGCAGGAATCTCAACTACAGCATCCATGACAGATGGCCATCCAAACTCTGCTTAAAAACCTCCAGTGAATGAGAGTCCACAACCTCCCAAGGGAGACCATTCCCCTGTCAAACAGCTCAAATCAAAGATGGTCAACTGCCTGTTACTTTTTTTTTCATGGTGTCATCTGGCAAGAGTTCTATGTTGCAATTGGACATGCTGTCCTCAAAGCTTCGGTCACTGTATCCCTGTTTTTAAAATTGCAGACATTTTTAATTGCTTTTGAATGTTGCATATACTGTAATCTGGGTGTGTGTAACTTTGCATCAGGGCTACGGTGAAAAACCTTACCATGAAACTACTGGGGGAATTCTGCATAAAAGAACACCTATGCCCTTCCGTTTTATCCCCAGTAGCAATTTAAATACAGTATTTCTGTTTCAGGGGTCTACAGTTGCAAGAGAAGCCAGCGACAAGGAAAAGGTATGGCAAAGGTTATGTTTCCTTAAGTTGCCTAACTTCAGTTTTTAAGAAAGGGAGAAAGAGTGATAATCATGCACCATGATTCTGCCATCACTCTGCCTGTAAATAACAGATGCTGGTTTCAAAATAATTACAAATGTTTATTTATACATTAAGAAGCATAGGAAATCAGACAGCATACACACATTCTGAATTACAAGCATTAAATAAATAATAATACAGTACTATTAAAATACATACAGTACTGTTGAGTTAAAAGGATCTCAGTAGTCATTTCTAGGCTACTGCTTGGAGAAGCAGATTTGACTGGTTACCAATTTGCTTCTGGGCATAGTTCAGAGTTTGGCCTCAAAGAAAAATGGTGGTTGGGTATTTGCATGGCATCCCCCTCTGCCACTGGTGTATTTTCTGCACCAGTGCATAGGTGCTAATGGGGAATTTTATGCCCTGAGTCAGTTGGTGCCCCAAAGTCTGGATTAGGGTTTCTGACAGTGTGTGTAGACTCACATCACCATGCCTGAAATGCTCAGCTTACCTTGTTGTGCTGCCTTTTTCTCTTCTCCTTTGCCAATGCATCTTCACCTTCCTTTACTGCTTCCTCTGCCTTTGTGTTAAGGACCAATTTACACATATCCCTGTATAGAAGTGTGAAGAAATAAGCGTGTGCTGCCCTCTACCCAGTCACCTTTCCAGAAGTTTTAGCTAAAAATACCTTGCACAAAAATGCTTTGTCTTTGTTACAGTGACCTGGTTCACATAAACATTGGCTACAGCTTGTGGTTCATTGAGGAGAGCTTCACCACAAAGCCATTTTTGGCTGAAACACTAAGCCAAATCTGGGCTTAGCTCAGCGCAGTATGGGAATAAAAAAAGGGCTTAGGAGGAGCAAAGCAGTGAACCAGGCCACTGAAGCTTCACATTAACTTGTATGTATGTCTTAAATTGGCATACCTAGAAAACAAGTTGGAAAGCTACCTAGCATGCCTTTAACTTTTTGACTAACCTTGGGCATAGTACAGCTATTCAATCCAACATGCTTTAGCCAGATATCTCTTAGGGCAGGGGTCAGCAAACTTTTTCAGCAGGGGGTCAGTCCACTGTCCCTCAGACCTTGTGGGGGGCTGGACCATATTTTGAAAGAAAAAAAGAACGAATTCCTATGCTCCACAAATAACCCAGAGGTGCATTTTTAATAAAAGGACGCATTCTACTCATGTAAAAATACCTGGCAGGCCCCACAAGCAACCCAGAGACGTATTTTAAATAAAAGGACACATTCTACTCATGTAAAAACATGCTGATTCCTGTACCGCCCGCAGGCCAGATTTAGAAGGCGACTGAACCGGATCCGGCCCCCAGGCCTTAGTTTGCCTACCCATGTCTTAGGGCAGCGGTTCTCAACCTGTGGGTCCCCAGATGATGTTGGACTACAACTCCCATCATCTGGCCTTGCTAGCTAGGGGTGATGGGAGTTGTAGTTCAACATCATCTGAGGACCCACAGACTTCTGACATCAGGGGTGGAAGTGTGGCTTCTCCCAGTGCTGTGTGTGGTGGCAGTGGTGAGGAAGCACATGATTCATGACACCTGCTCCTGATCTCCCTATACCGGGGCTGGATTTAGGTTTGATGAGGCCCTAAGTTACTGAAGGTAATGGGGCTCTTTATATAGCAGGCGGGGCCCATTACTTACATCATAGGAGCCTACACAACACAAAATACTGTTGCTGTATGTAGGTTTTATTTATTTGTTTTTTATCTTTTGGAAGTGTACATCCAGTTTTTTTTCCTTTAAATTTTTTGGGGGGCCCCAAGAGAGTGGGGCCCTAAGCTATAGCTTGATTACTTTTTCGTAAATCTGGCACTGCCCTATACCATAGTTAATTGGGGAGCAGAGTATCAGAATTGGGCCCTTTGGATGTGCAGCATTTGTGGGGCGTTTTGATGGAGAGTGCAGCTGAGCCCCACACTATTTCTTCTGCTAGACTTCTGACAAAACAGATGTGTGTGCAACGACTATTGACAAGGTGAAGGCTGGCCTTGCAGATGAGCAACACGTTTCCTTTTTTACTGTAAATACTCTAAAATGGCTTAACTTAATCAAATCGGTCATAAAAGCAAACAAGGTCTCAATTAAATGGGAAAATACGATGCTCTGTTCCTTACATTTAGAATCATTACTTGTGTGCACTGGAGCCGTAGCTCATTTGTGCCCCCTTGTGGCTATTCACATTTTGGATAGCTCTGAAATACTCCCTTGCGCTTTTGATCAGGAAATTCCTTGTTTTCATTGCTTGTTTCACTGGGCTCATTGTTTTGAAACGGTTTTTATGTGCCAGCTTTCTCTTGTCCATTTCAGGCCAAAGAACTGCCGACATTCAAAGACAACGACTTCATCAACGATGGCCAGAAGATTTATATTGATGAAACGAACAAAAAGATGTTCCTTGAAAAGCTTAAAAAGGATGTTGAGGTAAGGGGCTGCTTGCCTGGTCAGCTCTGAAGCTCATCACACTTAGCAAAAGCCATAGTGACTATTGTAGTGAGACCTCCAAGGCAGATTTACCCCACCAATTCAATATTGCAAAATACTGCAAATAAATGTTATAGTGACCGGTAAATTATTTGTCCTCCCGATTGTAACAGGGATTTTGCTGGTGTTTTTTCATGAGAACAATTTGTTACGGAGGGCACCCATCCAATGTTCAGGGATGCCAGTTCTTCTCATGGTACCCACAAAAGCTATCAATGAAAATTCCTGATATAGGTGCCTTTCCTCCCCCCTCGATGGGGTGGCATGCCTGCACCAATTCATGATTCTGTCTCTTTTTCTGCTCTCTTAGATGTGGCAGCCATTGCACGAAAGCCCCACAGCAGTCATTTTATGGTGTGCCATGACTCTGCAGGTCCATTTCATGACTGGTGCTCATGGCACTTTCTCAAAGTTCAAAATGCATCCACTGGGTCAAAAAGGTTGGAAACCCCTGAAACGAGGAGATAAAGGGGGATTAGAGCCATGGTAGGAATGCTGAGGCTGAGGCAGGCTAGTACTTCCCTTAAGCTGGTGGTGTAAACTAGCATCAGGGGGAAAAGCACAAATGTTGCTTCTGTTGCTTTTAATATTCATGGCACTGCATCTTGAACTGTTAAAATGCTCCGTAAACACTTGATGTGCCTCTGAAATAGGGGTAAAATTGCATTTTCTGCTATTTTAAGTATGACAGATTCTTGGAAGGTCAGTCATGTAATTGTGTTTGGAGTGGCTTCTGTGGCATTGATTAGAATTCATATTGAAGGATCATTAAATTGTGTATGTAGGCAATTATTGTGTAGTGGTTTGGCATGCCACGGTGATAATGGAAAACTAGAATTGAATCTTGGTTTTATCTTTCACATTCTTATTTTTTGGGGGGAGGGCATGCTAAGAGCAGTAACTGTGCTCACAAAATACTTAAATTTACCCCAATATATTTAGTTGAATGTAATTCAGTTTCAAATCAGTTTTAATCTTTGATTTATGTTTATAGCAGGGACTCTCTGAATCACGGCTTTGCTTCCTTAGAGTCCAGTTCTTCTGGAAACTCTGCACTCAGCTTCTGAGTTTGCTTGATTATTCAGTGTGGCTTTTCAGTTGCATGCAGCTGGGATGGGGCTAAGATGCTTAACAAGCCTTCATGGCAGCCGTCTAATGTATATCAAATTATTGCACTGCTGCAGCCTTGTCTTTAAGGATCAAACTAGTTGCAACATGGCAAATTGAAAGGGAGGGTTGGACAGTGGCAGGAGCAAAGGGTTAAAAGCCCCCTTCTGCATCCCCTCACCTTACCTATTAGTTTTGGGGTTTTTTTTAAGTAAATCAAGCAATGCACATGATGAACATTACATAGACTGAGGATGTACTCTCCACACTGATCTGCCAAATCTGTTTTCCTTGCAGCTGGCATTCTTTTATTGAAAGTTGTCATGTAACAAAGCATTTCTTAAAGCAGCATAAATTTGGCTCTTCTGCCTTGCTTCACCAGTTCAATTTTGCCCCCACCCAGTCACTGTTCATGCACATGGTCCAGGTAGAATGTACTCTTGGAGCGGGATATATAGGCTTTGAGTGCATGATCTAGTTGCAGGGTACAGATCATGTGTTCAGAGCCTTAGGCACACTAGGATGCAGTTTTGCAGACTCCTGTACAGAAGCTGTGGTCACTGTATGGCATCCCCCTTGTGTACATATGCAAACAGTGGGATCATTGGAGCTTGTGGGAAATGAAGCCATGTGTCTCACCGACATTTAGGTACAAATACATTAGTTCCATACTATTTTGCTTTTAAACAATGGTTAGTGAATTCTGCAAGTTTCAGACATGGTGATTACAAGAATTTTCCTACTAAGGAAAATTCACTTATAAATGACTACAATATCTAAGTCCTGTTAGCCAGAGCATTCAGTATCCCACAGAGACAAACCAATAGCCTGCTGAAAAGCCTACAAAAGGCATGGAGGAAACAATCTTCTCCACTGCTGTGACCCATCATACTGCTTCTGGATAGGGAGGTTCTATTTAGCCATCAATTGATGGATGGATTTTACCTGAGCTAGTGACCATCCATACACTCATTCTGTCACTAAATTGTGAGTTGTGTGAAGAATTGTTTGCTTTCGTCTGTCCAGAATCTGCTGCCAGTCAATTTCATTGGCTGGTTTCCTAGTTCTAGCAATATGTAAGAGGTAGAAAGTTCTCTTAAGCAACGTTCTGCTCGACTTCTCAAAGCAAAAAATAAAACCTCAAATCCAAATTATAGTTAGGGAAACTGTCGTGTTTCTCCTTTTGTGCCATGCATAAAATATATCAGACTTGAAGAATCCCACTTGTTTTCCACTGAAGCTTCCTATTTTGGCTTTCACTCAAGTAAGCCTGTTGCAGTAGAAAATAGTTACCTTTTCCCACCCCCACCCAACTGGATCTTGGGATTTTCTACCCCTTGGTAACTGACCTTCTTTTATTGTTGCCTTCAAAGTTCCTTGCTCAGTTGAAACTCATGGACTACAGCTTGCTGGTTGGAATTCATGATGTTGAGAGAGCGGAACAGGAGGAGGTTGAATACGAAGAGAACGATGAAGAGGAAGGCGAAAGCGATGGGGCTCATCCTGTTGGAACGCCTCCAGATAGCCCAGGAAATACACTCAACAGCTTGCAGCCTTTAGCTCCAGGAGAATTCGATCCAACCATTGATGTTTATGGAATAAAATGCCATGAAAGTAAGTATATTTAGACATGGGGGAGATTTCAATTCTTGCATCAGTTTCCGAGTCTCTAGAAGGAAAGAAAACTCCCACCAAAGCAAAAAAGCATGATGCCCAATTATCAATTGCTCATCTATAGTAGGATTTTAAAAACTTTTTGGAGGTGGGTAAGGGATCTTCAACACATGGCTCTGATACATGTCATTATTAGGTATTGTCTGAATACAGTAAAAGCAGTTCACTTATAAATGACTGCAATACTGCATTAGCCAGCTATATTGCTAAATGCTACAGAAAGATAGAGATTCTGAGCTGGTGTCTTGGATAATGACTGCACAGACATTGGACAGTTCTTTACACTGGCAAATACACCTTGCTTGACAAAAGAAACAGAGGTTCTCTGTTTAGATTTTTACATTGTGCTGTGGGCAATATACCTACCAAAGCTGATATAGAACAACAATTAAAACATTTTAAACAAGTTGAAATCTTACTACACACTTAAAATCCCCATCAAACAACCCGCAGCACTTACTACAAATAAAATTGAAAAGTGTGGGAGTGAGAATTCAGCCAAAGGACAGGGTGAAAAGACGAGGTTTTAAGTGGTGGCAAAAACTCATCATGGTACTACAGATTTTTTTCTTCTAGTCTATATACGTGGAAGATTAAAAAATGAGCATTTTATCTCATTTTTTAAATATTCTTGTAGGTCACCTTGATGACCTCAGGCTATGAAGCGGTTTATAAATGTGTTAAAAAAATATTCAAAAGCAAATTTAAAATATTTAAGCAAAGTGTTAAGGTCCTTACAAATTCACTCATTCATCAAAAAACTTGAAAACTGCAAGTTATGGTGTGGAAGTTTTAATTCTGCAGTCACTTTAATTGTGCTTGCTTGCAATTGCAGCAAAGTGCACCCACACTTTCCCCTCTCTCTCCACTGATAAGTGTTATCTATCTTTCTTACCCCTTAATCAATTACCAAAGAGTGAAAAGATTTCTAGGACTCACATGTGCTCTTTGACATATGGTTTTTAAGACACTATTAGAGGGGCAAAGGTCTACCACCAGAATAACTTCCAACTTGCTTCCGCAGAGTTGCTTAATCTCTTGGCTACAAATATGTGTATTATTTTCAGTACTATGAATTTCTTTCACAGATGCACCCAGGAAGGAGGTATACTTTATGGCAATCATTGATATTCTTACTCATTACGATGCAAAAAAGAAAGCTGCCCATGCTGCAAAAACCGTCAAACACGGCGTAAGTTTCATTGATGTATATATTCCAACTTAGTCAGTTATGTTCACGTAAGGGCTGGGCAATACCTGGTTTTCAACTTCGCAATGTATCACCAGCTAAACACCGTGATATACTGAGATATCACAATGTCTGAAATAAGGATGGAGCTATACAGAGGCTGGCTTCACAGTTTTTCCCACACTGTGATTTTTGCATAGTGTGCTCTCTCTCACACACACATCATGATTTGTGATATTTTGCCAGGTCAAAAATTATAAAACCAATAGCATGATATGGACTTCAAAACCAGTATAATTATTATTATTATTTATTATTTATACCCCGCCCATCTGGCTGAGTTTCCCCAGCCACTTTGGGCAGCTTCCAATCGAGTGTTAAAAACAATACAGCATTAAATATTAAATATTCCCTAAACAGGGCTGCCTTCAGATGTCTTTTAAAGATAAGATAGCTTCTTATTTCCTTCACATCTGGTGGGAGGGCATTCCACAGGGCAGGTGCCACTACTGAGAAGGCCCTCTTGTCTGGTTCCCTGTAACCTCACTTCTCGCAATGAGGGAACCACCAGAAGGCCCTCGCCGCTGGATCTCAGTGTCCGAGCTGAACGATGGGGGTGGAGATGCTCCTTCAGGTATACTGGGCCAAGGCCATTTAGGGCTTTAAAGGTCAGCACCAACACTTTGGCTCCCAGTACGTTTCCGAGCACAATTCAATGAAGATCTCTCAGGACCAGTGTTATGTGATCCTGGCGGCCGCTCCCAGTCACCAGTCTAGCTGCCGCATTCTGGTTTTGGATCATATACCAAGATATCGCCCAGCCCTAGTTCAACATTAGAGATCACCAGCATTTTTAGACAAGTGGCCACATTGCGAATTTTGAGTTCATGCTGGAGGAGCCAGTCACACCTGCGGCATTTCTCAGATAACATGAATTTAGAGATACAGCCACCCTCTGCCACCACTGCCCCCCAACAGCCTTATGCTTACCATGGGAAGTCAGTCATGACTTGCTGGTACTGATTGGGGAGATCACATAATATTGAGTTCACACAAACATAAACTGCTGCTCAGGGGCGCCATTTTGAAGAAAATATTGGGGAGAGGGCAGACAAGAATGGTGATATGGAAGGGAGGGTGGGAGGAAGAAAGGATGGCAGAAAAGAAACCTGAAAGTAAAAGGCAAAGCTCTGGACAAAGATAACTATGAATCAAGCTGGAAAAGAGTCAGAGAGGTAGGAGGGGCTTGGATGACTGGGTAGCACAACTTCAAGAGTCATCACTTGCAAGGCACTGGCACTCCCCCAGCGTGCTTTGTTTTAGGGCAATGTCTGGATTTTTACTTTTGCTGTCCTCCTCCTTAATACCATGGTTATTACCATAGTGTGTGTTTTGTGACATGGACATCATGAACGCATCTCCTGCCACAACAAGCCAATTGTTCTTAAGCTGCGTCTTGCTTTTTCAGGCTGGTGCAGAGATTTCAACAGTGAATCCCGAACAGTATTCAAAGCGGTTCTTGGACTTTATTGCCAACATCTTGACGTAACCTAATGTTCCATTGGACAGATACAAGGTCTGGGAACAGCAGCAATGGCTACAAGTGTGTAAGGGATAAAAAGCTTCTTTTAAAAGGAACTCTCAAAGTGCTATCTTGCAGAAGGCAGCCCCCTTGTTTACATCTGCTGGCAAAGATGACTGACTGGGGTGAAATACTCGCTTTAACAGCTGCCTGATTTATGCCCAGCATAGTTCTAGCTATTTCTGATGCGTGTGTGCGTGCGTGTGAGTGTGTGCAGAAACAAATATAAATTAACTAATAATAACTAAAATAGATCAGCTTCTTACTCGGTGTGCATTGCAACAACACTCCGTGAATACTAGCTGAGCTGGAATGAATGGTTAGAGGTGGGTGGGGAGGAAGGCATTATATGCATGTTAAGTTCTACAATATTGGTGTCGAAACTAAACTGTGGATCAGTTTACGTTTTGAGCTGAGAGGTGCAAGACAGTATTTGGTGGCGATGATGACTAGGACCTTACTGCAAATGTTACACTTAACTACCCTGCATGTTGGCACTCTTTGAAAATAGAAACATCATAAGCTCCTTATGCCGGAAGCTTTCCTGTTGGCACCTTTTTCATTTAATTAAATTGGCCCATTGCAACAGGAAATAAGTCTTCCAGCAATTCAGAGGTCTGGCTCTTGTTTTACCAAAATCTAATGTCATAATCATGCTGTGTGTTCTTTGCCAAGGGTAGACATATTTTGAGGGAGGTGGAGCAGGAACATTAAGACTGTTTAATTATCATGTTACATGAAGATTTTACACTGTATGTTTATCGTATAGGAGCTGAGTGTACTACAAAGGAAATCAATGATGCTTTTTTGGAAGAAATTAATCATTTTGGGCAATAATAGCATTTTCCACCACATGAACAAAGGAATAGGAAAGTCTGTTCACCTGTAACTGATCAAAACCGAGACATTTAAATGCTTACATTGTGCTGTTTTTAATATTTTATTAAAATATTCTTTTTTTAAGCCCTAAATTTTACTGTTTACATTAATAGGAAAACAGGGATGCTTTGAGTATGTCACAGTATGTGAATCTGAAGTTTACATGTAAAGTTATTTTGCAGTACAGATGAAGTAATTTCTTGAAGTATAATATGCAGTAATGTACCCAAATGGATATTCAATTCACCTCCATGATAGAAAATATTTTTGCAGTCCATGGTGACAGGTTGTTTTGAGGTTATTTTATATGGCATTTTTATTACCTAATTAGCTCTGTTGCTCCAAACAATGCTGTGTTAATTGATTTGCCTAAAATTATGTTGTCGCCTATAACCTGTTTTGAAAAACCTCAGATCACTGGGGGGGGGGGGGGAGGTTCCAAACTTTGAGGACGTCAGAATTAGATATGCTTAAAACTACTATTCTCTACTTATTACACTGTGCTAAAATTGTGCCTTTAAAAAAATTATATGTTGAAACAGACATTCATGGGCAACTCAAAAAATAAACCACTCTCTCTCTCTCCCACTCTGCAACGTAAAGCTTGTTCCACAAATTCCAGGTTGCCTTTTCCACTTACTTAATGCCAGTTCTGTTAAGCTTGCAGCTGAGCATAAATATGTATAGTTGGCTTCAGAGAACTCTGATAAAACATAAGCTGATCTTGCTCTCATGCAGCCAAAGGCAATATATCCTTGTTACACTGTACAATATTTCAACAGGGCTGTGATCATAGAATTAGAAGGGACTGCAAGTCCAACCTCCTGAAATGCAGGAATCTTTTGCCCAACATGGGGTTCAACACCCCCCAGACCCTGAGATTAAGAGTCTCATTGCTCTACCAACTGAGCTATCCAAGGCTATGTTACCTTTTTAAAAAACTTATCTAATTCGGTTTTATTTTCCCACCGAAGATAATGAATCTTAAAGAGTGATGGGATTCTCAGTTATTAAAAGCAATCTCCTTCCCTCTTGCTTTTGACCCACAACATTCTTGGACGCTTTAAAAGGCCCTGTTGCTATGCGAAAACAGATGGATGTTGAGATTTACACTGACCTTTTAAGACCTTCTATCCACAATAAGTTAACCCAAACTGCTGATCCTTTTTGGCAACTCTCCCTTTGTGTGTGGGGAGAGGTCCATAACTAAGTGTTGGAACACCCACTCTGCCCGCAAAAGGTCTTCAGTCCAATCCCTACCATCTCTGGGAAAGATGTCTGAAACCCTGGAGAGCGTCTGCCAGTCCGTGTAGACAGTACTGAGCTAGATGGACCAGCGGCCTGGCTCAATATAAGGCAGCTTCCTATGTTGCATCTCATCAGTGCTGTTGTCTCCTTTCCCTCCTGCTGTTTGGGCATACTTCCCAGCCAAGCTATTAGTGACTGCGAGGCAAAAGGCACAGCCCCACATCGGTTTCTCACCACCTGAGTTTTCCTTCCCCTTTGATATATTTATAATGTTAATGACCAACTCGTTACTGTAGTGGGGTAGGAGAGCTGAAAATAATGCCCATAAGCCGCCTAGAGAAAAATATATACACCAGGAGGCGTAGTTTGATCATAGCAGCTAGAGGGATGTGAAAATTTGTGACCCAGGCTTTTTAGACTCATCTACCCCATGTACTATCTGATACGAAAGGGGCACATTGGTTGCCAGATGTGACCTATGTTGGCATTATTTTCAGCTATCCTGCCCCACGACACTGTTCCTCAATGCAGATGGCGGTACCCCCTCTTTAAAAGTCAGCTGTTCCAAATCTGGATGGCAAATTTCTTTAGTAACCGTAGTTTGTCCAACATCTTGGAATAGCTGTAGCTTCTGTCTTACTGAGGCTCCAGTTTGGGATAGATTACAAAAACACTTTTCAGGTTGATGCAAGGAATGGTTGTCAAGTCGTTGACAAGGGGTAGGTCATGCACTTTCCACACACGTCCTACTACCCTTGAGAGACATTACTTTGAACAAATCTTTTTTTGGGTTTCATTTTCTGTTTTGTGACGTAATAGTCTCTGAAATTCCCAGTCACTGCAAACGTAACCCCCAAATGGACGGCGCACCATTGTAAGTTTATAGAGCTCCACCTAGCTGAAGAGTCTAAGGAAAATGCTTCACCAAATAAATGGCCATCTCTTTTCTCACCTGAATCTCTATTGGTACGATTGGATGTATTATATATACTGTATACTTGGGTGGACTGTCACAACAAATGCTACCACCAGTGACTTTTCAGGATTATAAATAAACTTAACTAATTTCTACTGTGCCGCTAGATGTGTCTCTTCACTTGTTGTGCTATTATAAACAATTCTCACCACCCCAACCCTGTGCTAGCAGGTTTCCCAGCAGATCTTCCTTAATGACCTGCATTGCAATTTGCTGCCTTGTATCCTGTGCCTGAGTGTGCAGCTAGGGCAACAGAGGTACCTTGCTAGTCCTAACAGCATGTTGCTTTTCTCCCTTTTCTCTCGGGTGCCACAAGCAACACAAGTGTTACTTAGTTGCTTCCAAACATGATAAACATTGTGTAGCATCCTTGTTTGTACGCCACACTAAACCAAAATATGATTTGCCAGACCTGCGCAAATATGCTGGCATCTGGAGGGGACCTTGCACCCCTTTTGCTGTTTCCCAGTCCGTTTTGCTTGGGGTAACAACTAAAGTAAGATTTGGCTTAGGCCCCATCCTCACTATGCATTTAAATTCTGAGTTTCCTGGGAAGGGGGGATTGACTGTTAAATGACTGAGAACTGCAGCTTGATGAGCGGACCAGGGGGTCTCCTAACAACTCCCTGCACCCACAACATACTACACTTCCTAGGATTCTTTTGGGGAGCCACAGCTGTTTAAAGTGGTATCATACTGTCTTAAGGATATCGTAGAGATGGGATCTTAGTTTGTTGTCTGAACCTAGAATCATGGTCAAGATACCATATTTTTTGCTCTATAAGACTCACTTTTTCCCTCCTAAAAAGTAAGGGGAAATGTGTGTGCGTCTTATGGAGCGAGTGCAGGCTGCGCAGCTATCCCAGAAGCCAGAAAGAGCAAGAGGGATTGCTGCTTTCACTGCGCAGCAATCCCTCTTGCTGTTCTGGCTTCTGAGATTCAGAATATTTTTTTCTTGTTTTCGTCTTCCAAAAACTAGGTGCGTCTTATAGAGCGAAAAATACGGTATCTCTTCCTTAACCATGGCCTATAGTCACAGGTTGTCTATGGTTAGAGATCATCCAATGTGGTCTGGAGTCTCTGAATGTCACACTAAGCCAAAAGTATCTGTTTCCTTCTGTGCCACACTGTGCTGAAAGGACGGAGAATGGAGCAAAGTAGGTGTGAGCTCCTCTCTGAGGCCCAGCATCTTTGTGTGCTCCCAGTTAGTCATAGTTTGGCTTACCATCATGTGTGAACCAGGCCAATGTATTTCCTTTTTTTTTTTTTTTTACCGATTCATATTCACAAAGCTTTGTATCTTTTTGTTTCTTTTTCCCCTGCTGGCCCAAACATGAGCATATTGGTCTCATCTCTTGCCACTTCCTTGCTTTGTCTTTCTGCCATTTTCTACAACTTACCCACTTCTCCCTCTTGCTTAATTTTCTCCAATTTTAAATACAGATCCAGTTTGGAGCTGTTCCTCTGGAGCCATTCATTTGCCAACTATTCTGTAAATGAGTATTTTGTACATTCCATCTAACTGAAAAATCAGTTCTAGGTCAATGTCTGTTTATGGGTGAAGGTTGTATCTTGGACTGACTCCACCATTTCTATATCTATACACTGTTTTCTTTAGACATTGTTACCCTGACACTCTCAAAACATGTTCTTGATCTACCAAGTGCCTCTTTCTATAATAATTGTTCCTAGTCTCATTGATAGGGTTGCACCAGTATTTCTTGCTTAACCTCATCTGTGGCACAGCTGGATTCTCCGTAGACTAGCCTTCTCCATCCAGATGTTCTCCAGATGTTTGGGTTATAACCAGTGCTTTTTCTGGAGGTACTTAAGGGTACACAGTACAGTCGTACCTTGGTTTTCGAACAGAATGCATTCCGGAAGTCCGTCCAACTTCTGAAACATTTGGAAACCAAGGCACAGCTTCTGATTGCGCAGGCGCGCCGGAAACAATAGCGGAAGCCGCATCGTACGTTTGACTTCCAAAAAAAGTTCAAAAACTGGAACACTTACTTCTGAGTTTCGATCGTTTGGGAGCCAAAATGTACAAGTACCAAGGTGTTTGACAACCAAGGTACGACTGTACCAGTACCTTTTTTCCCCAAATGTTAAAAGTGTGGCACTTTAACAACTTCATGGTGAGTATCGGCATCTTTTTTTCTACAAAAAAAAGCACTGGTTATAATTCCCATTATCCCTGAATGGGTCTGATAGCAGCTATAGTCCAAAATGCACTCCTTTATTTCCAACCCATTGCTGTAACAAGCAGGATTGTAACTTTGCCATTCATTCACCATTCTCACCATGAGCAGAGCTCTTGACTTTCTGCCAGAAATAATGTACCTTCTGAAACTAGGTTGCAATCTTAGTGCTGTCTGGTTAGTCCATAATTATTTACATAAAATGCACAACCAATTTCCCTTCTTGGAGTTCCTCTTCTCCTTGTTCAGTCTCTACTTGGGCAAGATGTTATCTGCTCCCATGCTCAAAGATAAATATTTTGCCCTTATGGCATCTGGGCATAGGATGGAGGAAAATGCTAAGAACAGATAAAGTTGAATACAAAACCTCTCTTCCACCACCACACCCCAAGCTCTCTCTGCGTACTTCTTTGTGCAAACACAGCACATAAATTGACTTTGGTCTCTACAGCTTCAGCTCGTCTGTTTTTTGCCTTATGGGGCCTATAGTTGGGAGTCCTGCATTTACACTGGTTCCCATGTTTCTGTCTCTGCTCACACAGTATTTTTGCAAATACCGTACTTTGCTATTCTATCTCTCAGTAGTCTTAAAGATGCAAACTAGTATTTGCTGCAGTAGCACACTCTGTCCTCCAGACCTATCTTAACACAGAGTTATAGACAGACAAAAAAGCTTATTGCAAGACTTACCAATCCTAGAGTTCTTCCTGCGGCAAAGGCGTTCAGGATTTCAGGATCACCTGAGAAGATACACAGGGCTGCATGCAACTCCTAAGGATGGCCCAGTCCTTTTTATGCCTGTTTTGGACAGAAATCCAAATGCAAGGGTTATATTCCGTATGTGATTAGTTACATCTATATGGTAGAATGCCATGTTATCAAATATGTTGACCTGTCTGCAAGTTTTATTCAAAATGCTGGTAAGGGACTGAGGAGCCTAAATAAAGCTTAGAGTTGATCTACCCTGGTGCTTGAAGTCTTCATGGGCAATGGGAGCTTAACTCCCTTCCTAAGGGAATGCTGTGGTCCACAATTCTGCCACCTTAGTTATCTGACAAGGTAACAGGCTTATTAGAAGCCACAGCAGACCCAAGTCTCACTCCTAGCAGGCAGAAGCATGTCTATGAGAAGTATAGGTCAGGTTTTTCTCATACCCACCCCACCATGTCGGCCCAGTTCCTGTAGCCCATCTCCAGGATACAAGGCTATCCTGAATGCTTTTGCCTTGCCCCTTCTAGTGATGCTAAAAGTTTTGTGCTAGTATGCGTACAATCGTGCATTTTATGTATTTAAATTGATAATTGATAATTGTGGCTTGGCTTGATTTATTTCTTCCTTCATACATCCACACTTCCTCTGGCACGACATGAATGTTTTATTTCATACGATAAACAGTGGTTTCTAAGGTATGGTGAGAATGTAAAGGAACTAATAGGAGGGCACTGACAGGAGGTACACGTTACAATAAAAGAGTAAATATTCCATTGTGGCCAATTAACATATGCTGTTTTTTTTAGAATTAATTACATCTTTTTCTCCCCCTGTAACAGTCTTTGTCACTCATTACTGTTAAACTGCTCAGAGAGGGTGAGGACAACTCACTTTGTACCTCCTAGTTCTAAAAGCACATTCCAGACATGAGTAAGGCTTTATAAAATAAAGCACTTTGATTTGCTAGGAAAACCCCTTGTCCTCTTTTCTTTCGTCTCTACCATGTGTTCAGTCATTTCTGCCATTTTATTTTGGGTGGTTTTAATTGGCAAACATGTTAATCTCAAAACCAGAAGGCTGCTTTTTATTAAATTTGATCTTGACATCTAGATTTGTTTCGTAACACTTCTGTGGAATGACATAAGGCAGGAGACAAACTTGATCCCCACTGCAAGTTCCTAAAGAGAAGCTTAAGAGAAGACCTTCAACTGTAATATGGAGTCCTCCACCCATCAGGCCAGCTAGAGAAAAGCTTTATGTTCATAGTAGCTGGATGCATTGTATTGCTGCTTTGCAGAGAGAGGAGTGGGGGCATTACTTTCTGGCTACGCAGACATTAAACCTGCAAAGATGGTGGTGGTGCTGCATTGATGTCATTCTGCTTCTGGAGCTAAGTAGGCCCAGCCCCTGTATGTTTGCCTGGGTGGGAAACCCAGTGGGAATCACACAGAAGCTGCCAAGTATAACAAACATAAATGGCTAAAACTGCAGAGACATGCTTCTTCAGTATCCGACAGATGGAGTACGACACTCGAGAGAAGGAAATCTTATTTTAAAACTCACAACTTAAAAAGTTTGCAAAGTAGTGGGATGCTGTGGCAAGAAGTCATGGCTAATCATGCAATGATCTAAATGAGCAGCTGGCACTTGAGCGCCGCAGCCTGTAAATGTTTATATGTTTAGAAAAGTGAAGCACAATGCCTACATTTTCCCATACTAGCCTGCCCAGAAGAACGTAAGAGGAGGCTGTGCAGTCGGGCCAGTGGCCCAGCCAGTCCGGCATCCTGTTGTTAACAGTGGCCAACCAGGTGCCTGTGTGAAGCCTGCAAGCTGGACATGAGCACAACAGCACTCGGTCCACCTGTGATTCCCTGCATGATGCCACTGTGGCTAGCAGCTGTTGATGGGCTCGTCCTCCGTGTATTTGTCTAATTCTCTTTTAAAGCCACTGAAGTTGGTGGCCATCACTGTCTCTTGTGGAAGTGAGTTCCATACTTTAACTACACACTACATAGAATCATAGAACTGTAGATTTGGAAAGGACCATCTAATCCACACACACCCACACCCCTGCAATGTGGGAATCTTTTGCCCAACGTGGGAATTGAACGCATGACCCTGAGGTTAAGAGTCTCATGCTCTACTGACTGAGCTATCCCAGATGCGTAAGTACCTTTATTTTATCTGTTGTGAATCTACAGCATTCAGCTTCATTGGATTGCCCACAACTTATAGTCTTACAAGAGAGGGTGGGGGAGAAAACTTCCCTCTATCCACTTTCTCTACGCCATGCATAACTTTATAACTGTATCATGCCATCTCTTACTTGCCTTATCTCTAAACTAAAAAGTCCCAAACGCAGCAACTTTTCCTTAAGAGAAGAACCTTTCCTTGAGAGCCAGTGTGGTGTAGTGGTTAAGGGCAGTTGACTCGTAATCTGGTGAACTGGGTTTGATTCCCCGCTCCAACACATGCAGCTGCTAGGTGACCTTGGGCTAGTCACACTTCTCTGAAGTCTCTCAGCCTCACTCACCTCACAGACTGTTTGTTGTGGGGGAGGAAGGGAAAGGAGATTGTTAGCTGCTTTGAGACTCCTTCGGGTAGTGATAAAGCAGGATATCAAATCCAAACTCTTCTTAAGGGGAGTTGCTGTGTCCCAGCTCTACATAATCCTTTTGAGTTGCGACGGCCAGAACCACAGGCAATACGTTCCAAGTGTGTTCGCAGCTTAGATTAGCATAGAAGCACTACTACGAGTATTTCCCCCACCCTTGTAAAGTAAAAGATCTTGAGGAGTACACTGGATCTTGTCAGCTGGACTTCAACAGTGCTGTGAAATAAAGGTTTGTTTTGGTTTCATGCACGTAGATACTGCGCCTTTCAAGCAAATGGTTTCCAAAGAAGCTCTCATCAGAAAGAAACAATAATCAAAATTAGCCCAGATCCTTACAAAATCAGACCTAACTCAAAACAAGTAGGATCAGCAGTTAAAAGCAGCAGGTTAAAGCATTTTAAAAACTTTAAAAAAAAAAACACCTTGGAGAATTAAAAAAAGGGTTAGACATCAGCTTCTTGGGAGTAAGCTACCGTTGTCAGAAACCGGATACTGAAGTTGATGAAATGCAGAGTTGGTTTGGTAACACATTTGCGTCTGCCACCCAAATGATAGGACATAAAACAGACCCTGTCAGGACTGCAACAAATTGCAGACAGACAGCTACTCACGCCTGCCTATGTATTCCTAGGAGATGCCTCTTTCCCATTTGCAGGCAATGCTTATGTCTCTCTTACGCCACAGATACCGGGCAAAAATTATTCCATGAATAGATGTTCTCACCGTGCATTGTCCTGACGGACAAATTTGGCTCACAGCTACTTTAGGGGAAAGGTCGTGGCCCAAGGGCACAATGCCTTCTGTACATGTAGACGGGTCCCATGTTCAATCCTTTACAGTTCCAGCTTCAAGGGGCCCTGGTCATGGCAGGGCTGTGAAATAGCTTTTACCCTGCCAGCCAAGGATGACATTTTGTAGGCTAGAGGGAGCAGTGGTTTGATAAGCCATGGTAGCGCCATAGTACCATCTCTGTCCTGCCAAAAAAAAGGGGGGGGGGCTGAGGACGACAAATTGGGGAAAGGCTCCAGGCTAGATCCTTTGGCATAACCAGACATAGCTAGGAAAGAGCTGTGGAACCCTGGACAGCAGCTGCCAGTCTGTGATGACAATACTTAACTAAATGTCCCAAATTGACTCAGTGATTTGATTGCAGCTCTTAAGGAAAGGGAATATACTGCTGTATTTTATTTTACTTTATTTTTTCCTTTTTTGCTTTTTTACTTTAATTTTAATACATTATTTTTCCTCAAAGTCCTTTTGAGTCCCTCTTCTCTACCCCACAAATCCCATTAGTGTATTTTTTACAGTGTTGGGAAGATATCCCACTGAGAACAAACATTTAATCTCTTCTACGGTTCCATTACTTGCTTATTCACCCATCCACTTCTGAAAGAGGTTTACGGAGCACTTTTAAAGTAAACCTTAGCATGTTACAACCCTGAGTACTGTGGTAACTTGCTAAACCTGACTGCCATAGCCACAGATGCTCTACGAATGACGAAAGAGATCTGGGGGTGGGGGGTGGGGGCGAAATGGAGCTCTGATGCTGGACTCCAGTTGAAGAGCGAAACCTCAAGACTGCACTTCCTCCCCAAACAATGCTGACACTGAGCTGCAAAGGAAGCGATTTCAACTGACTTAATGTTCTTAATGTACCCAAATGAGACCTGACAGATGGACTATGACTCGGTGGTAGAACGCATGCCTTATAAGCTGATGGTCGTGGAGTTCAATCCCTGGCACCTCCCCTTATAAGGGTCAATTAGTAGGTAATGAGGAAAACCTCTGCTTTAGAAGCTGAAAAGTAACCCAGCATGGCTGGTGGGAGTTGTACTCCAGCACCTGGTGAAGGGGACCGGAAAGCCTACAGTAAATAATACTGCTCCAGGTAAACTACCGTATTTTTCGCTCCATAAGACGCACCTAGTTTTTAGAGGAGGAAATGGGGAAAGCCCCATTTTGGGAGGGATCAGCTCACAGTTATGCAGCTTCTTTTGCAAAGGGGAAAAGCCCCTTTTTTGAGGATCAGCTCAAAGTTGTTGAGCTTACTTTGCAAAGGGGAAAAAATCCTGTTTTTATGGGGTTCAATTCACAGTTCTGCAACTTCTTTAGGAAAGGAAATGGAGCCGTTTCTACAGTTTCCAGACAGATAATCTAATCAGCCAGTCACATGTCGCTGGGGAAACAAACAGCCTCCGTCTGCGGAACATTCAACAATGGAGGCCTGGGCAAGGGGGCAGGGCCAGAAAGGGAGCCAGTGATCGAACACACATTCGCTCCATAAGACGCATAGACATTTCCCCTTACTTTTTAGGAGGGACAAAGTGCTTCTTATGGAGTGAAAAATACGGTAATACTGAGCCAGGCTGCCAGCCACAATGGCTATGCTCAGCCTACCCAACTGGAGGCAGTAATGCTTCTGAATACCAGTTGCTGGAAGCCACAGGAGTGGAGAGTGTGATTGTGCTTTGATCCTGCTTCCTGGTTTCCCATTGAGGCATCTGGTTGGTCACTGTGAGAAGAGGATGCTGGGCCATTACTCCTGATCCAGCAGGCTATTCCTGTGTTCTTGTGAGCATTGGCCTGGCTGAGTAGGAGACAGCATCTTTCTGTTTCTCCTGCTTTGTAATCTATACATCCTCTGCACAAGTTTACTCTGATACGAATCTTTAACCTTCACTTTTATTGTGGCAATTTAGGGTGGAGCACCTAAGGGGAGCTTGCATAACTTGACAAGAAAGATTTGCTTTTGCTGCAAAAGCTCACTAAAGTGAAACATCCTATCCCGTTGGTCGGTCTGGGCTTGAAAACTTGGATCACTCTCTTTTGTGCAGTCCAAGCCTTTGATCCATTGTTCACTCGAGCCATATATCTGAACTGGTGCACGCAGAGCCAGAGAGGCCTGGAGGCTTTTTCAGCCATTAATATGCTTTAAAAGGAGAGCAGCCAGGATGCTTAGCTTCGCTCATTTCCAAAACAACAGCTATCACAACAAACGGCTGGCCTGCTCCAAGAGCTGTTAAGTCAGTTAAAAGGGTTCTGTTAATAACTCTTTCTTTTCCCACCATACAAACTGAAGCACGCAGCCAGGCCAGGTCTTTTGACAGGTCAACTTCACCTGCTGCAAATAATGCAAAACAATTCAGTACAGTGGAACCTTGGTTCTCAAACTTAATCCGTTCCGGAAGTCCGTTCCAAAACCAAAGCGTTCCAAACCTAAGGCATGCTTTCCCATAGAGAGTAACGCAAAATGGATGAATCCATTCCCGACTTTTAAAAACAACCCCTAAAACAGCCATTTAACATGAATTTTACTAACTAACGAGACCACTGATCCATAAAATGAAAGCAATAAACAAAGTACTGCGGTCACACAGTCAATCAGTAGCTGAACTTGGTTCCACACAGTAACACACACAAAAGAGCCGCAAAAACAAACAGAGCTCAGCGTAACACTCAAAATGGAAGTGTGGCACTCAAAATGGAACCATGGAACCCAAAACAGAAGTTTTGGCACTCAAATCAGAAGAGGAGCACGTTTGGCTTCCAAAAAAAGTTCACAGATTGGAACACTTTGCAGTGTTTGGGTACCAAGGCGTTTGAGAACCAAGGTACCACTGTATAGGGGGAATGTACATCTGGAGTGGTTTTGGCCTTACCATCAGCTTGACAAAGACCAACATCCTGGGTCAGAACATCCCCAGCACTCTACACATCAACACTGGTGACCACATGCTTGAGGTGGTAGATGATTTTGCCTGTCTGGATTCCAACATAACCAACAGCCTTTCCATTGATGCTCAGCTAGACCAAGCGTACTGGCAAGGCAGCTACAGCAATGCCTCACCTCTCCGAAAGCATATGGGAGAATGTGATTTTAATGTCCAATACCAAGATGAAGGTCTACCAGGTTTGCGTGTTGAGCACGCTGCTTTATGGAAGTGAGTCGTGGACAACTTAAACCTGCCAGGAGCGATGCCTGAATGTGTCAGGACAATTTTGGGCATCACATAGCAGGACAGGGTCTCAAACAAAGATGTGTTCTCCCAAGTCCACATTCCCAGCATGTCTGCACTTCTATCTCAGTGATGCTTATGCTGGCTTGATCATGTACACAGAATGGAAGGCGGCAGGATCTGCAAGGATGTGCTCTATGGGGACATGGCTTCAGACACCAGGTCTGTTGGCAAACCAACTCTGTTACAGAGATGTCTGGAAATAGGACATGAAGGCTGCCAACATCAACCCCGCTGTGTTGGAATCCCTTTCAGATGACCTCAGAGCCTGGAGACAATCACTCAGGTGATGTATCCACAACAGTGCCCAGAGGAGGAATGACTGCTGCAAGGAGTGCAGAAGGAAGAAACACATGGTACATCTGCATCAGCACAACTGGACCCCTTCATCTGCCCCGGCTGCAACAAAACATGTCTCTCCATATCAGTCTCTACAGCCACAGCAGGTGCTGCAACCTTCCAACAGTTAGACTCTCATCTCCAAAGGCACACTCTTCCATCGTCTCCCGAGACAGATGGATGCCAATGACATATTGCAGGGGGACCCAGTCATTAACTATGTAACAAAGTTGAGGAAAGCAATAGAGATGGTTTTCTTGCTCTAAACAAGCTGGTAGCTTAGAAAACAACAACCGTGAGAGAGACAGAGAGCACACACACACACACACACACACACACACACGACAAACATACCCTTTCATCAGAGATCCTCCCAAAAAGCAATCTTTGCTGACACTTTCTTGCAATAGATATAAACAATCTACTCAGCAGTTAAGAGAGAGGCAGTTAATAGGTGTAATCATTTGAGTCTCAGACTCAGATTTAAAACTGGTTCATTTTACAGCAGGAAACCAATCAGGAAGGAAATAGCTGGCTCCTTGCAGTGGCGGCAGTGCCACTACCCAACAGTGAGATGTCCCCAGTATGACAGCACAGATTGAGCTTTGGTAGGAGATGGCTACCAGCTATTGTGTTTCAGTCAGCGCTAGCAGCAGTGTCAAGACTGTCAGTGTTTGTTCTGCCACATGGGGCCATCTTTCTGCTCCCTTGCATTCCGTTTGCACTTCAAACCAGTAATTAGTGCCAATCTTCTATGGTACGTTGCTCAGAATCCCTCTTTCCATCTCATCTCCTTGGCAGGCAGTATGGCTCCTATGACCTTCAGCCCGTGTTGGGAGATGGTACACTAATGTGTGACGTGGTGTATGTCACTGTATTCAAAAGCCTTGCCCCCGTCATGCAGCCCACGCCTATTGTTTTAGCATCTTTGTAAGCCAAACATGAGAGAGGAGTTCAGAGGCATCAACAATTCAAACAGCAAGAGGCACCCTGGGAAGCGCTTCTTCAATCAATATGCATGGTAGCTTCTTTATTTGGGGAGGCTGTTATACTGCCAGTCCGGCGACTCAACACTGCCACTAAACTTGTAATAAATTATCCATCAACCCAGTGCTTTTGAAAGACATTTTAGAATTGTTCCCACCATTTTCTACATAGGCCCATAGCCAGAATGCTTGTGATGAGCAGTCAAAGGGTGGGAAGGAATCCTTGCAGAACAGCCAAAACATAAAAACAGAAGGCCTCAATTATTGCATTAAATATTAATACAGTAACATTTTATTTTATAATACTTTTTAAACCACAACAACAACAAGGGCCTGTTGCTTGTCAGTCAGGAGAGATGAGCATCCCTTTGCTCACCCCTGGGAAGTTCTGAGTGAAGACTCACAAATGCTTGAGGGATTTGCACACATTCCGTATGAACGCACACAAAACACTCACCTTTGCCCCTGCCCTTTCCCTTGCTGCCACCCGCTCCAAACAAACAAAAATCACATAGAGGCTCATCTGAGGCAGGTGAAAGTAGAGGTTAAGAGTGCCAAATCCCAGTGGAGCATCTTTTTCCAAGTAGCGGTATCATGGTACTTTAAATGTATAGTGTGAATGTGGCCTTGGACTGGCACTGTTTAACCCACCTTCACTTAACTACCTTGATTGATCTAGGCAGTAAATTCTACACTGGAGCTTTCTGAGGCCAGATGCAAAGGAAGGTGACTGCTTGGGATACTAGGGACCGCGATCAGGATTTCGCACGCCTGACCAACTTGCTGCAAATCCTTAGACCCTTATACTTCCATCTGAGAAATGATTTGAGACTAATTTTAAATGCAAGTGGTTTGGCTTGTGGCTTCTGGTTTGCAGCCATGATTTTCAGACTTCACGCCACAAATTTGAGAGATCTGGCAGTAATCCAACTGAATCAATTAAACGTTCCAGAAGGATGCCTGGGGGGAGCTCGGTGTCAAGCAAATTTCACCGCATTCAATACAAATTAATTCCAGAGTAAGTGTCTTGAGTATATTCAGAATCCTAGTACAAAAACACACGTTAAGAAAACCCGAGGTTAGGACCCCTTTGTACTGAAAAGTCCTTCCTGACTCTCTTGCTATAACACAGCTGACAGTCTTGCACAATACTCTCTGCGCAGTTTCAGTGTGTGTGGTTTATTTTAAAGTCCTTATTTTGCCTCCCAACAGAGGGAGAAGGCTCAATACTGATCAGCCTTTAGGGAGAAATGTTGAATGCAACCTTTTTAATAGAAGGATCATCAGTGTGGATCACACAGCTTTTCAGCTTACTTTTCTGTGAGATTCCATATTGCTGATGGAGTTTATCCCGGTGTCATCAAAACAGCATCCAGGTTTATCTCCTCATATCTTGCTTCTAAAGCACTATATTTGTATTGATTTTTTCAAGGAGTTCCATATAGCATTTCATCTTACAAGTTCTTGTAAGCATGTACGTAACCCTCCCCTCTTTTCCCCCCTAGTTTTTTTGTGGGGGTAGCCAGTCCACAAGATTTGCCAGCTAAAAGCATGAGGTGAGCTCTGAATTAAGGACACTGTCTCCTCTCCTGTCAGGAAACACAGCCTTCACCAGCCTGGTGCCCTCCAGATGTTTGGGACTACAACTCCCATCAGCCCTTGCTAGTATAGGATTGCACCAGGCTGGGGAAGGCTTGCAGCAGCATAGGTAAGCTGCAGGACATCACAAGCCAAAAAGAAGGGGGGTGTTTTTCTATCCCCCACCTTTCTATCCAGGTCCTCAGAGGGCATGCACCCTAAGTCTTGGAGGGGTTGAAAGGACATTATCTACAAGGGGACTGCTGGATATAGAGACAGGTAACCTCAAGCTCAAGGGCTGAATGTGTGTGTCTCTCACTCTTTGGCCCTCAGGACACTGGCCTTCCTCTGCACCCTCCTCAATTGATTTTACCTGGCGGGGCTATTATCATTGAACTGTTATACAGTGGTACCTCGGGTTAAGAACTTAATTCGTTCAGGAGGTCCGTTCTTAACGGTTCTTAACCTGAGGTACCACTTTAGCTAATGGGGCCTCCCGCTGCCGCCACACAATTTCTGTTCTCATCCTGAAGTAAAGTTCTTAACCCGAGGTACTATTTCTGGGTTAGCGGAGTCTGTAACCTGAAGCATATGTAACCTGAAGCATCTGTAGCCCAAGGTACCACTGTAATATGGAGAAATGTGTGTTTATAGAAACCTCTGACTTCTGCTTGGCCGCAGTGTTTACCATGGTAAAATGGTCACATCCATTGTTCTACTCATTTTTGCCTCTGGCTCTGCCTGTCACTCACATGCAGCCACTGGACAGTTCCCCACAAGGAAGTGTGGCCCTCAAGCTGGAAAAAATTCCCCACCCCTGCTTTGCAGTGAGAATCTATTACTGCTGGTTGCCCAGGGCAGGAATGAATCAAACAAATATTGTCCTCCTTAGCAACTTCCTTTCATCAACACTGATGATACCAAGACTGCCTACATCCATTCTCCTCTATGTCTCTCTCATACACATGCCTAATGACTTTGCTCTGCTCTTCTGTTGCCCTGTAGGCAAGTCTATCCTGCGCACGATCCTCAAACGCATCACAATATTATCTGCCGAGTCTCCACCAAGTTTGTAACGTATTATAACTTCCTTTTTGTATTCCCCACCCCACCTCAGGTCCTGTAAACCAGCAAAGTTCCGACGTCTACAAAGACGTCAGTCAGCTAGCATGCAGGAAAGATACTGCTATGCTCTTCTTGACCTGGGCTACAGAGGACTTTTATGGGGATGAGACTGAAAACCGCAAACCATCTACAAGGGCCTAATTACAAAACTGCAATTGACATATAACAATTTTCTAAAACAAACTTTAAATACAGCGGTTTCCCACATGCTGATCTATGTCCTTTTGCAGACAAGTGAAACCTACAATTAATGATCTTTTGTTCTTCTTCCTTTACTGCTAAAGCACTTGGAACAAATTACTTGATCTCTAAGGTATCCTGTAAATGACTGTTAAATCAGTTGCTTTTTTTCTGCTGTTGCCATCTGGTTTTCTTTATAAAAACTGGAACACAAAGGAGCTATGTGGTCCACTGCATACCTGTACATCTCAGGATATTTTTGGCTCCAGTTTTATCAAACTCACTTCAGGTTTTGCTGCAATTGTTAGCAGCAAAATTATTCCAACATACCACCTCTAACAGTATATACTACAAAGTTTAAGCAAAATCCCTGCAACACACAAATAACCTCGTTGCTTGCGGAACTGCACTATGGATGAAGCTTGGTATGGCTTTCAGTCTAGGCATTTATTTGCTGGTACCCTGATTTGGCGGTTCGAATCCCTGTGACGGGGTGAGCTCCTGTTGTTCAGTCCCAGCTCCTGCCCACCTAGCTGTTCGAAATCACGTCAAAGTACAAGTAGATAAATAGGTACCACTCTGGTGGGAAGATAAACGGCGTTTCCATGCGCTGCTCTGCTTTCACCAGAAGTGGCTTAGTCGTGCTGGCCACATGACCCGGAAGCTGTTTGCAGACAAACGCCGGCTCCCTTGGCCTATAGAGCGAGATGAGCGCCGCAACCCCAGAGTCGTCCACGACTAGACCTGATGGTCAGGGGTACCTTACCTTTTTACCCTGATTTGTAGACCATGTCTGCACTGCAGGTCTTTCTTGGCCCCCAGAATCTGTACCACTTCAGAAGGCAGGTTGGGAGTTCATTACCCAATACTTCCCTGTGTTGTAAGTTAGCTTGGCAGGCAATCCTTGTCTGGTCTTCTTCCTGCTAGTTTTCTATCTTTTTATTTTTTACACTGGGAACCATTCAATCATGCATGCTTCATCTGAAGTGGTGCAATCCCAAGACAGCTACACCATGCAACTTTCCTCAATACATGTTAGGAATCAGAATTCTGTTTCAGGGCTCACTTTCCCATTATAATATCCAGTGAAGGTTGTCCACACACACCTGAGGGATAGAACTAGACCACTGTAAACTATGGTATACAGATATTAAAGGTTACTGCTTTTTAAAGGACATATTCTGGGTTCTCTCCTCAGAGGCAGGAGGGCAGATAGTAAAGACAAATCTTCTGGTGTCGTCCAATCTCACTGAAATCAATGGTTAAATTACTGTGGGCTTTGGTTTTTTCTGGAATGTACCCTTTTACTTTCCTGTTTTATAAAATACTTAGAATAATTAGACCAGTAAACACTATGTTATGCTGCTTAGGCTAACTTTTCTTTACTAACTTTAATTGGGGAAATGCACATCTTGTGTGAGGTATATTTGTGAATATGGCATTGCCTCCATTTCTTTGTCATGGGACCTAAAATATGCAATTGAGCATGCAACAAATGGCATCAGGGAAACGAGCGCTTCTCTTCCTCTGGTCCGATAAAGATCACTTCCCATCCCAGGGAGAAAGGACACATTTGCATTTATCACTTACAGTTCATTGTCCAGGAAAATGCTGTCACAAACGAAACAAAAGCCATCTCACCCAGTCCAAATGTGCCTGGCTTTAGATTTGCCTTATCTAATTGCATACAGCAAGATCTCTAGCCTGTGTCATGGCAAAAGACACGACTGTCAGTTGAGGCAGGTTTGGGGAACCATAAATGTCAATGCCTAGCTTCTCTTCTTTTTGCTGTTTTAAAGGAATCTCCTTCTACCGCTCCAAACAAAGAGGCTGCAATCCACCCACTCACACAAATCCACTGAGTTGAATGGGGCTGGAGGTTCTTCTTTGCCCAACCCAAAACGGCTCCACCTAAAAAGTGGTCCTGGCATCACTCCTCCACGGTGGAGCTCGCTGTTCTGCTGACCAACAGGATTCTCACCACAGCCTGCAGAAAGTGTGGAAATTGGGTCTTCAGGGGGCTGAGCCAGGCTGGGATCCACTGGATCCCAAGCCACCCCCCAGTGCCACCAAATGGTGGCACTGTGCCCCATTACTATGCTAGCTCCAGGCTGGCATAATGCAGATCAGGGTTTTGCCAGTCTTCTAGCTTGGCTGGCATGAGCGGAAGAGCTGCACATGAGACAGCAGCTGGGCCCTGCCTGTCAAGAAATGCACACCAGAGCAAAAAATAAAATAAAAAATAGCAGGAACTTCTGCTACTTTGCAAATGAGTGGCTTGGCTAGAGGCCAAATATGCTTAGGGCCTATTAAGAGTGCTCAGATTTAATACACCCCAAAAGTACAGGTGTCTGATCTTCCTTTATTATTTCTGTAGTTATTTGTTTTGATGTTCTGTGCTTTTTTACATATAAACTTTTTTTTTCTTTTTAATGCTCATGCTTCCCTCTGGAGAAAATAAGCAGTATATGTGCAGCTGGAAAATAAACTCGGGACTGGGAACATTCTCACAATTTCCGTTCCTCTCAGCTTCTCATTTTTCCAATCTATAAAGTTCAGTTCTCCCCATTTCCACATCAGTTTAGCAATTAAAAAATAATAAGTTGTCTGGGAAATTCATCAGCATTTTAGTATGAATTTCTCCTAATATACATATTTTTGCAAAGCAATTTTCCCAAATCGAATGCATTTTTGTATGCTGTTTTCACTAAGGGCTCGTCCACATTTCTGCTTGTCCTATGCCTGGGATCCAAGCAGTTTTCCCTTTGCCCCACCACTGGAAACCCCACTCTTTAGTGCTAAATCGGAACAAATGGCAATCCAAGGAAAACCCATTGCCATTTGTTCCGATTCAGTGCTAAACCGTGGGTTCTCCTGGGGGGAAGCGGCAGGGCAAAAGGAAGTGCTGATAAGCCCCAATACATACACATTACATGTACAGTTTAACCCTAGTATTAGAATTTTTGTACACATGACTTGGCCGGAGAACTGCATTGCAAAATTCAAGCACAAATTTCAAAGGATGGCTGTGTTTTTGCATTGTATATTGTTTTGGAAAGTGCAAATTAGGTAGGTAGGTTTGATTTTAAAGGCAAACTGGATCAATTTTACTCCCCATCCCTCATGAATGCTGGACCCAGCTCCTTATAAAACCTTGCTCAGCCTTCTGCTCTGCTGATTATGTGACACTGCAGAGAGAAAATGTAAGCCTTTTGGGAACTTGGCCTCTTCTCTATTGCTGTAGGTGCCAAAATGAAAGTGGCACCTGAAAGAGCCTCTGGGATTGGTTCAGGCAAACAGAAATGCAGGTTATCATCACTTGGTAATACAGATACTGCAAATAATACAAATTATCTTTACTTAGTACTGCAAGTGGAAGACTGCATGTTTAAATAAGTCCCCACTCTTGAAAGGAAGCGTCCTATACATAGAAGATCCGTATGTCATACCTTCTCCCTGGCATTTAGTTTGTGATGTGGGGGGAGATTTTATTTTCATTTTTATGGGTCGTGTTCAATCAGACAACATTCCCTCTACTATCTCAAATGGTATGGCCCACAGACAGTCACCAAGACATACAATTTGACATTAGATATTAAGTGCACATAGAAAACTAGACTCCAGGGAGAAGAATTCTCTATCCAAGAGAATATAAAACATGATGAGCTGTTTGCCAGGACTTAAATAGTCCTTTAATAGGCTAAACACCGGAAGTTGTGGGAGTTCAACCTCAGTTCTCCATCAAGATGCGCTTTGTTTTTTGCCACCGCTTCTTTTTTGTTCAACACTTCATCCACAGATTTGGGCAAACAACAAAAACCTGCCCCCAAACACTCAAGACAATGAAATATCATCAACAGAAATGCTTAACAGGGAAGCTGGACAAAAGCCTACGCCTTCAGATCTAGATCCGGATAAACACTCCCGCTGCAAAACTCTGCAGCTGACAAATCCAATCCCTGATTTAAAATATGTTGTACGAAGGACACAAATATATCCTGTATTTTATCAGCTCCATGCTTTTTCAGCTATATTAAATATATGAAACACAGATTAATCTGGCATTTAATCAACATGATGCAATCATTTGTACATCCTCTATGAAACAGAAAATCAAGGAACAGATTTGGATACGGCAGGCCACAGGGACAAACAATAACTCATCGTCCTGATGGCAGCACTGTACTTTCAAAGTGATCAAATAATATCCCATTGTAACTGCACTGATTTTCATGAGAATTTAGAGGCTACTTCTGGTTCCAAAATATCTCCTTATGCTGAAGCTTCTTTGCTGCTCCAGTCTTTACAAACTGAGATTGTGCAAATAATATTTTGAATTAAAACAATAGAACATTGTGTGCATGAAAGAGAGTTCTATTGAAATAGAAAATTATGGGACTTCATTTCAGTTGAATTTTCAGTGCCATTTTTGTTATTAAATTAAAACCACATGAGATCATGTATTTCCCCTCTAATATGTGGCTGAGTGCCTATCAAATTGGAACAAAATTGGAAACACCCCAAAACAAGGTAGTGACTTCTGCATACTCACAGAAGTGCGTAAGTTTGTGAATAAGATGGAAAACAAAATTGCCTAAAGGGAACCTGAAAACTTATATAATATGAACATAACTAGTCCAACATCCTGCTCTCACAGTAGCCACCAGATGCCTCTGGGAAGCCTGCAAGCCAGCACAAGAGCTCTCTCCCCTCCACAGATTCCCAGCAACTGCTGTTCAGAAGTATTACTGTCTGCAGCTGCAAAGGCAGAGCACAGCCATCATAACTAGCAAGCACTGACAGCCTCCATGAATCTGTCCAATCATCTTTTAAAGCCAGCTGGTGACAATATGTTAATGGCAGATGAGCCTGCAGAGTGGAGTAGGGAGGGGAAAGGTCTAAGGAACCAGAGGTCAGGAAGAGTGTGAATTTACTAATCCAACTTTGTGCCTATTTGAGACACTGACTGTTTGGGTGTCAAAGGCTGAAAAGAAAAGTGGAGGGCAGGGAAAGAGAGAGAACTAACCTACTTAAGACCCTGATGTCTTATAATAAATATCCTAGAGCAAGGGAGAAATTAGGAGGAGGATATGCCTTTATAATTTCCAGAACTGCATGCCCCCATTCTTATTTAATTATAATATACTCAGGCACATGGGCGGGGCCAGAGGAGAATATAACATCAATAAGAATCAAGACAAATCTGAGGTTCTGCCCCTCCTCCCCAACAAAAGCCTACCCCCTTAAAAAAGCCTTCTCCCCCCCAACAAAAATCCTGCTCAGGCAGCCTTCCATTCAAAAGATAACAATTCTAAACATGTTTATTGGGCAATAAGCTCCAGCGAACACAATGGGACGTGAGTAAAAATTCATAGGATAGTACTGTAAATATCTATTATACAGCCAGAGAAGACAAGTATTGGACAAACAACCCCCTTTTTTTTCTCCTCACTCCTGAAACACACTCTCTCACACTTACCTCCCCAAGGACCTGAGCACTACTACAAGGTAGGTTGACCAGATGCACAGGAAGGCAGGGCTCCTGCATCTTAGCAGTTGTGCATAAGAGGGATTTTCCACAGGTGCAAAACAAGGCACATGGGCGGGAACTATGCAACTATTAAAGGTACAGGAACCTTCTCTCCCCCCTCCCCCTGCCCTCCCCTCACCTGGGGCCCACACACCTTTTTTAAAAAATAAGTTTTGAATATAAAAACATAGATTCATAAAGGAACAGCAGTTTGTCACCAGTACAGTCAACCTTGTGCATGTACCATAAGGAAGTGTATGAAATCAATGGCTGATGTCTGGTTGACCCACCATTCATATTTGTGATGAATGGAAACTCTGAATCCAGGAAACTGTCTCTGTTTCAGCTACTACAATCTGCCAAATATTGCTGATTCAATCACTAACCCTGCAGCCAGATACCAATGTCCAATTTTGTGCTGCTGCAAGCATGAAGATTACTAAATGTTTTAAGCAAAAGTTTGGTTTTGATTATCTGGAAATAAAGACAATGAACAAATTGAAATTCTGGGGTGGTGGGTTATGTATGATAATAGGCCAAACAACTGGAACCCAAAGGTTTACACTGAGAGAAATTTCTACCACATATACTAGTAGCTGGCAACATAAGATGAGCCTGATGGATCAGGTCAGTTGTCCATCCAGTCCAGCATCCTGTTCTTACAGTGGCCAACCAGATTCCTACAGGAACCAAGCACAACAACTCTCAAGAACCTCCAGCCCATGGCTTAATTAAATCCACTTGGCCAAAGAGGCTGTTTTGGCCAAACCACACACACTGCCCTAAACTTGATGTAATAATATGACATCAGGCGAGAGGCAATTACAAGTCACAGCCACACCAAAAAGGCATTTGCAGGAGTCACCAATCATATACAAGTGCATTCTTTTTTCAGAATTTGCTTCTAAAAATGCTGTCTTCATCATCCTACTGCTATGAGTTTGAGTGTGAGGAGAGACTCCCCATAATTCCTGGATTTAGTAAACATTAGAATTAACTAATATTTGAGTAAACTGTGCCAAATACTGAAAACCCCTGGATTTACATTATGCTAACAACCCAGACCAGCTTGGCATAGTCATTAACAGGGGACAAAGAAGGCCAGTGAAACCATCGGAGGGCCAGTGAAACAACCAGAGGACAACACTGCCAGACAGGGAGGATGTCATGAACTAGCTCTCTCACAGAGGGGCTCCAACTCCAGCTGTGTGTGTTAGTGGGTGGTGAAAAGAAAGGCTTTTGGGTTTCAGTTTGCACTACAGAGGATGAAGGGAAATCTTAGTGTTTTGCAAGTAGATTGAAAGGCGAGGGAGAAGTGGGGCCGACAGAACTCTTGGCAGGCTGGCTAGAGCAAGCTGTAACAAAGGGACAGGCGGTATGGTTGGTTCTTCTGTCTGTAGACCTAATCCTACTGCTCCGAAGAGAGGAGCAAAGAATCATCTTGAGAGGTGAATGCTGGAAATCCTTCCACTGTAGACTCAGGTTGTATATATATGTAAATAAATGATATTCCATAAAGACACTACAGTCTCCACTGCACCTAATATCTGAAGGAAACACAAACCCTGGGTAGGTGCTGCCAACTCCCCGGGACACTCGATCAGAGACTGGAGTGGCATGTAACAATACCTTGTGAATTTGGTTTACCAAGCCATAAAGTTTTCTAGCGCTTCTATGGCAAATCTGGAGGGGAGGAAATTAAAATAGCCTAGCATATGATCAGTGCTTCAAGTAAAACGGTATATTATGGGATATGCACACTAATGGTGCTGTGTTTTTATTTTAACAGTTTATTCTTTCAGCTGCTAGTATAATTTCCTCCATGGAGGAAAATCACACGTGACAGTGTTAAAACAATTTATTCACTGCCAATTTCCTTCTGAAAGTGAACAATTATATTAGAATTTAGAAGAACTGGACACTTCCCCAAAAGTTCCTTGCGCGTAATCCATAAAGAAACAGAAACTCGGCAGCTTTCTTTATGTATAGCTAATTTCATCACCGTATTTTGCCTTTCACAGAATTGTATAAGACAAGGTAAGCATTTAATCTCTTGAATAAATGTTTCAGTGCTGCGGTCAAATTTACACTAGATTGTGAGCAAATTGGCAATTTTAATGGTCAACATAACTAAGCTAAATGTGAATGGTAAATACAATTTTATCTGATTTTGTATTTTTAACCAACAGAATCTGATTCTGCAAACAACTGTGCAGAGCTTCGCATTATGATTTTTATTGCAATTAGGTCAATTCCTTGAATAAGCTCTTTTTGGTGGTTTCTGTTCTAAGAGCTTGTGCCTCTTTTCACAAGCTACTCAAAAGAGATTGCGGCTGACAACAGGATCAAAATGTCCCAAGGCACTTCCAGCCACTCTTTTAATTATGATTTACATAGAATAATGGGCTATTATGTAATCTATGGACAAAATTTTACCAGTGCTTTAAAGCAATGCTAGAGCAACACAGCAACCAATAAAAGTCATAGAATCATAGAATTGTAGGGATGGAAGGGCCTCCAAGGGTCATCTAGTCCATCCCTGGCAATGCAGGAATCTCAGCTAAAGCATCCATGACAGATGGCAATCCAAGCTATGCTTAAAAACCGCCATGGAAGGAGAGTCCACCACCTCCCAAGGGAGATTGTTTTCCTGTTGAACAGAGTCTTCAGTCATTTTAAAGATTAACACATTTATTGTGTGTCTAATTTATTTATGACCCAAACTGATTACAGCTCTTACAGCAAACTCATAGGATCACTACTTATGAATCGCTTTAAAAAAAGAGGAAATGCATAATCAAAAGAGAACAAAAGAGGAAATAATTTGCATAGAATGTGCATGTGCATCACACACAGAGACACAGAAACTTAGAAAGAACTGCTATGATTTCAAAAGAAACACATCTTACCCACAGTGAGGACAGCTGTGAATCTGTGTGCCTGCTCAGTCTGTCTAGGTGGTGTTGATGGGAAACTTCCAAGGCCACACTTGGTCTCCCTTCTTAGGACTCCTTCTGTTTACTGAGGATTCCTCCTGACTTGCTTGCAGGACATTTACGCAATTAAGATTGTATCTAGCCTTTATTGAGCGTTTGTTCTGATCTGTTTGCAGGGAGGTCCTATGACAAGGAGCCAATTCGTTCCTAGAAAATATATCAAACAGGACATCAAAAAAATATTAAAACAACAAGAAGCACAATTAATATTTTTATTTAAAACATTACAGCCAGTAGGATGAAATTCCGAATTTGATCTTTCAGTTTTCATTTAATTACAGCAATGGGTATTGAAATGTGTGCCTGGATGTGAAATGTATGAGATGTAAGTACTAATAGTATCATGTCTATCCTCTACCCCACCACCTCACCTCTCTACTACAGTGGTGCCTCGCAAGACGAAATTAATCCGTTCCGTGAGTCTCTTCGTCTTGCGGTTTTTTCGTCTTGCGAAGCACGGCTATTAGCGGCTTAGCGGCTATTAACGGCTTAGCAGCTTTAAGAAAAAGGAAACAAACTCGCAAGAACTCGCAAGACGTTTCGTCTTGCGAAGCAAGCCCATAGGGAAATTCGTCTTGCAGAACGACTCAAAAACTGGAAAACCCTTTCGTCTAGCGAGTTTTTCGTCTTGCGAGGCATTCGTCTTGTGGGGCACCACTGTAATGTAAAACACCTATTGAAAAGCCTATAATGAGAGCATGTGTGTGTGTGTGTGTGTGTGTGTGTGTATATATATATATATATATATATATATATATATATATATCTGTAATCAAACAGGGCTACCTTGCTAAGCTATTCAGTCTTGTATGCTTAAGCCAAGAAATTGTCTCTTCAAAGATATGTAAGTACATAATTAGGAACTTTTGGATCAAAATTGATTCTTTGTATATAGTGGGAGAATTTATATTTACTTTGTATTCAGCTGAACACCTAGAACTGTACAGTGGTACCTCGGGTTAAGTACTTAATTCATTCCGGAGGTCTGTACTTAACCTGAAACCTGAAACTGTTCTTAACCTGGGACTTCTGGGTTGGCGCCATCGGTAATGGCGGATTCCCTCTGACTTTCTGAGGGACCAGCTCCGCGGGATCGGGTCTGCACCGCTGCGGCGAAGTGGGGACCCTCCAAAAATCACAGGTGGGTGAAGCCTGTGAACGTGGGACTCGGCGGGCACCTCTTGCGCCTCCCCAATCTGCGAAGGAACCCATTTTTGGGCTCCGGAGCAAAACGGGGTGAGCGGCGCGGTGCTGAGAGTCGACTGCTTCTTCCGCGGAGTGAAGCCGCACAGCCGTTATCGGAGAGCGCTGACTTTTTCCTGGGACAATTCGACTTCAAAAGTAACTACCCGTGAGTAGGATAAAATTGGAATTAAAGGGAGAAAAACAATAATTCGGAACCGAAGCGGGGAGGCATAAACAGGAAGTCCACCTTCCGTTTCTTGTAAGCAGATCAAAGCAAAGAGACTGTAAGCGGAAACTTTGAAAGACGTTTGAAAAAAGGACGCAAATCCTAACATCAGAAAAGCGATCTCCCCTCCGGTTTGCAGGAGAGGAGGGGGGAAAGGTTTGAACTGTATTTATCTGCAAAAAAAGGAGGGAAAGGAAGCTAAAATCCACCGCTTAGAACCTGGGAACGGACTGCCTTGGGACAAGGAATGCCGTTCTGTGAAAAGCACTATTGGCAAACAGAGTACTTTTGACAGCTAACTCTGCAAGAGAGATACAGTGTTTCTGGACTTCTCCTGGTTTTAAAGTAACTGATTAAGTGCAATTGAAACTGTTGCTTTTTTGTGAATTGGGGGATTTATAAAGATTATTTTCTTCTTAAAGTTGCAAGCTTTGACTGTTACTGTGTCCCCCTAGAGGAGGTTTGATATTGCTACAATAACAACTGGGCTAGGGGAATTTTCCATTTCAAAACAAATTCTAGCCGTGGGACTGACCTTGGACTTCTATGAGAGTGTTATGGCAGATGGAAGAGGAAAGTTAGAGTTGATTCAGGAAAAAACTACCAGGTCTGGCAGATCTTTTCATACAGATACTGGGTCGCAGCGAAGAGCTTCAACATCTGGTCCTTCTGGACCATCTGGATTATCAGGGGCTGCACCCTTACAAGTTAAACCAAAATGAATGTCGTCTGAAGATGTTTTAGCTCTGGCACTAGGAAAAATTAATGAATCTTTGGAAAATTTAAGTAAACAAGTAGCTGAAACAAATAAACAAGTAGCGGAAGCATCAGTTAAAATTGACCAAAATACTACAAGTATCAATAATTTGGGACAGAAGGTGAACACCAATACAGAGACTATTTAGAAATTGTTACAGGAATCTGCTTTGACCCGAAAGACAGCTGAAGAAGCAAAGGACATAGCAACTGCTACTCAATAGAAGATACCACCAATATATAGGCAGCTTGAGGACCATGGGTTGATGTTGTCCATGATTGAATTGAAGGAGAAACAAACGAATTTGAGAATCAGGGCTGTACCGGATCTTGAGAAAGATAACTTGATTGACTTTCTTACGCAGGAATTTGCAGATTTCTGGCAACAGGATTTGGGGAAGGAAGAATTTAAGATAGTGAACGCATTTAGGCTTGGAAGAGGAGGAAAGAAGAATAAGGTGAGAGACTGTTTGATTACCCTTCGAACAAAAGAGGAGAGAGACAAAATCTTGAATCTGCACTTCCGAAAGACTTTGGAAATACATGAGTCAAGCGTGGAGATATTTAAGGACATTCCAAAACATCTCTTGGACTTAAGATCTAACTACGGAGACCTGGTTGCCCTGCTGAGAAGCAACAGAATCATCTTTAGGTGGGAATTTCCCCAAGGCCTGTCCTTTAAATATAAAGGAAGAAAGATAAAAATAAGATCAGTCGACGACAAAGATAGATTCTTGAAAGACCACGGAGAAGACTTACAGAAAGAAGTGGAATCTGGAGAAGAGCCAAAAGCACTGGAAAGAGGAATATTAGATATAGCAAATTTATCTTTTGGATTGTATGGTTCAGAGAAAGTGACACCACCGACAGAACAAGAATAAACACTTGGTGCAGTTGGAGGTAAAGCAAAGTAATAACATCATGGCTCTGCAACTATTAAGTTGGAATTGTAATGGCCTCAATTCCCCTCGGAAAAGGAAAAGTGTTTTTCATTTACTAAAAAAGGAACAATTGGACTTGATTTGCTTACAGGAAACACACGTGATAAGGCTACATAGGAAAGTATTGATTAACAAGAGATTGGGACAGAGGTTTATTTCATCTGACAAAGTTAAAAAAAGAGGAGTAGTGATCTATGCAAAGGAGAGACTATCACCGAAATTCATTTTTAAAGACGATCAAGGAAGATTTGTGGCAATTGAAATTCAAGTTCAAGGAGAGAAATTTTTGATAGTAGGAGTTTATGCACCGAATGAGGGGAAATCTGAATTCTTTAAAAAGTTGCATGAGACCTTAATGGATTATTTGGATTACAATTTGATCTTGATGGGGGATATGAATGGAGTAGTATCTACAAATATGGATAAGGCACAAAGACAGGTAGTCACCAAGGATGGTAGACTACCGAAAACATTTTTTGAGATGACAGACAACTTGGACTTAGTCGACATTTGGAGAACAAAGAATCCCTTGGGAAGAGAGGGAACTTTCTTTTCTGAAGCCAAGATGACATGGACTAGAATCGACCAAATATGGGTAACTAGAGGAATGGCACCAAAGATAAAGAAAGCGGAAATTTGTCCAAAAACCTGCTCCGACCATAATGCTGTAAGGATGGAGATGAAACTAATATCAACTGGCTCCTTCAGATGGAGGATGAATGACACCTTATTTAGAGATGGAGATGTGATTAAGAAGGCCCAAAAAACTTTGAGAGACTATTTTGAGATAAATATGAACACTAATGTTGAAAAAGAGTAATCTGGGACGCAAGCAAAGCAGTTATGAGAGGGTTCCTGATACAACAGAATGCAATAAAGAAGAGAAGCCAAAATGAGAAGAAAGATAAAATTTTGGAGAAAATAAAAGAAAGTGAGAAGAAATTGAGAGCAAAACCAAAGTCGCAGGAGATTTTGAGAGAAATAAAGTTATATCAAGTACAATATATGGAAATGATGAATCAGGAAATAGAATGGAAAATTAAACAAATGAGACAAAAAACATTTGAATCAGCTAATAAATGTGGGAAATTGCTGGCTTGGCAAATAAAAAAAGACAAAAATTAAATACTACTACAAATTTAGAAGTGGAAGGAAAGAACATACACAACCCAGGTGAGATTAGAAATTGTTTCCAGAGGTACTTTAAACAATTATATACACAAGGGCCACAGAAAGAAATGGATATAGATCGATTTTTGAAGATAAATGGACTACAAAAAATCTCTCAAGAAAGCAAATTAATGTTGAACTATAAAATATCTGAACAGGAAGTAGAAGGTGCCATTCAAAACATGCAACTAGGCAAATCTCCAGGACCGGATGGGCTGACTTCTAGATACTATAGATCCTTGAAAGATCTTTAAAGGAAGTCTGCAATGAAATATTGGAAGGGAAAAGGGCACCAGAGTCGTGGAAAGAAGCGTATATTACACTTATACCGAAAACAGAGACTGAAAAGACTCAGCTTAAGAACTACCACCCCATATCATTACTTAATGTGGATTACAAAATTTTTGCAGATATTTTGGCCAAGAGATTGAAAAAAGTGTTGATGGAAGAGATTCATAAAGACCAAGCGGGCTTTCTCCCGGGAAGAAACTTGTCTGACAATTTGAGGAATATAATTAATATTTTGGAAAAATTAGAAGTGAACATAAATACTAAAGCAGTTTTGATATTTGTGGACGCGGAGAAAGCTTTTGATAATATCTCTTGGAGCTTTATGAAGAAGAACCTACAGGGGATGGGGGTAGGCCAAGGCTTTGAAAATGGTATAAGTGCAATTTATTCAGAACAAAAGGCTAAACTAATTGTAAATAATGTGGTGACGGAAGAATTTAAGATAGAAAAAGGGACACGACAAGGTTGCCCAATCTCCCCATTGCTTTTTATATCGGTCCTGGAGGTTTTGCTGAATATGATTAGAAGGGACCAGTTGGTTAAAGGTATACAAGTCAGAGCCAAACAGTACAAATTGAGAGCATTTGCAGATGACTTAGTATTGACGTTACAGGAGCCAGAATCTAGTACCAAAAGGGTTTTAGAACTGATTCAAGAATTTGGTCAGGTTGCAGGATTTAAACTGAACAAGTTAAAAACCAAGGTTTTAGAGAAAAATTTAACACCGATTGAGAGAGGTTTCAGAATGAGACAGGCTTAACAGTGGTTAAGAAAGTGAAATACCTGGGGATTAACATGACAGCAAAAAATGGGAATTTATTTAAAGACAACTATGAAAAATGCTGGGCCGAAGTGAAAAAGATTTAGAAATTTGGTCAAATTTGAAGCTTTCACTGCTGGGTCGTATTGCTGCGATAAAAATGAATGTATTGCCTAGAATGTTGTTTTTGTTTCAAACATTGCAAATTGTGGACAAAATGGACTGTTTCAAGAAGTGGCAGAGAGATATTTCTAGATTTGTCTGGCAGGGCAAGAAGCCTAGAATAAAATTTAAAATACTAACAGATGCAAAGGAAAGAGGTGGATTTGCCCTGCCAGACCTTAAACTTTACTATGAATCAGCAACTTTTTGCTGGTTGAAAGAATGGCTGCTTCTTGAAAACACAGACATTTTGGATCTAGAAGGTTTTAATAATGTATTTGGATGGCATGCATATCTATGGTATGATAAGGTCAAAGCACATAAAGCATTTAAGAATCATATTGTCAGGAAAGCATTGTTTAATGTCTGGATAAGATATAAGGATTTATTGGAAAATAAAACCCCAAGGTGGTTGTCACCGATGGAAGCAAAAGCACTGAAAAAGCTCAATATGGAAGCCAAATGGCCGAAATATTGGGAATTTCTGGAACAAGAGGGAGACAGATTGAAACTGCAGAGTTTTGAGAAACTAAAAAACAAAGTGCAAGATTGGCTTCATTATTATCAGATAATGGAGGCATATAATTCGGACAAGAAAATTGGCTTCCAGGTGGAAAAATCAAAATTAGAAACAGAACTGTTAGAACCCAAAACTAAGACTTTATCAAAGATGTATAACTTGCTGTTGAAATGGAATACTCAGGATGAAACGGTGAAATCTGCTATGATTAAATGGGCACAAGATGTTGGACATAACATAATGATGGCTGACTGGGAACAGTTATGGACCACAGGTATGAAGTTTACGGCATGTAATGCCTTAAGAGAGAATATTATGAAAATGGTATACAGGTGGTACATGACTCCAGTCAAGCTTGCAAAAATCTACCATTTGCCCGATAACAAATGTTGGAAATGTAAAGAAACTGAAGGTACATTCTTCCACCTTTGGTGGACGTGCCCAAGGATTAAGGCTTTCTGGGAGATGATCTACAATGAATTGAAAAAAGTATTTAAATATACCTTCTTGAAGAAACCAGAGGCCTTTCTCCTGGGCATAGTCGGCCAATTGGTGCCAAAGAAGGATAGAACTTTTTTTATGTATGCCACAACAGCAGCAAGAATACTCATTGCAAAGTATTGGAAGACACAAGATCTACCCACTCTGGAAGAATGGCAGATGAAGGTGATTGACTATATGGAACTGGCGGAAATGACTGGCAGAATCCGAGACCAGGGAGAAGAGTCGGTGGAAGAAGATTGGAAGAAATTTAAAGACTATTTACAGAAATATTGTAAAATTAATGAATGTTAGAATGATGTTGGATAGAAATTAAGTGGTTTTTAGCTGAAATATTATAAGGGAATATGAAAAATGGATTACTAACAGGTAAAAATTTAATGTTACAATACTTTAAGATTAAAGATTAGGATAAACAAAGAGGGGAAGGATTTGCTGAACCAACAAACTGAACTGGAATACAAAAAAGGGAGGCGTGAGGAGGTCCGGGAAACAAGCTAATGAAAAATAAGTAATGGAAAGATTGAGTTGTTTTTAACTATTTTTATTTTGTATTTTTCTTTTTTCTATTTTTACTTTGTAATATTTTGAAAACCTTAATAAATATCTTATTAAAAAAAAAAAGAAACTGTTCTTAACCTGAAGCACCACCTGAAGCTAATGGGGCCTCCTGCTGCTGCCGCGCCGCCAGAGTACGATTTCTGTTCTCATCCTGAAGCAAAGTTGTGGGGCACCTGTGGCCCTCCAGAAGCTCTCCAGAAGTTGTGGGGCACCTGTGGCCCTCCAGAAGCTATTGGATTCCAGCTCCCATCAGCCACAGTACAGTATAGCTAACGGTCATGGATGATGGGAATTGTAGTTCAACAACATCTAGACATTTGGTCTTCAACCCTGGGCTGTTGTTGATGGGACTACAATTCTCACCATCCCCAGCCAGTTGACACAATGATCAGGGGTGATGGGAGTTGTAGTCTAATAATATATGGAAGGCACCATGTTGGCTACCTCAACATATCCTGGTGCCTTCCACATGGTCTGCACTACAGCTCCTATCATTGGCCTTGCTGACTGGGGGCTGATGGGAATTGTAGTCCAAAACATCTGGAGGGCACCAGGCTGAGGAAGGTTGACCTAAGGGTACAACCAGGTATAACCTTTAAAAAACCACCTAATGTGTTAAGTCATATAACTGAATTAAATATGAATATTATTTATTTGTTTTAAAAAATAAGTGGGGTTTGTTAGATATACTAGTGCAAAGTTGGTTCACACTTGTGTATTCATCACTTGATAACTGCAGCATCAAGTGACAAGTTGTGTCTATTAATGAGCCACAAATCACACACGGTCAGCTGCAAGTTCTCAAGTCCTGAGTAATCAAGTTGATTACTTGCATATGTGAAAAGGTAGAATCACAGAGGGAGTCAGTATGGTATGTACTGTTAGATTGGCATATGCAGGAGAACAAGTGAAATAAGAGCAAGAGAAAGGCTTCTCTTCCTACAGTACGTTTTGCACTCTTATTTTCTGGCTAGGTGGCTTATGAGATGCATCAGCGCAAGCCATCCTGACTCAAGGTAAGCTCAGTTTCTACACTGCACATCTGTTTCTTCTAAAGCTTTTCAAAGCAAGCTGGTCATCATTTAAATTGGGGACGGGGAGCCTGTGGCCCTCCAGATGTTGTTGGACTGCGGCCTTCACCACAGTGCCAGATTTAGTGTGGAGCAGGCAATTCCCCTGCACAATGTGCCAAGCTGAGGGGGTGCAAAATAATAACACCTATATTTATATAGATACCAACTGAGAAGATCCATTTAAAAAACTGTAATTCCCAAAGGAATTAATGTGAAAATAAGATTTAAAAATTCCTTCCAGTAGCACCTTAGGTGTTACTGGAAGGATTTTTAAATTTTGTTTCGACTACAGCAGACCAACACGGCTACCTACCTGTAACTGTGAAAATAAGAGGTATTGCAAGGGCAAACTTTGTCCTCGCTCAGGCACCGTATTACCAAAGTCTGCCCCTCCCTGCCCATCAGCCCCAGCCAGCATGGCCAATGGTCTGGGCCACAGGTTCGCCATCACTGATTTGAATCTTAGAAACAAAACGTGTGAAGTTTCTCTCCCCCACCTCCCCTTTGTGTATAACTTAAGCTACATAGCCACAGGATGATTCCTGATTGTTGAAATGTATTCCCAGCAAACCATGCAAGGTTTCGGAGGGGGAAAGGCCAAGGTGAATAATGCCAGAGCTTCCTTTTGAGCCCAAACACCATGTTGTGTTCAAACAAGCACCTAACCCTTGGCCCAAGAGTGTGTGTTCCTAGAGAGCAGATTCTGATGGCACCCACTTATCCTGAATCACAGGAGCTTCTCCAAGGAGCTCAGGGTGGTGCATGTTGTTCTCCTTGCCCTCATTTAATCCTCACAACCACCCTGAGAGGTAGGCTAGGCTGAGAGGCAGTGACGGTGAGCTCCATGGCCTGGATTCAAACCCAGGTCTCCCAGGTCCTAGTCCAACACTCTAACCCCGTAGTTCCCAAGGTGGGGCACGTGCTCTACAGGGGGGAAATTTGATTTTTAAGGGGGGCAATTTGAGAAAGAGTTAGACCACGTTAATGGCCTTTTAGGCTTCCTTCACATGAATAGGAGTTCACTTTTTGAATATTAATTATATGTCACGGGAGCGGGGGGGGGCATCAGGATTTTAGAGATGCTTAAGTGGGGCATAGGGACCCGGGTGGCGCTGTGGGTTAAACCACAGAGCCTAGGACTTGCCAATCAGAAGGTCGGCGGTTCGAATCCCCGCGACGGGGTGAGCTCCCTTTGCTCGGTCCCTGCTCCTGCCAACCTAGCAGTTTGAAAGCACGTCAATGTGCAAGTAGATAATTAGGTACCGCTCGGGCGGTAAGGTAAATAGCGTTTCCGTGTGCTGCTCTGGTTTGCCAGAAGCAGCTTAGTCATGCTGGCCACATGGCTCAGAAGATGTACGCCGGCTCCCTCAGCCAATAAAGCGAGATGAGCGCCGCAACCCCAGAGTCGGCCACGACTGGACCTAATGGTCAGGGGTCCCTTTACCTTTTTAAGTGGGGCATGGCCAAAAACAGGTTGGAAACCACTGCTCTAATGGCTATGGCACACTGGTATTTGCGAGATTAATTCTAAAAATCACAAGTGACCTTTTATCAATGCAAGCGGGTTCCAAAGAGGTCGGCCATTTTAGGAGGAGCAAGACGCCACCCGCCACCTCAGAAGTGGGGTCTCGGGCAGCCCACGAAAGCTCTCCGGCCCCATAAAACTGTTCGGCCTTCGAGGGACCCCCAGACGACGACTCCTTCTTCCGGCAAGGACAGACGGACGCAGCGCTGCCCGCTGTGGGATTTCGCCCAGCGTTGCAGGTAGCTCCTCCTTCGCCTGCTCTGGCGCAAGGCTATGCAGCTCCTTTCCCCCCCTGGCGCCGGTCAATGCTGAGGCAGGAAAGCGGGGCTCTCCAGGGACTCCCGCCGCGCGGCTCCCATGGCAACGGGAGCTGGCGGGCTCGCGCTTGCCGCTGCTGCTCCTGCTGCTATTTTGCAGCCGAGGACGCACGAGGAGAACCATTTTGCTCCGCAGAGCCGGGCGGGGTGTGTGACTTGTCGAGGGTTAATTCGTCTGTGGCTTGTGGAAGAGACCCGCTGACCGGAGGAGGTGGTCGCCGCGGGTGCAACCAGCAAGCAGGGCTCTTGCAATCCCATGCAGCGCTTGCTGCTCTGTGCATGTTTTTTTTTTTAATTAAAAAATAAATAGATACTAAGCGCCGTTGCACTTCAGCTCCGCTCAGCCTCTGCCAGGAGATGCAGTAGCTGGGGAGGATAAGACTTGCAAGCCCCAATCGCATCTGAAGGGCCACCGGATCTCTTATGCCCCCCCCGTGGGAAATTGTTTCATTTTATTACTGTATATTTTATTGGAATAATTTCATTTATATAAAAGAGAGTGACAAAAGAAAAAATGAGGATGAAAAAGAAAAAAACCGCTCAATTACATTTCCATACATTGTATACAGATGTGTATAATCTTATTATCCTAATACACACATAATACACGTGGTTTCATAACTATAATGCAATAATAATTCTCTTCTTCCCGAGAAGAAAATCCAACTGAATAATGTACTTGGTCATTTGTGCACTAACTTGGGACAAAGTTGTTTCTATTTTTTTAAAAAATCATACTACATATATTAATTAGCTGATCAAACAATTACTGGTTTGGGTTCTTAGAATGGCTGCGCCAACCACCAGTGGAACTTACTCTGTTTAATTTCTTCCTGATTTCATTTTCTTCAAACAAACAAACCCATATTCTTGTAATACTGAATAACATTGCAAGCACTGGTGATATCAAACTACTAGCTCACATTTTCCCCATTTTAATCTGGTTTTACTCTTTCTGGGAGAAATCAATTATACAGTATTTGATTTTTTAAAAATGTTACCAACAACCTGTTCAAACAACCTGCTTGCAGTATTAAGCCTCCACCTAGAAGCACCCTGGGTGCCCATTAGCTTGACTCCATCATCATTTCCAACCATAATCAACTCCCAGACATCTGGTTTATTGATGGTTTATCCTGATTTTGTTTGCACAGAGTTTGCAAGGATGTTAGATAATGCTGATTGTTTATTGAGTATTCCTTCTTATTTGTTTTACTGGAGGTTGTACAACATGGCAATTATTAACCAACGCTGTCCAGTACATTTCCCCTACCGTTTTTGTTAACACAAGAACTCTGATTTGGGGCAGGAAGGAGGTTTGTAGCACAAAGGTACCAAACCCATTTTAATTACACAACTTGAATTTGCCAGTATGAGACTGAATTCTACTTGCAAAATAGTCTGAGAGCAACTGATGGAGTTGGTCAGAAGTACAGGGAGCAGCTTAGAGAATGAACTGATTTTGCTGAAAGATGGAACTGGCTTGGTTGAGTTCTGGAATCTTGTGTTATGGAAATGTAAGATTAGGAATATTTTTGTTTATTAAACTGCAGTAGTAGCGTTGCCAAAGGATGGAACTGTTTTGCTGATTTTTGGAAGGTGTGTTTTTGAGATAGGAAAATGCAAGGTTTGCTCTTGCTATTAATTATAATAGCAATAAAACTTTATTACATTAACAAGTGACCATAGAATGATCTACATTGAAATAATACAATGAACATGATCATAGTGAGGTCAGAGTTGACTTACATTCTGGCGAATGCTTAAAGAATGATGACAGATTGAAATTAAAGCGAGTTTCTAGCGGTAATGGTATAAAAATATGGGAAAATTGGTCCTTTAATATCGTCAGATTAATTCTAACTGATTATAATTGTATCAAGATTAAGGCTACTTGGAACTTAGAACAGGTGGCGACAACGGCATCTGCTGGTACTAATGTATTGAAGTTGGCACTTCATCACACTAAGCAGGAAGTATGAGCTGACGTCTCAGTAATCCAACAAGTCAGAATCCTGTAAAAGAAGTGATGATCCAAAGATGGAATTGGGATTTGTAACTGTTTTCTCGTGGTGTTGTATATCTGTGATCTTTCTATCTGTCTAGTTAATTTTCATATTAATGTGATTTTACAAAATGAATAGAATTTGAAATTTTAATAAATATTAATGAACAGATCATACTGAGTTCAGAGTTGCTTACATTTAATGTTAGGATGCTTATAAAATTGGGATCAATAATCAGTAGCTATATTGCACTTTACTGTTTTGTCTGAACAACTGCTGTTAAGACTGTGCTTTTAGCAGATTCTGTATTTAATCCTACCATAATCTGGATCATTAAACTTATTAAGATCTTGTTTTTTGAGGGTGAATAAAGCACAATATGCTTTTTACAACTGATAGCTTTATGACAAAGGGAGAGACAGACCTTTGCAAAATAAGACTACTGTAGAAGGCTCTCGAGAACACTTTTTTAAAATTTAACATATTGTCCTTATTTATTTGCTTCTTTTTGACTTTGTGTGGTTTGTGTAGTTTGAACTATGCAGATAACACTTATTTATTTATTTATAACGTCTTTTTCGCTCCCGCCATCCTTGCTTCTTTTCTGATTAACATTGAAATGAGTTTTGTCTACCTCATTTCCTCCTTCTTTGTGCTGTTTCTAATGATTTTGGGCCAATCCTAATTTCCATTAAAGTAATCGATAGAAAGACTCCCATTGATTTCAGAGAAAGCTAGTTTGGGGCTTTGATGTTTCCTTTTCTTGCAGCTCAATATTATTTTCCTGTTCAAAAATGTAAGAAATTGACTTGTTTAATATTTTTCTTTTTATCCTTGCCCTTTACACTTTTCACCCAAAGTGCTGAATAAAGGAACACTTACTGGTATGACCCTGCTCCATTAAGAGCCCAAATGTAAGATTTTTGCTGGCAAGTAAGTGCTTAGGAATGGGGTGTTCCAGGTCGCCATGTTCTTATTAGGTCTGTCAGTGGCTATTAGTCATGAAACCTTAATGGACCCTCCATATTCTGAGTCAATAAATTGTTGATTATCCACTGCTGGAACCAAACAATAGGATATCGAAATTTCCATTGTTCCTATACGTGAGAGGAAATGGCTGATCAAAATGAACTTTGCTCTGCACCATCAAGACCATTTCTCACATGCTTATATACTGGTGAAATGTCACAAAACTTTACTGTATCAAGTTGAGATTTTCCCACTAATTTTCAGAGACTGTATGGCCCAATGAACAGAAAGATAGGCAGGTATGAGGTCTGGTGACTGCTAAACTTTGGTTTCAGTAGATGGTCTTGATTTGGGCAAGTCATTGGCCAGGTTTTTGGTGTAAGGCTAAACCATTGTTTGTTTAGCTTAGCTCTGGTTTGTTTGAACATCAGAACCTGCCTGAAGCAACTAACTATGGTTTCTTTGGGGCCAACAACCACAACCTGAAATTATAGATTGCCTCCATGGTGTTGGCATTTTCCAGGAAGGATTCAAGGGTATACGAGAAAGTTTGTGCAATTAAAGTGGATTGAAGCATACTGCTGCCTTGGTGCAACAAATGACAAGAGAGCAACCAAGCAGCAATTTCCTCTCTTCTACAAAGCACTTTTATATAAGAGCCAGGTATACACAGAGCGGGCAAGGAACAACAAACCAATGTTAGTAAAACAAATGTGGTTTGCTTGATCATCCATGAACCTGGATTTTTCTACAAACCACAGATGTTTAAAGCAAATAACAGTGGGTTTAGCATTATGCTCACATTGTCTCAGTCTTGGTTTTCTTGTCTGTGAAAATGGGACTTCTAGTTATCTACTTCTGTGTGTGTTATAACAGATGTGATAAGGATTGTGAAGCAGTACACAGTAAAAGTTGTTGTTTTGCAACTCCTATAATTGCTATTTTAATATTAAACTTACATGGGCCACATCTATTGTACAAAAATGGCTCTTCTAGCTCACATTAACTTAGCGTTCACATGAGTGCAGTGTGAGAGAAGGCCCAAAGTACTGTTTGTGTAATGTGTACTTCATTGTTCATATGTATATAAGGCTTTTTTAAAGTGTTGGTTCCATAGTTTGTTTACCATTCTAACAATATGATGCTGCAAATTTTACAAAAGAAAGAAAGGTGAAAAAGAAGTATTAGGAGAAAACACATGTTTTACCTATAGATGGCTACTTTGTATATTTTAAGAAAACAATTCAGTGTGCTGAATTTATCTAATAAATGCTGTCACTTAAAAGTCTTTATCAATTATACCAAGTTAAGATAAAGATTTATTGGTCTGGAAGGTAAATAATGACCAAAGATGAACCCAAAATCAATATTGACTTTGAAGGATAATCAGACCTGAGAACTGTCTCAGTATTAAGTCTGTGGTACAAAAAAAGGAAGTCTTCGCATTTCTAAAACCCACCCCATACAAACCCCACTGCTAGGTTGTAATAATAGAAAAGCAAATGAATTATAATAGAAAAGCAATAAAAGACAATTTGCTTTACACACATATATGTATGCAGTGTGTGATGTTTGCCCAAAAAGAGCTAGTTTAGGCAGTGGCGTAGCGTGGGGGGTGCAGGGGGGGCCGGCCGCACCGGGCGCAACATCTGGGGGGGGGCGCTCGCACTCGCAGCTCTCTGCCCCTACCTGGCTCACTCTCTCTCTCTCACTGCAGTGCTGGCTGTGCGAATCCGATCCGAGCCGCTGGGTCGCCGCCCACTGTAGAGGGGGTGGGTGCCAGGCGTGCGGTGCGGAGAGAGAGCGAGGGACTATCTGGGGGAGGGACAGTGCAGCGGCTGCCCAGCGCAGCGCTGAGCGCGGGAGAGAACCACACCAGACCAGACCAGACCAGGCAGCAGCAAGAAGAAGCTGGCAGCGGCGGCAGGTTAGGGGTTAGGGGGCGCAAATTACTTGCCTTTCCCCGGGTTAGGGGACGCAAATTACTTGCCTTGCCCCGGGTTAGGGGGCACAAATTACTTGCCTTGCCCCGGGTGCTGACAACCCACACTACGCCGCTGAGTTTAGGGAATCCTCAAAGGCTTGTGTATCCCAAATAGGAATCTTGCCCTTTTCTATTTGAACAATAAGCTTTTAAAGGAAAAATGCCTTCATTGCAAAAACCTGCTTGCCATGTAGCATGTCAGTACATTCTCCTGACCATGATACTGCCTTGCATATGTAAACTTTAGGGCTTCTCAGTTTTAACTGGTAGATTAATTGACTGACA